GAAATTGTTTAATATGATAAAATTGTTTCAAATAATTCATTTCAAATAATTATGTACATTATCATCTTCATTCTATTAATTTTAGTAAACAAATTTCATATAAATGAGAAATACATGAAACAATTTAAATTTTACATAGAAACAAAAATATATGAAACATTTTCATCATGAAATAAATTATTTGAAACAATTTCATCGTATAAAACAATTTTCTAAAAAAATTTCACTAAAATAAACAGCGAAATCGACGATTTTCACGGTTTGTACAAATAGTTTGGTTTGCATTTTATCTCTCCTCTATATGTATGTGTGTGTGTATATATATGTGTAATCATTTGCAAACCTTCTTACAAACTCATCTGAACCGCCCCGTTCTTACAAACTCATCTGAACCGCCCCGTACTTTTTGATCAACCGTTGACATTTTTCTTGATTAATATTGATTTAAAAAAATATATGAAAATGATAGTTTTGCTTCATATATATTCCGCTCACAATGTACAACTTTCTACGTGTATTTTTTATTTCACAGACACGCCAAAAATGTTTACATTGTGAAACAAATATATGTTAATCAATATTATAAATTCTAGTTTTAGATGAAAAAAATCATATAAAATAACAATGACATACAAATTCTCAAGTTTATCATAACTTCATGGTTTAAAAAAAGCCCTTTAACAAGCTCTTTTCACATAAAATATTAGGCATAGAAAAAGAATATATGTGCCCACAACAATTTTTAAAACATTTGAAATATTATTTAATAAAAATAAAACAAACAAGATTTTTAGAAAAAAAACGTGAAAGGAACCAAAAAATATACAATTTGGTGTTATAATTATTCAAAGTCAAATGATACATTTATTATGTAAAAGTAATACGATTAAAACTTTAGCACGCAGAAATGAGTACACAAATACAAGATCCGTAAGTATTTGATTATTTTTTATTGTTTTTTTATTATAGTGAATTTTTTTTCTAGAAGTCGGCTAAAAGATATCAAAATCATTCATTTCTTTAATTATGAGTTGTTTGTTTACCTCTTAATAGTTCTATTAAGAAGCAACATATGAATCGTTAAGAAGTGAATATTGTTTGGCAAAAAAATCTTCATCTTAATGATTTTAAAACCCTCTGAATGATTTTGTATCATGTGTCTCTCTTAATCATTCAGCGCCCTAATTTCATTGTAAACAATTATATTTTATTTTGCATTATATTATGAGAGTCTCTTAATCATTTTGCATTAAACTATTTATTTTATTTTTAATTCAAATAAATTTCATCAGTAATTTTTTTAAATATTTTTTTTTAATTTGAAAATCACTAATAGAAATATTTTATTTTTAATTAAAATAAATTTCATCAATAATATTTTTTTAAATGTAAGTATTTTTTTGATATATTTATTTCATTTTATAAGTATAAATACTTTTTTGGTTTAAAAAATATTTAGGGACTTAATCGTTCAAAATATGAAAGTCTATTGGTTTTTTTTTCCCCAGACATTTTCCATTATTTTACCATATTAACCAATATATTGTATAGGTCATAAGATTGCATCTAACATGTTTTGGAATGTCAAATAAGTTATTTAATAAGTTTTGGAATGTCCAATGACTTATTTGTTCCAAAACATTGTCCAATAACTTAATAATTCCAAACACTAAAACCATTGTTTTTTTTTTTTACTTTTCCATAAATAAAAAAAACAAAATCGTTCATCACTTTAATTAGTCATTTATGCACCGATGTCTATAATAGTTGATAATTGTAATCTATATTTTGTTTAAACATAAATTTGGAATTTTAGGGCTTTTAGCCTAGCGGTATCACAATATTTGACCTACTAGGAGGTCAATGATTCAAATTCATCAAATATGAGAATGGTGTATAAATTTATTTGTTACATTTACCGTATATAAATATTATATACTAAAAAAATCGAATTTTTTTAAGAACCGCATCAAATTTTCATTTTTAGATTATAAAATTTTATATTCCATCACATCCACAGATATATATATAGACTTGGGATCATGTGAGACCAATGATTTTTCGTGAGACCCGTAAGACCAATTCTCAATCATTGGATTAGATTTACAATCGTCAGATCTGAACATTTATAAACGTCACGAGACTTCTCAATAATTACAAAATTGCCACATTGCAAATTTAGACCATTAGATCATTAGTTTATAAATTTGATCAATGAATATAAATTGGTCTTACGGGTCTCACGAAAAACTCTTTGTCTCATGTGAACCCAACCCTATATATATATATATATATATATATAATCAGTTTTGTATATACATATATGCATGTGTGTTTAATCGAACTTATATCTGTTTTAATATAAAACATGTTTATTCTTGTAAAATCCTTGATGTAATGCTGTTGTGAAATTTTCGTTTTGATGGATTAGGAAATTTTGTATTGTGGCTCCGTTTTGATTATACGAATAGAATGTCTTGTTTGTCTTCGTCTTGTCCATTAATTTGTCATGTTTTGATCACCACGTCCCCATCCAAATCTCAACATCTACACGTCTCATAAAATATCTTGTTAACGATGTTGTTCATGCTCTCATTTGTCATTGCTTCCTTCGGATTGGGTTTCACACAGTGGTTTCAGTTTCCAGCTTCAAATGGTGATGAACATCGGCAATGTCGTTACATAAACCAGGATCTTGTCGGTTTTGTTTTTGGTCAACAATAGGTTCCCTAGGCAACCTCAACGATGGTGGAGGTCTGTTGTATCAAACAAGGACGTGAAATGGCTACTATGTCAATGGCTTTACGTATATTGACAACAATTATGAAGTATTTGATCTGATCCTCTTGACTGATTCCGTCTTTTTATAATATGATTTTGGAAAACTATAACGTAACTCTTATACGATGTAGTTATATGACTGAGGTGTTTGATCTTTGTTAGTCCATCATCTATACACCTAATAAATAAGTAACTTGGGTGACACGTGTCATCTTCTGGTGAGTCGGTTATCTTATTTTCCCGCATAAACATGCATTCAGACACAATTTACATTAATGGTTCAATTAAACTAATTTGAACGTATCTATCCGCTAGTCTCAACCATTAAGTCAACTCTAGAATGTCTTCTCATTTGTTTGTGTGTGAGACTAATGAGCTGTTTACCAAATTTTTTATTAAGTCATGCATGGATAAATTTGTCTGTCTGGATAAATGAATGTTGTTGTTTACTTTTTTTATTTGAACCAACAGTCTGAATAATATAAATGACCGATTTACCTCCCAATATTAATTATTTAAACATAAAAAAAAATCATAAAGAGCCCGAAGATGGGGTGTCTCATATAGGAAGGAGGCGGTGTTTTAAATAAGAAGTAGATGTGTCATTTTTGTGGCTGAATATAGACAACACACCATTTCTATCTGTACGATTAAGCCATGTTCTATACGAATAAGCCGTAAGTAAACAACCCAAATAAACTATGCGAATAAGACAAATAAACCAATAAGCCTAATTAAGCCGCAAGTAAACAACCTCTAATTGATTTTATCATTAATCAATCTCTTTATGAAATATATTTATTTACATTTTCAATTTTATATGGTTTTGATAATTAACTGCACCTTAAAATCAATGAGGATAGTAATCAAAATCAAATCAGAATACTGCTGCTGCTGAGTGGACAGACTGATTACTTTAAATTCCCAACTGACCAATGGTACAATACCAAACCACTGTATTAAAGTAATTTATAAAAAAGTCCCTAAAGTACTTGTTATTTATTTCGAGGCCCCTGTAGTTTTAACAATATTAAAACCTCAAAGCAATTACAAAATCAAATCTGACCCCTCATGTTGAACGAAATTCTGTTTTGACCCCTCAATTCTTTAAGAGGTTCCATGAGTAGTAAATGTTGCTTAGTTTGTATCTGGGGTGAATGAAACGAGCATTTAATTACTCAAATGAAAAATATTACAGCTACTAATTTGAATCAGATATGGATGCAGACTTAAAATAAAATTTAAACAAGGCATTGATGGAAGTTTTTGAAACCAATGAACATTCTGAAACTGTAGGATAAATTTAAAATGCAGATAGATAAGAAAAATGGGATCACGTGATTAAGCATATGTGTGTCTTAAATGAAGAGTATATTTGAAACTTGACACTTATCCATGCTACCTTATAAACCAGATTTATCAGAAGTCTTAAAAATAATGTTCAATGCACAAAGTACTATACATTTATGCACAAAGTCTTAAAAATAACCCATAATGCATTAAGTACTACTACTTATGCATTCAGTCTTAAAATCTCTTAATCTACAATTAAAATAACATATGGTACAAGTTACCAATGCAAATTATTACATTTTCTTTTCATGTTCTCAAGAGACTTTTGACACTTTTCACTCATGGATTCACCCTCTCATATCTCTATGTCTTCTCTCCACCCCAAGGTGAGATTCAAATTGATATTCACCATGAGTTATTAAGAGTTCTCTCATTTATTTCCCATTCAATTGTTATAGAACTCTTGGTCTCGCTCTCGATCTCTTGATTCTTTGCTCTTGGTGTAAATCGAACACATTTGTGGAGTCGTTTAAATATGTTGGATTTTAAACTGTCATACAATTTTTTCATCGATATACTGTAATTGGAACAATTCTTATTTATTTAAAATTTATTAATACGTAAAGACCAAATGTAACTTATATCATCGTTAAATCTTCTCTAATAAAACTAGCAAAACTTCAAAATCATTAAAATTCACGGCTCCCACCACATTGCACGGGTACACAGACAAACATGAACATAAGTCAGAAATATGGATATTTATTTAAACGAAGGGAAGTAACATATATCGGGGAGAACTTGAGGGGGGTAAAGTGAAATATTCAAAAAGGGAAAGTTATCGCTTTCCAATGGGGGGTTCAATTACAAAACCCTTGTAAAGATTCGATTAGATTAGATAGAGATTGCGACAGTCTAAAAGAGAAAGAGAGAGAAATTAGGGTTAGAAACACAAACGACTACGAAGAATAGAATAAGGGGGGGATTTGAGTGTATGCGTGTGTATATGTATAAATTAAATGTAGTTGAGTAGTGAAAATGAAAGCATTGCCGCGAAATTCGGGAAAGCAAGAAGAAAAAGCGTTGTTTTTGCTCAAGAAAAAGAAGAAACAACAGCAGATGATTCAATTTCATATGGAGATGCGAGCCCTAAACTCTTCCTCCATTAGAAAGGGAACCTTCTCCGTACTCTATCTGTTCCTGCTTTTCATCCTCGTCCTCTGTGTTCTTTGAACTCTTCTTATACGCCCCCTTACTCGTTAATCATTTGATTTGATATTTGCTTTGCCAGTTGTGACTTGGAGACCTCTTATTATTGGAGGAAATTGAGGTTTTCTGTGAGTTCTTTTGTTGGTTTCACTGTGGGGGTTTGTTACTTTTTCTTCTGACCCTCGTTGATCAAAAGTTCATAACCCTTCCTGAGTATTTTATTTTTTTGGTTTAACCAAGGGATTCGAGTTATCTTCCTTTTTGGTGATTAAGCTCTGGATCTCGTGTGTTTGATGTTCCAATTGATTTTGGAAACTTCTAATCTTGATGATTCTGGGATTGGCTAGCTGGGGTTATCTTTTGTGGGGTTTTATATATAGATATTGAAGAAAGGAAGAAAAAGAAATACTCGTTTGTTCTTTGTTGTTATTGTCTTCGTCTTGAATCTTTCAGGAGTTGTGTATGTGTCATTATAGTAACAGGATCTGTGTAAATACATTCCTTATTTGAGATGTTTTCTGATTTCAAGGAGACCTTTTTGTTCCTTTCTTGAATCTTTCCATTTACAAAAGAAAAAAAAAACATCAATCTTCATCTTATAACTTCATAGGCTTCTTAAACAGTCTAAAAAGTTAAAAAAAAAAACCCAAGTTGTTTTTTTAGTTTTTGGGTTTTAAGGTTTTCTCTTTGATAGTTTTATTGACTTAGGATAGAAGAAGAATTGGGATATGATCTTTATTGGGGGTGGATTTGATATTTGATGGGAGTACCTGATAACACACTACTAGATTTGATTGAAAAGGTTAGATCTTGGATTTATTGGGGAAGAAGTGATCTAACTTCTATGTCTGTTGAAGTCAAAATGGCTGATGGTGTTTCTGCTATGTGTTGCCAATGCGAAATGAGTGTCTCCGAGTCTTGCCTCGGTTACCACTGCCGAAGATGTAGCCGATTGTTTTGCGAAAGTTGTGTGCAGGGATATGGTTCTTTTGTTGTTGTTGAATCCAAAAGTGGCACACAAGCTGGGCTCAACATCCGATCTTGCAAATTTTGTGCTGATTTTGATGTTAAACAAAAATTTGGGGGAAAGTTTAGTCATAAGATACATCCTTCTGATTCACCTCGACAAAGCCCGGAACCACCTTCACCAAATTATGTCCATGAAAGATTTGATGGTTCCTCTCTTCAAGCAGTATCCGTTCGCCGCTCCCTGAGCAGGTGCAGATTCTTCTTTACATTCAACTTTTTGTATTTCTTTCAAGAATCTTTTGTTGATTTTGATATGGTACCTTGTATGTAATTAGCTTTTATGTGTTCAGATTTAATCAAAGTTTCTATCTTTAACAGTTTGATCATATTATGGAACTTTTCATCATGAATAATATCAAAAATATGTCATAAGATCACCGAAAGTGATTTCTAATTCTTGAACCATAGTTTATATCCATAATCTGTTGAAAGAAGTTGGGTTATACAGTGGTCTGAAGGAACGAACAGTCCGCAATGGGGTTAGAATGTAAATTTTCTTTTTACTAAAAGAGTCAACTTTATAATCCAGAATAAATCTGAACCCAATATGTTGGGCAGTTTTACATATCATCTAACACAAATTAACTACATATTTATATCCTACTGTGTCTTTTGCTGTTTTATTTTCTCTTTTTGTTTAGAGAACTGATGAAATTAAAGTATTTTGAACAATAGTTCAGATTCATTTATTTCTATGCTCTAATATTCTCAATCTCTTATTTTATTATCTGAATTTCAGTTTTTCTGGTGACTGTAGGAGTGATGAAGACGAGGCAGAGGATTCTTCAAAAAACATCTTCAGCCCGTATAGTCGTGATACCTCAGATGTAGATTCCAGTAGTGTGAATACCCGACATGAATTTTACAGTTTCATGTCTGTTGGTTCAAGTCCTTCGGACAGCCCCTCTAGGAGTCACTTTACTTCCAGTAGACGTAGACATTCTGTACAGCTCGAAGATCAGGGAACTCCTAGGTCGCTAAATGATGGTTGCTTTGACCAAGAACCTGTGGCTGTTTTAAAAAGCCACCAACATGGGACCGAGGAACCTGATAATACCACTAATGATGATTTGTCAATATTTAGGGACCAATACGAGACTTCACACAAGCCATTAGATCTTGAAAAGAATGGTCTTATTTGGTTTCCTCTGCCACCAGATGATGAAGAAACCAGTTTCTTTTCATATGCCGATGATGACGATGATGATGAAATGGGAGCAACGAGTGCTGTTTTCTCGTCTAGTGATCCACTTATGAGCCTTCTTCCTGAAAATGGCAAAAACATGGAACACAAGAAGCCATTGGAAAATGTAGTTCAGGGTCATTTTAGAGCTCTCGTGTCGCAGTTATTACAATCGGAGTTCACAGCAGCAGATGAGTGGCTTGACATAATAACATCGTTAGCATGGCAAGCAGCAAACTATGTGAAACCAGATACCAGCAGAGGCGGCAGCATGGACCCTGGTGATTATGTAAAGATTAAATGTATAGCATCAGGAAGTCCTAATGAAAGGTAACTAGGGAAAAGATCAAATGAGAACCATAAATATTTTGAGAACTTTAAGAATTAATATATGCATTGATGCATATACACTATATGAATTTCAGTGAGTATATGCATCAATGCATATATACATACTTACATACATAGTAGATAATCATTGATGAATATACTCGTTGACAGAATACGCATTTTGACAAAACGAAGATTCTCCAAATCTCGTCATATAATAGAAAGATTATCGTTACTTATACATTTTTCTTTATGCAGCACATTTGTTAAAGGTGTAGTTTGTACAAAAAATATAAAGCATAAACGCATGACTTCACAGTACAAGAACCCTCGGTTGCTTATTTTAGGAGGAGCACTCGAGTATCAGAGGTCTCACAATCAGCTTGCTTCTATTGAGGCCCTACTACAGCAGGTTGTTTATAATCTTCGATAATCTCTCATGATTGAGGAATATTTGAGGAGTTAATGGCTTTTTGTACCATCTGTTAAATCTTTTGCTTTCGGAGATCTATGAAACTAATATTAGTCAATATACTTTACCTTGAAACAGGAAATGGATCATCTGAAGACGATTGTTTCAAGAATAGAGGCCCGTCGTCCGAATGTGTTACTGGTAGAAAAGAGTGTATCTTCATATGCACAAGAGTATCTTTTGGCCAAGGAGATCTCATTGGTTTCGAATGTCAAACGGTCTTTATTGGAGCGTATAGCAAGGTGCACCGGCACTCCGATAACTCCATCTGTCGATAAGATCTCTACCACAAGACTAGGCCAATGTGAGCTATTCCGTTTGGAAAAGTTCTCTGAAGTGCATGAAGCTGCCAATCTGTCCACCAAGAAGCCATCCAAGACCTTGATGTTTTTCGATGGTTGCCCCAGGCGGTTGGGTTGCACGGTAACATTTCCATCTCCCGTCTTTCATATATGGGCAATTTGATTGTATAAACCAAACGAAACGAAACGAACACAGTATATCCCACTCGAAAGTATGATTTGATTGCATCATTTGACTAATCCTTCATATTTTTGTAGGTCTTGCTAAAAGGTTCGTGTCGCGAAGAATTGAAGAAAGTCAAACATGTTGTTCAGTATGCTGTGTTTGCCGCTTATCATTTGTCCCTGGAAACTTCTTTCCTGGCCGATGAGGGTGCTAGTTTACCTAAAACAACGGTAAAGCCCAACATAGCAGTGCCCGAAAGGTCGAATGCTGATAATGCTATATCCGCTATTTCTAGTTCTACAGTTCTCTCGCCATCAGAAGTTGCCAACTCCCCGAGATTCGAGGGACATGATTTAGTTGTTGACCATCAAAACTCCGATCTGATGACGGATGGAGGTGTCCATACGGTCTCTGATCCATTAGATGGTGGCGGAGCTTTAGAGTGCTCAAGACTTAACGTGGAAGAAATCATATCAATTGAATCAACGGAGCTGGAAAAGGTTGAAAGACTTGAAGTGATCGATGGTTCAAATGAATACTATTCAGCAACCGATAACAATCAGAGCATATTAGTATCATTTTCTAGCCGCTGTGTATTGAATGGTACCGTATGTGAACGATCGAGACTCTTGCGTATAAAATTCTATGGCTGCTTCGATAAGCCACTTGGAAGGTACCTCCAAGATGATCTTTTTGATCAGGTACAGTTGACCCATCACCCATATTAATTCTTTATCTTTAATGCATACGGACTTATAAAGAACTAACAAATCTACCTTTCTATCCATCGGGGATGGGTTGTTATGCAGGCATCATTGTGTCGATCGTGTAACGAAGCAGCTGAAGCCCATGTCATATGCTATACACACCAGCAGGGAAACCTAACGATCAATGTTAGACGACTTCCATCTCTGAAGCTACCTGGGGAGAAAGACGGAAAGATATGGATGTGGCATCGGTGTCTCAGATGTGCCCATGTAGATGGGGTGCCACCAGCAACTCACAGAGTGGTCATGTCTGAGGCTGCCTGGGGGCTTTCTTTTGGGAAGTTTTTGGAACTTAGTTTTTCAAACCATGCAACGGCTAACCGCATTGCTGGCTGTGGTCATTCTCTGCAAAGAGACTGCCTACGTTTCTATGGGTAATACTGTCTTTCTAACTGCCTATCTAGTTCCTTCGAACCGTAAATATCTTGACTGGGGAACAACTATTTCATGCATTAGTCATAATTAATAACCATGAATATTCGTTTTCATTATTCATGATATCATGCATTTATCATCATCTATCTTCATTATGGATAATTTTCGTTATGGATATCTATCACGGCATTCATCATGAATAATAAATGAAATAGTTGGTTCCTCGGTTCTCGGCATATATACGGTTCTCACATGAACCAAACTTCTTCATATGTATATATACATGTAAGTATATATGTTCATATGCAAGTGAATAGTCTAACTTTTATTTGCCCTACAGTTTGGGCAGTATGGTTGTATTTTTCCGCTACTCTCCAATCGATATTCTTTCTGTCCGTTTGCCGCCATCTGTACTACAGTTTAGTGGCCATGCTCAACAGGATTGGTTAAAGAAGGACGTATCAGAGGTCCAAATTTGCTATTCTTATTGATATTTGACATGAACTTCAAATGAACATGATGCTAACTTTCTTTGTTTTGTGGAGATTAGCTTTTGAGCAAGACAGAAGGCTTGTATGATGAGATATTAGATGTATTACATCGGACCGAACAGAAGAGCATCTCTGATGGTGACGGGATTTTAGATTCCGGCGAGTTAAGTAAGCATGTGAAGGAGTTAAAAGAGATGCTAATTAAAGAAAGAAATGTTTATACCGTAAGTAGACTTTCCTGAATCACAATTCAAAAATATTTTGTTTGATCCCGTGATTTATGACTCACTTGTTCCGTTTCTTGAAATAGGATCTTCTTCAACCTTGCGGCGAAGAGTCTGTTGAGGATCATAGGGACGAAATAGACGTATTTGAACTTAACCGTTTGAGACATTCTCTCATGATCGGTTTGCATGTTTGGGATCGGAGGGTATCGTCCCTGAATTCTATATATAATTCCAAACCAACATATGATGCTGGATCAAAAGTGGAGGTCAAACACCGGAGATGTTTTTCGACTTTTGAACATACTGTTGATCATGGTCGTGCAGCCGATGATTCAGAACCGAATCAAATTGAGGAAACGGATGGATCCCCTCGTGATTTTGAGGAATCTGAATCAATCTCGTCTGATCAATTCGAAGAAGGGCACATTTCTGCCGCATCGTTTCTATCCGACAAGATCGATTCCGCATGGGCGGGACCGTTGAGAGTTGCGTCCCATAATTCACCGACAGACGGGCACGAATCGTCTTTGTCGAGACAAAGAAATCAATCCCATAATCCACATTTTCGAAGGCTGACTTCCACGCCTGCTAGGGTTTATTCCTTCGATTCCGCCATCACCCTTCAAGAAAGATTCACGAAAGAACTGCCTTTCTTGACTCTTCGATCCTTTCAGGATCCCAATTGCAACATACACCGGAGTTACTCTCAAAATTTTCCCAGTGAAGATCCGAAGTCGGAATTCTTAAGGGGGACGAAACCGTTGTTCATTTCCGCAACATCTTTTCTCCCTGAAGGTGCTCGATTGATGCTTCCTTACGGTGGTCAAAACGCAGTGATTGCTGTTTATGACAACGAGCCCACGAGCATAATATCGTACGCCCTTGCTTCTAAGGAGTACGAAGAATGGTTTGCCGATAAACCTCATCTCAATAGAAATCATTCCGTGGCTTCAAAGCTTTCAGCTTGGCAATCTTTTGGCTCTGTCGATCTCGATTACATGCAATACGGTAACTATGGATCAGAAGATCCTTCAACAGCAGTATCATTGTTTACCGATGCCAAAAGTTCTCATCATTTAACGATTCCGTTTGAGGACGAATCGGGACCCGGTGGAAAGGTCAAATTCTCAGTGACATGTTATTTTGCAAAGCAGTTTGATGCTCTCCGGAAGAAATGTTGTCCGAGTGAAGTCGATTACATGCGGTCTTTGAGCCGATGCAAGAGATGGAGCGCGCAAGGAGGGAAAAGCAACGTGTATTTCGCAAAATCGTTGGATGAACGATTCATAATCAAGCAAGTTACGAAAACTGAACTTGAATCGTTCGAGGAATTCGCACCGCAATATTTCAAGTACTTGACGGATTCGCTCAACTCAGGAAGCCCAACTTGTCTTGCTAAAATCGTCGGCATTTATCAGGTCTAATGTTTTCCCTGATCAAATAGCGAAAATAAGTCATGAAATTCTTTCTGTATGTGATTTTAATGATGATTTTGCACTAAGGTTTTTTTTTTTGGGGGGGGGGGGGTGGTCTTGACTGAAACAGCTGCTCTACCCTTTGGGGTTAGAGGGCATGCTTCCGAGCCGGATATAGTGAGTTGGTTTGGTTTATCTTGACGATGTTTTTGTGGTGATAGGTTACTGTGAAGCATTTGAAGGGTGGGAAAGAAGCGAAAATGCATGTGATGGTGATGGAGAATTTGTTTTACAAGAGAAATATATGTCGGGTTTACGATTTGAAGGGGTCGGCAAGGTCTCGTTATAACTCAGATATGACAGGAACGAACAAAACACTGCTCGATATGAACTTATTGGAGGCTTTACGAACGAAGCCCATCTTTCTAGGAAGCAAAGCTAAGCGAAGCCTCGAAAGAGCTGTTTGGAATGACACATCTTTCTTAGCGGTATGATATGATGTTTCCTTTCCCCCTTAATCATCTCAAAAAAAGAAACTTTATCATTCACTACAACAAAATCGATCACGCATATGTTTTTGGACATTTGTGCATATGTAAAGGTTTTACAATAAGTTGAGAGGGCGTTTTTGGACATCCTAACTAGTTTTTTAGGACACTTTTGAAAGAATTGAGTTCTAGTGTTTTAGAGAAAACGATTATGTTGTAGTGATTCGACCATACATCACCAAAGCATACAACTTGTTAAAGAATTGAGTTCTAGTGTTTTAGAGAAAACGATTTTCATGTGCAGTCAATTGATGTGATGGATTACTCGTTGCTTGTCGGAGTGGACGAAGAGAGTAAAGAATTGGTTCTCGGAATCATCGATTTCATGAGACAATACACATGGGACAAACAGCTGGAGACATGGGTGAAAGCATCAGGCATTCTGGGCGGACCCAAGAACGCTTCACCAACCATCATCTCTCCAAAACAGTACAAGAGAAGGTTCCGGAAAGCCATGACCAGTTACTTTCTTACGGTACCAGATCAATGGTCATCGTGAAACGTGGATTCTCGTGTTTCGTTTTGAAGAGCATCTTTTGCGTAATAACGGTCATTAGACATCGATTGGTTGATTTGGGGTTGTTAATGGAAAGCCATCTTTGGGTAGAATTTACCCTTTGATTTGTTGTATTTGTATACAAAATGAAAAGTAGCAGCAGCAGGGCAGAGGTTCTTGATATTTTTTTTTGTTCAATGGAAAGAACCTGTACATGTGAGGCTTCTGTGCCTGGAAATTTCCTTCCACATGAAATATTGCTGTAAGATGCTCTCATAATTAAATGCAAAATTGCTTTGTTCAGCTACATAAATGGAGTCTTTAGTGCCGAAATAATTGGATCTTCTTGGAATGTACATATATTGATGCGTAAGGTACAAGTTATGACTGCATATCTACCTTTTTGCTTTGTACCCAAGTTAAGTTTTCATGGAAACAAGTCGGTGGTTGAGGTAAGAACTCTGTACATCTTATTCCTTTAAGACCCTACTTTCTAATAAGGTATATTCGGTTCATTGACGGAATTAAGCCATTTCCGATTGACGACTTCGCCTCCAAGAATCACCAAAAAGTCGCTACCTCCACAAGTGGCACTTGAGTTATTTCAGAAAAATGCCCACTTCACAAGTTGCGGCAAGGACACTTAGAGGTTGTTTGGTTGTGGCTTAAATTGGGCTGTATAGCCATATAGCTTATTCGCTCAGTTATAAATGACTGTACGGTTATGGCTTAATCTGGAAATCAAGAGTTTATTTGGACAGCTTGAGAAGAACACTTGTCTACATTCGGCCAAACTTTTTACTTCAATACTCTTCTTTTAACAAACAATCTCATCCTCAATAACATCTAAAATCCCAGAAACAGTTAAATATTTGATATTTGACTTTAATTTAAAGATTTTAGATTTGAAAAAAATATTAGGGCTTGATATTTTTGAGAATGAAATTGTTCTAATTTGGGTTTGAATTGATATTTTTTAACCATTCAAAGTCAAATATTCAACATTTTTATCAAACAAATGCTTTAATAGTGTTTAATATAGGTTGGGGGTAAAATCGTGATTTCTGATATTCAGACTGTTTATTCAGTACAACAACCGAACAACTTATCTGTTAATATACAGACAACTATATCCATACAGGTCTTAACGAACCGAACAGCTCCTATGGAAGTATCGACTTTTTTGGTGAGTGTAGGAGAAAGTTGACTATGAGGTGATTTTATTTCACTAGACTTTTGGCTTATAACCCATTTATATCAAATGGGTTATGATTATATTCAGGCAGAAGGATCGTCAAATAAAATCTAGTATCAATGCACAAAATATAAGTCATTATTGACAGCACGTGAAAAAAGAGTGCTGAATGAATCTGGCTTTTGGGTTCTCATAAATGAGGACCCTTTAGTGCTGAATGATGGTACCCCTTGGCTTCTATAATTAGTAACTTTAGTGCAATAATAACTTTTCTGAGTCTTACCAATGCCTAGAAATTAATCAGGAGATTAAATGGAAAAATTATTGGTTCATAAATGCTAGTCATGATTGCATCATAAATAGCATGTGATTGACATGAAAAAAATAACAGAAAAACAAAAAGTAATCTAACAGATTGTTTATCTCTTAATAGTTCCATTAATAGATAGTTTCTGAATCGTTAAGAGAGAATCTTGTTTGGTAAAAAAAATCTGTCTCTTAATGGTTCCAAAATCCTTTGAATGATTTTGCATCATGGGTCTCCCTTAACCATTCAACACCCTAATTTCATTGTAAGCAATTACCAAGTACCAACCAATTATATTTCATTTTGCACTATATCATGAAAGCCTCTTAATCATTTTACAGCAAACCAGCTGCCAAACAGCCCCTGATACTAGTAAACAAGGAAGTATTTCAATCTATTTTATATAACCCTGAACCTATTTAATCGAACTCAAAAGAATATATATGTTCCATCAAGCGAATGTTGTGGTCACACAACCATTAGAATGAAGTAAGGAATTTGTGGTAATGTTCTTGACCTTATCCCTTCTCAGCGAATTCGGATCGACTCCAGCTTTATGAGCTGCAACTACTCCGATAGCTTCCCAGTAGTTCGAAACCTTTACCTGCAAAACAAAGATGTCATTCCTCAAGCAAGTGATGTGCAATCATACACAGAAAAGCATGCTACTTGCAGTATCCCGGTAACCAGTAGAATCTTGGAGGTCGGAATTCAAGTTTCACCATAGGTGAGGAGTGTGCGTGAATATTTGTTGTATATAAATATTACCAAACCAAATGAACTCAGTATATCCCACCTAAGGTGAGGTGGGGTCTGGTGAAGGTAAGATTAGAGGCCATCATTTGCACGCTTGGGGGGGCCATGGGCCTAGCCCAACATATTTTTCGTGTCTAACCGGCCTAATATAGCAAACCCAAGCCACTTTTTGCGGGCTTGAAAACTTGCCCATACCACCCTATAAACAGGTCGGACTTGCCAACGGGCTAACCCGCCTAAAAGATTTACATTTAAAAACTTATATAAAATGGTAAAATGTAAAATTATTCAAAATACATAATCTTTCTCCATCTAAAAAACGTAAAATATACTAATGTAAACAGTGTAAGAAAGAGGTATTTTCACAAAATATGGAGCTTAGATTTTTTCTAAGATCATCAACCTTCGAAATTCAGATTGCTCAACAACAAAATATTTAACCACCTAATGTTATTAAGATCGAGAGTCTAGATGTAATAAATCACATTTCACATATAATATATATTTCGGAGGTGGTTGGTACTCAGTAGAGGAAGTCTAACCCATAACCACTTCTAAACTTTTTTTAATAAAATATTAATTATATAAAAAAATTTAATTTATTATAATTATATAACAAGGCTGGGCGGGCCTGTCCAAATTTTTTTGTCATCACCCGAGCCCACCCATAATTTTTAGAATGTTTGTCCAGACCCGTTAGAACAGCGGGTCAGACAGGCCGGATCTAGCAGGCTTTACTGCCCATGAACAAGTCTAGGTATGATATATGCAAACATGACCTCTACCCGAAATAGTAAAGCGTTGTGAGTATAATTATATACTTTAAAAAAAGTTCATGTTGACATACCACATCAATTCCAAGTTTATCTGGAGTGTCATTGAGCACGGTTTCATTCTCTTGCACGCAAATAATAAGCGGCTGCAACATAATCAGCGCTATAATGGTTATGATGTTACAGAATCGATTATGCTTTTTACAAACGTAATGTATGAATCAGAACTATTTACCTTGGTTCTTTTGTGTGCGAATGCAAGAACACCATCTCCTCCACAGGCATCTGCTGGGAGAATGATACTATCAACATCACTTGCTGCTATGCAATCATTTCCTCCGGACCCTGGCTTATCGGTTAGGTACTGTGGTGCATTAGCTAAGCCAGCAAGCACACATGGCAAGAATGTGTATCCCAACTGTTTAAAAGATCAAAAAGAAACCTTTTTAGATATATATATATATATATATATATATATATAATGAAAGCCATAAATATATTGAGAACTGTGAGAACCAATATATGCATTGATGCATACACGCTATATGAATTTAAGCGGGTATATGCACCAATGCATGCATACTTGCATATATAGTACATATGCATCGATGAATATACTAATTGAAATATACATATTTTGATGGATAATATGGATAAATGAATATATATGTATTTATGTATGTATGCATATCCATAGAGGTAGGATAAGGGGAAAGCCCCCAAAAAAATGAAAATTTGAGGAACACCCTGGTATCATTCATCTAGAGAGTATGCAAATGTGCATACAAGTAATGGAAGTTGTTTTTGTTTTTTTTGCACATGTGCATACCGGACAAATTGCTTATAAATTACTTGTATGCACATGTACATACCAAACGAAAACCAAGATGTTTCTCAGTTTTTCATTTTTTGCGGTTTTCCCCCGACCCTGACCCTGTATGCATATATTGATTCTCACTGTACTCGAAATATTTATGGTTCTCATTTGAACTCTCTCCTATATGTATATGCATGCATGTATGTATATATGTAGATAGAGAACAGAGACACAACTCACTTCTTCGGCAGCAGATTTTGGACACAAAGATTGGGTAAGCGGAGGAGGTAATAGGGCAGGTGCATGTGCACAAGGGATAGCGAAATTCTTCACCACTAGATGGCTTATAATGGCTTCCACTCCTGCTAGAAGGTCAATTCCCTGTAGAGTTAATATAAGCATAAGATAGTACTGAACACAAATTGTGCCTAACACCGACATCTAGAAGAATAAACCTTCTGATATATACTTTTTAAATGCATGACCTTCTCACAGATTTTGGGACATTCTTATGTTATGAATAAACAATTTTCAGTTAGGCAGAGACGTTCTTAAATCTGTCAAAAGGCTATTCCCCTAATTAACCCTGCAAATTGTGGGCACACCCATATGCAAAATCCAGTGGTGCCCAATCCATTTTATGTTAATATTACCTTTCCTTGCCTATAGTCATCCACATCTTCAATATCATCATCTGGAAAACGGGCCACGACAGCAACAGCATTTACCATACTCCGATCACACAATGCTTGTACTGCCCTTAATAGGGAATCAGGACGCTTTATCCTTCCTGTTGCCTTCCCACTCTTTTGATCGACCCATTTTTCCACCTGCATATTCTCAAACTTAAGTTACGGATGGGTCTTGATTCCTATTCCATTTACTATTGGAACTTTTTCGCACTTTTCTCTTTGTATCAAGAAACTTGACGGTACTATTTCAAGAAACCAATTTCCTACCTCTAGAGGTGTATCAGTGACAATATAGTCAAGAACCGGCAAACCAAGAGAAGCCCTTGTTGCATCAACTACTTGTAGATGACGAATGCGTAGCTCTTCCTCGATTCCTGCATCAAGAACCAATCCCACCTGTTTACATGACATAATAATGTATGAACAAACACTTACTCACCGAGATCAAACAAACCAAATCAAACGAACCCCGTATATCCCACCTGAGGCAGGATTTACATTGATGGTAAGATGTACATAGACCACACCTCTACCCCAAAGAGTAGACTGGATGTTTCCGTGAAGATGTAAGCAACGGTACAACAATTGAGGCCACTGAGTTTATCAGGGCTGATGTCTTACAGTCGTAATTTGTTCCAAATAAAAAGAGGTCAGCAATGGTTCCGTATGAAACCTTGTTCTGGTGAACTGGCTGTAGTACCCATAGGCCTTCAGCAAACCTATCGAGAGCGTAACCTTCCACATACAAGACATTCGGCATTGGCCAGTAAAGCATTGCAGCGTTAAGAACCTGGGAAATTTCAGGTATTAGAAGTCTTATATCACTTCTGATTAAAAATTCGTCGAAGTCTGAAAGCAAAATCAATGAACAAGACTGTTAGTTTTTGGAAATGGACATTTGTCCGAATTACATGTAATTGTCTATTTATTACATGTAATTGTCTATTTACCCTTCAAAATATGATAACATTAAATTACTCCCAAATGGGGTTCATTTAGAGGTATCACTTCAACATGAAGCATCACATATTTGGGGTTTAGTGTCTAGGGTTTAAGGGGAGAGAAGTCAATATCACAGTTTGAGAGATATATACAGATTGCAGAGAATCGAGAAACATACATTAGGATGAGAGATGACGCAATCGGCGACGGAAGCTAGGGTCCGAGCCACGGGTAAAGCATCGCCGGCGTAACCTCCGATCGAAGCACCAACTCCGGTGGGCACAATCAAAACGCTAGTGTACGGTCTCTTCCACTGCACCGAGATACACTCTTTGTGACAAATAAACACCAAAATTTCATATGAGAGTGAGAGTGTATCCAGTGAAGCTACAACTAACCTTGCTAGACACAGAAGAATTCGAACATGATACTCGAAATTGTCTGTGTTTTAACCTGCTACGCACGTCAAACCGGACGGGAAGTTCCCTGCCGGTGGTGTTCGAGAACAGAGAAGTGTGATTTAGAAGTGACATCCTCGCCGGCCTGAGAAGATTCCGACGAGCCACAGGATAGCTCAGGGCGAAGTTGCGTCTTAAAAGTCACGAAACAGAAATGAAGTTAAGGATTAGGCTTAAGTTACAGTTTGACTACTCGTACTTTAACTTGAGAACAATTCAACACCTTCTAACTTTCGTACATATCAAAATTAGTCCCCATCAAACTATAACAAGCCAACCACATATACATATACATATACATATACATATACATATACATATACATATACATATACATATACATATACATATACATATACATATACATATACATATACAGGGGCTTAATCAAATGAGAACTGAATTGTTTGTGGTAACTGTGAGAACCAATATCAACCACACATCTTAAATATCAATGGCTAAAATTGAAAARAATCTTAAWTRRTRWRATKSYWAAATTAGATTAATGACATTTAATGAGATAATAAAAAAGGGCAAAATTAGATTAGCTTTCCATAATGGCTCAAAGTATTTCCTGCTTATTTAAATAATGAATCAATTTAAAATCATGTTTTTGTTCTCTTAAAACAAGGATAATCATTGGACTTGAGGAGTACATGCTACCGTATGTATCTGACACCCTAGTATCTGATGTACATTTGCATCACCAAAAACTCGTTGTTTTTTTATATGTAAATTCAAAACAGTAAGATGTACCACATGTTACCACAGACATAGATATCACATATGTTTGCATTTCCAAACTGTTTGCACAGAAACATTTATCATTGTGGTATCCATGAATGATTTAGGTACCACACGAAACCACAACCTTTGGTAAATGAAAATGTACCTATGCAAACAACACAATAATATGTACCATATGTTAACATAGTTATAGGTACCACATGTGTTTGCATAGATACATTCCCATTTCCAAACTGCTTGHARACACATTAATCACTGTGGTATCCATGAATGTTTTAGGTACCACATGTGTCCACAACCTTTGGGGAATGAAAATGTACCACATGATACCACAACCTCCATAACATCTACATTTACTTCATGAGAATTGGCATATACACTATCTTCATCAAATTGACATGAATTGAAGAATCAATAGAATTTTTACAATTGTTTTTCATTACGTTATCAATCTCCAGGATGAATTTTTTGCAGAAAAAAATTATTGATTTCACATTCTTAAATATTATGGATACAATCTTCAACAAATATGTGTGATTTCATGTAATTTATCAGAATCATGAACATGTTTGCACAAACGGATTATTTTTTTTGAAATTATTTCACTAAATCTTATCAATATTTTATTTTTGGAATGCAAATCAATATTAATTATTTTATTTGAAACGGTTGCATTTTAAAAATTAAAATTTAATTTTAAATTAAGAATTGACTAACATACCCTTTTAATTTGATTTTAATTRTATAATTAATATATTAAAATGATTGGTTGAGATTGGTTCTCACAGTTACCACAAACAACTCAGTTCTCCCTTGAATAGGCCCCTACATATACATATACATATACATATACATATACATATACATATACATATACATTAGTTATATAAATTTATCGACTTTCAAGGTGGATAAGTGGAAATGGAAGTCATGTTTCATGATTAGTCTATTTTTCATCACATACCCACATAATTATAAAGTCAAAAACTCGAACCTTCAATGTTGTTTCCTTCAATTCTTTGGGGCTGTTTGACAGTTGCTGAGTGATTTGGAGCAAAACGATTAAGTGATCAGAATGATTAAGACACTCTTACTATATAGTGTAAAATGAAATATAATTGTTTGGTAATTATTTACACCGAAATCAGGGCGCTGAATGGTTAGAAAAGACCCAAGATACAAAATCATTTAAAAGGTTTTAGAACCATTAAGAGAAAGATTTTTTTTTTTCAAACAAGATCCACCTCTAAACGATTCAGAGACTGTCTCTCAATGGAACTATTAAGAGGTAAACAAACAACCCCACATCACACACGAGAAGGTTTCAAAATGAAAGCAAGAGCGTAAAAATACACCATAAGGTGCAAATTACAAATTTGAAGGGGAAAAAAGTTAATAAAACTGAAAAAATAAACCAAGTTGTCATAGTAATCATCAACTAATTTATATGTTATGATCTCCTTTACACAGTTAATGACCATTTATAGAAAATATTAGTGTTTGGAACAAGCAGCATTACAATGAAGAGAAACCAGTTCAACTCTTACTCACACATTCACAACAATCACCATATGACTAATGTTGATTCAACAGCATTTATCATCGAAGTATAAGTTTTCTCTGTCTCGGGATTTCCAAACAAAGGATTTCGAAATCCCACGAAGATGTTGGTATTTCACAGAATTTCGTAGGATTTGTATGTAATAATGTTTTAAAATATGTTAAAAACACAAGAACTGAAAACTTAACCACTAAAGCAGTTGGTTTTCAAGATTGAATCTCATAACAGAAGATCCACCAAAAACATCCACAGTTACATTAAATCAAACTTCTTTTAACACAAATACTTTCAAAAAGATCTAATCTTTTTCCACTTTTGCCCCTCACATGATTGAACAGCTGCTTGTGTTCTCATCACTAGTGTAGTAGTAGCCATGAGGTGGCTCATTGTAAGTGTAAGGGGCAGTATTGTAATTGTAATTGTAGTAGCAATGCCCAATGGTGGGTGGCATCACAGGAGACCTCTGGTTCATCATCATCATCTGCTGCTGCATTGCTTGCCTGTTCTGAAGGTTCATCATCATTGATGCAGCAGGGTGGTTGTACTCTTCCTGCTGCTGCTGGTTGTACCCTACCCCATTCATGGTCAACATCATGTGTTGACCACCACCACCGCCAGCGGCAGCCGCCATTGCTAGTCCACTGTTCTGAGGCATTTCAAACCCTCTAATACCACCATTCGTCATGGAGCTCAACTCATTTACCCTTTTGCCCTCGTTCAAATTCACAGAATTACCCTTTTGCCCTCCCAAATTCTGACCTTTCTTACCATTTCCATCGGTGGGTTGACTTTTGTTTTTGGAGTTTCTTGGATTATTGTTTGCAGATTCTTGCTGTTTTTGCTGTTGATTCTGTTTCAGAAAACCCATCTGGTTTGCTTTGCCTCTCAGAAACCTCAAATCCTCATCATCTTCAAAAGAAGCATCAACTTCCTCAGAGGTCAAAGATTGATTCTTTTGCTGCTTTTTTAAGGAATCAGGGGATTTGATGAAGTCTTCTTTCTGGGTTTTGGTTTTCTTGTCATCTTTCATACAACCTTTTTGAATTTGATTTTGATTTTGATTTTGACTTTGACTTTGACTTTGACTTTGGTTCTGGTTTGACCACATTTCAGCATGTTTACCAGCTTTCACAAGTTTCTTTATCAAAGTTGCAGCGTCTACACTTCCTGAAACTGTCACCTTCTGCTGCTCTGCATCTATGCTCACTTGATATACACCTATATATATATATGTATATGTATATGTGTGTGAGAACAAGAGTAATGGTGAGAACACTTTTGAACTCTTGATGAGTTGACTTTTTCATCTAACTTCATCGTTTTCATTCAAACCTTTAGTACCTACAACTGCGTTCATCTACCTTCATCTTTGTTTTTAATCACTTTCACGATGTTTTGCATACATTTAATCACTTTTACATGGACCAACTTGTTAAAGTTCCGGTCATGATGATAAAAATAGGTAAACAAAGGTATTTGAAGGTATATGAAGGTTTTGTTCTCACATTATTGATGTAACTCTTATTTTCACTTGAACCCAACTTATATATATATATATATAGAGAGAGAGAGAGAGAGAGAGAGAGAGTGGTTGGATTCTGGGGAGAAAGAGAGTTAACGTGAGAAGTGTAAGAAGGGATCTCCACTCTTGGATGCATATTATGATGAGATACACCGGATCAATCCTCGTATTAAGTACGATTCATGAGTAGGTTTTAGATTAAAGATGATCAAAGGTTCAGATGTCTTCTTACGCTTCTCACCTTAACTCTCCTTCTCACATGATTCTTCGCCTATATATATGATGACAATCAAATGAGAATCACAAAAATGTTACAAACTTACGGGAACTTGCATGAAATTCTTCATCAAATGCTATGGTTTTAGGCTTTTAGCTATTGTTTCACATATGTATGTGTTCATTACATTAAAGAAAATCCATGTGAAACTTTCAAGACTTCTTATTTTTTTAGTATCAAGCTGTTGATACTAGATAAAAGGTAACTCAAAAAATTTCTTTGTCCCCGACGACCCTTTTGGTTCACACAGTGAAACGAAAAATACACAGAAAAAAGTTTCACAACATGAAACAAATACATGTGAAACTATCATATTATAAAACAAATATACATGACATAATACCTTAAATCCTAGCATTTGATGGAAAAAAATCATGCAAAATAACTATTTTTTTAATCGGTTCCCATGGGTTTATAATCTTTTTATGGTTGTCATTCAATTTGATATATATATATATATATATATATATATATATATATATAGACTTGGGATCATGTGAGACCAACCTGTTTTCATGAGACCATTTTCTTACACTTGAAACTTCACAGTAAAATGTTGTGAAGGTTCGGATTTTTCCTTCACAGTGTTTTTGTTGTGAAGTTTCAAGTGTAAAAAAGTGGTCTCACGGGTCCCACGAAAACAGACTGGTCTCACATGAACCCAACCCTATATATATATATATATATATATATATATATATATATAATATACACCTGTATTATACTTGTAGATTGTGCATTGAAATTTGTACTTTAGCAAAGTCAAGAAATTTTCCATCTGATTTGTTAACCATGATAGATGGGATAAAAATTCTTTGAAGAAGACAGTAGCAAGAGGTAATTCCTAATCCCAGAGCTGAAAATCCCAAATTCAAATAAAGACAGCCTCCACGACTTGTACATCACGCATTAAAAGATGTACATTTCTATGGATTCAGCAGTTTTGCCTCTAAAAAAAGGGTTTTCTTTAACCAAGCATTACATCACAAGAACTGAAAGAACACCAGATTTTTGCATAAACTTTCAAACAGCATCTCAAAAATCCCAAATCACAACCCACATGCAAACACTAAAAACGAAGTAATTCCTTTTCCCAGAGCCAAAATTCCCAAATCCAAACCAAATGCACCATCACAATGTGTACACCATGCATTTGAAAGCTGCAAATTTCTAGATTTCATGAATTCCAGCTCTGTAAAAAGCAATATATCTCAAGAACACCACATGTTGCATAAATTTAGAGACTTTATGAAAAACCCATATCACAATCAACAAGATTTATCAGTAGAAACACAAATCTGAAGAGAAAGAAGGAGAAATCACCTTCAATTCTCTGAAGGGTTTTCTTGACTTTGTTCTTGCAACCATCACAGTGCAAGTTCACTCTCAGAATACATGTCTATGGATATCACACAAAATAAATAATTAATTAAAAACAGAAGATATGAGGCATGAAAATGGAAAATATGGAGAAAAATAAATAATAATTAAAAAAGAAAAATGAAAAAGAAAGAAAGACCTGGATCTTGAGGAGCTTGAAGTCTTCATCTTTGGTCATTTTCTTGAATGGTGTTTTGGGGTGTTTCAGAATAGTAAAAAGAAGGATGCAAGAAGGCTATAAAATGAAATGTAGGCATGTAGCTGTGTCATTGAAAAGATAGGGGTAAAAGTGGAAGTTCAGAAAAAAGGCAACTTTTATTTTAAGGGCATCTTCAATGGATGACACTCTATCAAAGTGTCATGGACTGCCACATCAGCATTTCACTCATCATACAACTCTATCATTTTATACCCACACTCCATAACACCCCAATGAGTTTAATGGATTTCCACATCATATATATATATATATATATATATTATCTATAAATATAATTTTACCAACAAATTTAAAAATCTACTAAAAACAAGGAATAATACATTAAAATGAAAATGAAACGAAATTAAAATACATTTAATAAAATTAATGTAATATCTTATTAATGTAATGTATTTTGAAATTAATGTAATGTTTTATTAATTATGTTGTTTTTATAAATTAAGAAAAATAAAAATAAAAATTAATTTATTGATTAATAAATATCATATTATAGTGTATGTATATATATATATATATATATATAAAATATCATAATTAAATCCTTACAAATTTAATTATAAAAGAAAAAATAAATTAATGGGTCCCATTGACCTCCCCATGATGTGTACAATGGCCATTAACCTTTATTCTATTAACCTCCATTCACAATGCATGATGCATGTAATGGCTCTCATTAACCTCCTCATTAACCTCCATTGGAGATGCTCTAATTATCACAATTAAAACGAGTCGGGTCACGTCAGATCAGTCTGTTTTACTGGGTTCAAGGACGTTTTTGGAGGCCCTGTTACACCTAAAGCTTTTGATTACAGTGTAAAATGAGACAACAAAGATACATATATATAAATTAGATATGTGATGATAAGCCCTATTACCTTATTCTTGTAACATAAATTAGTGAGGCACTGAGGTGGACTATACTTTATATTCGTTTATGAAAGGCCCTAAAACAATGTAAAATTGACCACAAAATTTTGGGGCCCGATTCAAAATCACACATTTAGCATGCTAAAGAACGGCTCTGACTGGTTTCCACCTCTAACACATAAATAACACAGAATCTTTAGAAGTATTTTTGTTGTAAAAGTTTGTTGGTTTTTACACATTTACAATGTTTTATTGTAAAATTTTAATATTATTTTGTAATTTTACAGGTCTCATAAAAACATGTCAGGTCTTTGTAACCCGACCCAAATAATAAACGACATAAATGCAAAACGTCGTCTCACGTTGTACGAACAAAGTTTATGGTCTTTTTTAATTGATTTTTTTAAGAGAAAAAGATAATGCAATTTGTTTATTGTTTAAAAAATCCAGTTATATGTGTTCTTGAGCTATGAACTACTCAAAAGTGGTACACTTAAAAGAATCAAAAGGAAGGCATTTGTGGTTGTTTTGGTTTAATTACATTTTCCAAAGCAACAATTTTGTAAATTTAATCAAATATGTTTATTTATTTTATTATTTAATGTATTTTTAGATTATCGAAATTTATTTGTTTTTTTATTTATTTATGTGTTTTGATGGTATTTTGTAAGAAAAAAATTTAAAAGGTATTAAATCTTACATCAAATATTAAATTTGATACCAAATTATTTTAATGGAAACATCAAATTTGGTGTGACATTAATATTCACACCAAAATTTTAAACCATTACAAAAAAAATAAATTTAAGAGGAAATTGCATGAAAAAATAATGTACTTTAACTTGATTCATATTTTGGGTAACGTACATTTAAAACTGCCATTTTGGTACCTAAAATGTAAAGTTTTAAACATTTAAGTACTTAGGTAACCGGTTGAAGCAAACTGGTTATCATGTTGATGTGGCGAGTGATGTGGTATCCAACTAGGTATTATTGCTGACGTGGTTAATGACATGAATTTTTTTTAATCTAAAATTAGTCTTTTTTAATTTGAAATTAGTCTTCAACCAGTTACCCGGGTACTAAAGTGTTTAAAATTTTACATCTTAGGTACCAAAATAGAAGTTTTAAAAGTATGTTACTCAAAAATAGTTATCAAGTTAAAATATGTTATTTTTTCATGCAATTTGTCCTAAAATTTAATGTTAACCACTGGAATAGATTTATTATTTCCATCAATTTTTATAGATTTAATGTAATATTTGGTGTTACTTATTGGAGATGCCGTAAATATATTTAAGAGTTTACTCATTTGGTCACGTGTGGCGTGTGATTTTTATTTCAATTATGTTAATAGCGGTATGGTTTTTGCTAAATTTTCGTTCCTTTCAGTTATATACCTTTATTTGAAAAAAATACAAGAAACAGAAGGATAAAATGACCATTTTAACCTTTATATGCAAGGCATGTGGGATTAATTAACGGATGAAAGTTAAAGATCGTTAATGTGAGGGTCGTGCCTCTCAAGATGTCAAATTTGGAAAAAAAAAAAAAAAACTATTGCAACAGAAATTTGGAAGTCACAAAACTACGTTTAAAAGCGTACTTAGGGGCCGTTTACCAAATCCTTACCCGGTAAGCGCTTACCGGTAAAATTTAGCACTACCACTTACTTACTGGGTAAAACTTTTGTCCACCAAAACGGCATTGTATGCAACAATTTACCCAATAAGTGTTAACCATGGTAAGAGTTGTCGCACTCACTTACCGGGTAAGACTCTCGTCCTTGTCTTCCTCTTACCGGGTAAGATTCTTGGTCCTTACCACTATTCATCTGGTAAGGTAATATGACCTGGGTAAGCATTTGGTAAACGGCTCCTTACTCTAGGTTTATAAAATTTAATGAACGTTTATATGAAAAGAAAATTAAATTTGTATTTCTATTTTGGTTTCAACTTCAGACGTTTTAAATGATAATGGATTGGGATATTAACGAACTTTCATGTGTTTGCAATCGTTTTTAGCTCCCGTCACACCGTCGAATTTTATTTCACCCAATGTGTTATAAAAGGTCAAATATACTTACGTGGTAATCAAAATAATTAAAAGAGAATAACGCCTCACAGACTCGGAATCATGTGAAACCAGACTATTTTCGTAAGACCGGCTAAATCACATAAATAACACTAGACCTTCACAGCAAAAACACTATTAAAGTAGGGAAACAACCTTCACAGTGTTTTTACTATGATGTTTTACTATGATGTAATTTTATGGTCTCACAGATTTCACAAAAATATATTGGTTTCACGTGAATCCGACCCTCGTATTTGAACTATCTGTGTAGAAAAAGTGAAACGAAATTCATCTGTGCAATAAGTAAAAGTTAAAGAACAAGAGAGCCGTTTACCAAACACTTATCCAGTAAACGCGGTAAACGCTTACTGGTAAATTTAACAATATCATTTTCTTACCAGATAAGATTTTTGTCCACCAAAACGGTATCATATGCAGCAATTACCCGGTAAGCGCTTACCGTGGTAAGAGTCATCGTCTTTACTTACCGAGTAAGACTCTTGATCTTTGTTTAGCTTTTATCGGGTAAGATTCTTGATACTTACCATATTCATCCGGTAAGGTAAAATGACTTAATGGTCACTTACCCGAGTAAGCGTTTGGTAAACGCCCCTAAAATCATTCAATAACAAATGCAACTGTGAGCATGTTGAATGAAAGTCCCACTAATCGATCCTGAATTCGAGCCCATAAACAAGCTTAATGTTTAGATATATAACTCAAATTTATTAAACAAACATCGATCTCACAAGCTCGAACATTAAAAAAATATCCGAACTCGAGCTCAAACACTATTTTGAAAAATCGTTAGCTCGAGCATGATATCAAATTCTCAAGTCGAGTTCGAGCACCGGTTACTCCACTCATGAAAGATCCTTGATATTTTTCACAAAGTGAATCAACACCACCCTACCTTCCTCTTACATAAACATCAAAATCCAATCCATAATGTTCTGCTTCTGGGTTCTAAATATTTCCCTATCAAAACTGCTACCTCTCATTCTCAATAGCTTATTAAAAACACCCGATTGGCACTTAGCTCCATCTTCTTCGGTCCTCTTCCTCATCCACGGGCGTATACCACAAAGGCCGTCTCTTCGAATTGCTCAATCTGTAGTTCAAGTAAACTTCTTCGTTACAAAGGGACCTAGTGGCTACAAGTGCAATACTCTTCATAACCGGCCCTTTCATTTGACCATCGCTTGATTCCCCCCCGGATTTAAACCAAAAACTCCCAAACCTCTTCATCTTAACGTCCCCCGTACCCCCAAAAACTATATTTGGGATATATGCTCTCATACCCTTTTCCGACAAAGGAAAATCATAGGGACAAACCATAACATTAGGATCCATACCCATTGTTGGGTGGTTCGCGAAATGACCTAAAGCTAAAGGGTTTCTTCTCTCCAATACCTCACCGTTGCACCCTAACCTTGACCCTTCCAATGGTTTGCTTAACATCTTCCAGACCCGGTCTGAGCCAGTTTCAGAGGGTTGTGAACCAGGGTTAGACTGATATACTCTAGACTGGCCCCATGGTTCCCTGGCTTCACCACCGGTGCCCCAAGGTTGAGCATTAATTACTGTTCCATCGTATCTAGTATTAAGATAAGGATTTTGTGCATCAACTCTTGGATATCCAGGGATATAACGGTAATATGCTGGAGAGTATATCACACCCGGGTAGAGTGCTATCACAGAGCCAACATCTGCTTCACCGTCTACGAACAAACCTCGGCCGGCTTGTTCATGGGGAATTTGAGACGGTTTGAGCTCGAGGGTATAACCCATGAGCTCTTTCAACCTTTGGGATAACTCTGCAAATGTCAACGGTTTTGTCTCCGGAATAGCTGTCCTGAAAATTTCATCATTAATAAGCTTCTACTGGAAAAAGCTGATCAAAAACGGAGTTCTCTGAAATATATTTAACAAAACTGAGTACAAAGGCTTTGAATAGACCAGACAACCAACATGTCTTTTGAACCATCATCCTCATTATACTTTGCTACAATGAATGATTTTCGACAAAAGTGTCAAAAGAGATGGTTCTTGTTTGCATTTCCATTTCAACAATTTATCCAAAATTGATCATTCATGTAAACTACAATATTCTATTTCGAATTTTAGCAAGAACAATGGTTAGTTTGCATAAAAGGTCAGATAGATGGTTTGGAAAGAACAATCACTCTTATTTAATCATTGCTCATTTCCTAAAGGGTGCAAGAATCAACAGATAAATTGTTATTCAAATTTCAAATAGATATTGAGAAGTTTCCAGTGTCAGATAATCAGCCAAGACTAATATTAAGTGGTCGATTAATTTCTAATCTAGGGAAACAGGATAACCTAAATGCATGTTGTTGCCGACTTGCCGACTTGCCGCCTTTGAGGTAGAGGATTAGATTGGCTTATGTGATAGAAACGATAAATTTCTATTTGCAATTTGGATCTATATCAAGGTGCCATAAGAAATTACCCATCATGGCTGCTAAAACTGAAGAAGTATGCTTTTTAAATTCAAGAACCGAGTAACAAAAGCTTACCAAGATCCATGCTCGCTGAAGCAGTCCTACCAATGGCAAGACTAAGGCCACTCTGGCGAGGAGTTGTATTCTTTTGAGATGATTCAAGTGCCTCATCATGGGCCTTTATGTCAGGAAGAAGAATTTCATCCATCGATGTGCAGAAGTTTGTAATCTGAGAATGGATGTTTTCTTGGACCTGCCTTTCTTGGTCTGCTAATTCAGCCTTACTTGCCATGTTAATTATCTCCTCTACATCTGCTTCTTCAGCATCCTTCCCCACACGGTTGTAGCTGCAACAGTAAGTAATACATCACCATTCAGCACTCTTGTATCACACACACACACACATAAATACGTATGTATAAAGACGGTTATAGATAGTTAAAGATTAAATGGGTGTATATTCATGAACATTCTACGTGCAACTTTCAAAGTTCTAGAGTCTTCCTTTCAGGTTGTCCAAAAAGACAAATTGCATGCTGCCCCAACATACATCAGACAGAATATCGCAATCCAATAAGAAAAAAATGTTGCATTCTAGGTTCTGTAACAACCACTTCTGTAAATATAAACAAGATTCTTTTCAAATAACTTCAAAATTTATGGTACCCCAATAACTCTTGAGAAGTATTTGCTCCTATTCTCAAAACTCATTTTTTGTAAAAATTACCTCTGCCAATTTGATTTGAACATTTATATTGATACTAATTAATCTTCATTTTCAAAGGAAAAAGCATGAGTTTGAGATTGAAAAGGGTGCCTTATTGGCAAAAAGTATTGACGTCATAATGTCAAGTTTGAACTAGTGTAAATCCTGGATTCCACCAATCTCGTTAAGGTTATCACATGTATAACGAAGAAGAAGATTGAAGTCAAAACATTAAAATAGAAACTTACTAGGCTTATATGGATTAGCAAGATAGGATGCTGATGTTATCATAAACAACACATAGTTGCTTTGTACTCCCTCTGTCCCACAATAAGTCTCGACATTTCTATTTTAGTTTATCCCAAAATAAGTGTTCACTTTCCATATTTACCCTCAATTATGAGATCGATAAATTTGTTACTCCCTCTGTTATTAAGGGTAAATTTGTCATTTAGTTAATTTAGAAGTGTAATAATTACGCATCTAAAACTGTGAGTCTTTTCCATTGTGGACATTAATTTTGGAACAAAGGGAGTATTTCCAAAATTGAGTTATTTTCTCGACTCTCGACTGCCAATTTGAAAAAAATGGTGTATGATGCCAAGTAAATTTAAATACTAAATGAGATTTTACAATTACGGAACTCTTTACAGAAAATAGATCATGGTATTCAGATTGACATCTACTTGATAAAAAATAACCATGTATCGACGAAAGCATTTAGAAAATGAAATATCAGCAATGGCAATAAGTTTGTCCACAATAATACATACATGAGAAAAGTAAGCAAAACACGAGTCCACACATAGTTGAAGGTCAGTTGCATTGGTAAGAATATGACCTGGTATAGAGAAAGAGACGATTTATGTCTGCTTCAAATTGAAGGCGTCTTGGTTCTTTTGCAAATGTCGGACTTTTGGCAAGCGTTCCCACAAACTAGAAAGACAATAGCAAAATAAGAAACAGTGATAAGGAAGCAGAGCTAAGACAAAACACATGTTATTCATGATTCTTAAACAAAGCCAAACGAACCTAGCATATACCACCCAGAGTGGGCGCCTGAGAGGGTAAGATGTAAGCAAACCTGACATCTACCCTCAAGAATAGCGTGGTTGTTTCCGTGAATGCTATTCATGCTTCCTATTACTTCCTTTCTAGAATTAGATTCCGTTATTACTTTTCCGAGTCAAACAACTATTTTAAACCAAAACGATATGAATTTGTCAATTTTGTTAGTATCACAAAGTTTGTACTCCCTCCTTCCCAAGACCACCAGTTGTACCAAACCCTTGGCTCTGCTGCTGAACCAATAATTTAGGTTTTGACATCAAATGTAAGAAATATTCCAATTCATAAATGCTATTCTCTTGATATTCAAGCACAATATCATTCTCTTAGAGCAACTCCAATAGTATGCTAAAATAGTGTTTTTGCCGTTCTCTAAACTCCAACCGGCAGGCAAAGAGAACTGCTTTTTTGCCGAAGATGGGAGAGAAACGGCAAATATGTCGGCCTCCTGTTCAAATGACATAAATACTGTGCGTTTGATTTGAAGCGATTTTTGGTGTCCATAGTCCCACAAATTTGCAGAATTTTCTGGTGTTAAGGTCGGAGTTGCTCTCAATGGTACATATTACAAAGTTTAATCTAGCTGACAATCTGTTATCTAGAAGTTCAAAACACAGTTTGAAGTCCAAAGTAACCAAAATCAAAGTTCAGCTCTTTTTTCAGTATCTAAGAAGTAGTTGATACCACGTTCCTGATATTTTCTATATTCATCATCTTGTTCTCTACACAAAACAAATTAGTTCAACGGGATCCCAATAAAAGACCAATTTTACCAAAATCCCAAATGGAAGCTATAGCAAATTTAAACATCTCATGCCTATAATTTAGTGTAAGATCACAAATACCACATGACAACAGTTTCCAAGACATAAATCGACAAATTATAGAGCCGAATTGACGATTGAATATGAGGAAACCTAAATTCACGGAACTGACGATTACGGAAACGGGGTTAACGCATTGGGAATCGAATGTGAAGCTGTTCATTAGCGTATGCGTTGAGAGAGAAAAAGGAGTACCTGTTGAAATTTCTGAAAGAGAGACGCCATGAAGTAGTAGAAGTGATGTTGGATTGGATCGAATCCCTTGTTCTCTCTCTCAGTCTCCACTTCCCAACTGAACTTGTGGGCTTTGAAGAAAAAGGAGAAAGATTTGTCATAGGGTTCATAAAACAATTACAGTAATCTCAAATAAAATTTAATTATTTATATTAATTTAACCAAAACTTTTAAAAATTATTTTTAAGAATAAATTATTATTTATTGATGTATGTTACTTATAATTTAAAATTATAAATAAATTGTGTGTAAATATAATTTATTAATGCTTCATGTTTGAATTTGTATAACTAACAACATAAACATAATCAAATAAAAAATAAACATCTCATTTTAAATATAAAAATCTAAAACATAATCAGGATAATCGTTGGGTTATAACATAATACTTTTATAATATTAAACCAAAAATAAATTACTTCGTTAGTAAGTCTAAATTAAATTATAATAAAAAATTGAATCAAACAAATTACAAAAAACTAGATTTTTAAAAAACATTTGTATATTATTTCATAGTTGGAAAATTTTAAATGTACTAGAAGAGTGTCTTTATCGGGGTTAGATCTTTGAACTTATGTATGAGCCTTAGGGATGGTTTACAAAATATTTATCCAATAAGTATTTATCGGTAAAATTTAATGCTATCATTTATTTATTGGGTAAGATTTTACTCCATCAAAACGGTATCGTATGCAACAATTTACCTGTTAAGCGCTTACCATAGTAAGAGTAGTCGTCATCACTTACCGGGTAAGACTCTTGGTCTTTATTTTACTCTTATCGGGTAAATTTTTTGGTCTTTTATCATATTCATCTGATAAGGTAATATAACTTAATGTTTACTTACCCGAATAAGCTATTAATAAACGGTCATTTAGTCATGTGGATGTCATGAATGTTTGACAACAATATAGCTTAAAATTAAAGAAACTTAAATATTTTAAAAAGAATTGTTTTGTAAATATTTTTGAATATTTGTTATATGATATTTATCATTAATATTTTATCACCTTATCCATTATACCATTTAAAAAAATTGATTTTTGAGTCTCTAAAATATTTAAAATTATTAAATAAACCGTTCACCATTTAATTAATATTATATAAAATGATACCAATGTATAAATAGGATTGTATTCCAGTAAAAATGAAAGTTACGATGAGAAAGGTAAGAAATAATTTTCAGCTTTGGGTCATTTCTAAAACGGTAATGAAATTCCCCGAGATACACTTAATCAATTTTCTCTTATATGCAATTCATAAAACAGACTGAGATTATTGCTTATCTGAAACAACTTATGTTTTTCTATAAAAACATTTATTAACTTATTTAAAAACTCCTTATTACCGGTTTGGCACCGGTATAAGTTGTTTATCCAAAGACTCAAAAGTGCTTATTACCAATGTCACACCGAAATAAGTCGATAAGTTATTTTTATAAACAATTTCATACATCCATGAAAGTGATAAAAAGGATCTAGATTTCTTTCTTGGTTTCTTCTATTTAAATATAAGTCGATTTATTTATAACATGTATAATGTGCCTTGTTGCTCTCCCCCCACAAAAATGGCGTCCTCACAAATCCTCAAGCGTTCAACAAGAACATTTGAGATTTTCCAATCTTCCATCCATTCATCATCGTCATTCCCATTAATCTCTACAATCAGCTCATGGAATGCAGTTCCCACCCACGACTTCCCTTCATCGCTTCATCTTTATCCCAGAAGTTTCTGCAAAAGAAACATCGATAACCCAGATGCATTTAACCACCAAATCATCACTTCTGAGGTTGAGAATCTCTGCAAACTGATCTCAAATCATCGTGATCCTTCTCAACTTGAGTCTTTGTTAAACTCCACTCAAATCGAACTCTCTCCTTCTCTTGTGGTTGAGGTTTTGAAGAAACTAAGCAATGCCGGAGTTTTCGCACTTTTTTTCTTCAGATGGGCAGAGAAGCAAAGCGGATTCAAACATACTTCAGATACCTATGATGCTTTAATCGAAGCTCTAGGAAAGATCAAGCAGTTTAAGGTTATATGGAGCTTAGTTAACGACATGAAAATTAAAGGGGTATTGGGTAAAGGTACATTTGCTTTGATTTCGAGGAGGTACGCGAGGGCCAAGAAGGTGAAAGAAGCCCTGGAGGCATTCGAGAAGATGGAAAAGTTCGGGTTGAAGCCTGAACTCAGGGATTATAACAGGTTTCTTGATACTCTCTGCAAGTCAAGACAAGTTGAAAGTGCACACCAACTGTTTGATAAAATGAAAAACAGAAATTTCAAACCAGACACAAAGTCTTATACCATACTCTTAGAAGGCTGGGGTCAAGAACTGAATCTCTTGAAACTGGATGAAGTTTATAGAGAAATGAAGGCCGATGGATTCGAACCAGATGTTGTTGCTTATGGGATCATCATAAACGCTTATTGCAAATCGAAAAAGTACGATCTAGCGATCAACAAGTTAAATGAGATGAGATCAAAGAATCTTGACCCAACCCCACATATATATTGTAGTTTGATCAATGGGTTAGGCTCCGAAAAGAGATTAAGCGAATCTTTAATGTTCTTCGAAGCATCAAAATCTTGTGGCCATCCTCCCGAAACTCCTACATATAACGCTATCGTGGGATCTTATTGTTGGTCAATGCAGATTAACGATGCTTTCAGGGTAATCGAAGAGATGAGGGAATGTAGGATTGGACCAAATTCACGCACTTTCGACATAATTCTCCATCACTTGATCAAGGGGAGAAGAACGAAAGAGGCTTATAATGTTTTCCGACAAATGAGAGATGAGTTTGGGTGCGAACCAAGTGTGAGTACTTACGAGATCATGGTGAGGATGTTTTGTAACGAGGGTAGGTTCGATATGGCGACCAGTGTTTGGGAAGAGATGAAAGACCATGGAGTTCTACCGGGAATGCATATGTTTGCTACTTTGATTAACAGTTTTTGTCGCGAGAAAAAGTTGCAGGATGCTTGTAAATATTTGGAAGAAATGTTGGATATGGGGATAAGGCCTCCTGCACAAATGTTCAACAATCTGAAAAGATTGCTTGTTGATGAGGGAAAGGAGGAGATGGTGACGATTTTGACTCATAGGCTTGAGAAACTGAGAACACTTTTGGTCGTTAGTTGAGAAATGAAGAAAAGGTGTCATTTATTTGAATTTGGAAGGCTTGGAAACGTTAAGATTTGAATTTTGAAGTTATCGGGATGGTTTATTTTGAATTGAAGTCCCATAATTTCGAACGGGTCTATCAGACTGTGTTGGCCTGTTGGGAGTTGTGTCTATTACGGATAAGTTGAGGAAGCGAAAAGTGTGGTGGTTTGGTTATGTTTGCGGTTGACGGTTGGCGGTTGGCGGTTGGCGGCTCGAGTGAGGAGGGTCAAAAGTGCAACAGTTGAGGGGGCGAGGAGGGGAGGAGTAGGCATAGCAACTGAGATTGGACATGATAGTTTGGTTGGTTTTCCATCAAGTCGGATACTGCATGTGTCGATTAAATTTTCCAGTATATATTTGAAAGGTTTTTGTTTGGTAAGGTTTTTCATAGATGGAGTAAACGTATTTTTCTTTAATTGGGGGAGTAGCAGATTCGGGGAAAAAAATTGGCTTTCTGCATAAAGTCTCTTTGGAAGTTTATTGAATAAAGCATTTTCTATATTACTCTTTCTAGATCTGATCATGCTACCACTATAGTCACGATGAGTGAGATATATTAGGCCCGTTTATATGATAACCAAATTCGAATTGAGGGCATATCATGGATACATGCATTTTCATTAAATAGGGAAGTCGAATACTCACATAATATTTGTTATTTTTGACAAAATCCAAATGAATAAATCTTGTTTTCCAACTTCTAAATGAATAAATTATGTATGTCACATTACAACCACTGACACATAAAACAGAAAGCAGATAAACTAAGAAGCATTACAACTTGCAAACAGGTTTTACAAAATAGGGGAGGATTCCTCTTATTGTTTTACTTTTTCACCACTTTACAACAAAACTTGTAACCCAAAACACCCAAAAGAAGAACCCCCCACCCACCAAAAGAATCTCTGTAAACAACAAATAATGCATCTTTGAAACCATAATCAAAGCTTGAATCAATCACAAGATAAGCATTTAGGGTCTTTTTTCCTTCAACTGCATTGATTTGATTCTAATCTTGAATCATCTACCAAATTCTTTAAAGATTCTTCAAACTTCTTCACTTGATTTCCAGGTCTCAGAACATTGACATCATCCCATTGCGAACACGGGTCCACGAACCAGCTCCTTCTAGCGGTGCACCATGCCCCAGGGGAAGGGCGGTTGCCGCTACGCTTCAAGATTTTCTGATCAACCATGTCGAGCACTGGGTCATTTTTCCCAAACTGTCGTGCAAAAGCAGCGCCGCTTTGAACCATTTCCTTATAGTTGGATTTGTTGAGAAAAAGTGGCTCCATTTTAGGGGGGTTGTTCCACACCATGTACCTTAGATCGGAATTGATGGTTGTGTTTTTGAACTCGGGGGAGTTACAAATGACGCTATGGAAGTAGACTTCTTGAGCCAAAACCACGTTGTTAACGTACATTAAGAGGGTTCGAGGGAGATTATCCCAGGCGAAAACACAGTATTCTAGGAACGAACGGCTCAAAATTACCCAGGGAGATCCTGAAAAATTCAAGAAAAGATTGTAAACTATTGCATTTCCAGAGTTGCAGGCAAGAAAAACCCGTGCTTGGGTCCTTTGGTTGAATGACGTTCTGACAGTGTTTCTTTAATTTCATGACCTTTTAGGATGCCTAGAAACCTGTCAGAAGGTCATGGATTTAAAACGCACTTGTTTAGGAGGTCATTTAGTTAAATAACCCCGTGCTCACACACGCACACAATGGAGGGAAGAGAATTTTGCCTGTGAAAACTTTGAAAGCGTTAGGCATCGGCCGCTTTTCAGTGGCACGAAAGATTTGGGTTCGCCTTGCTAAGTAAAGCCCTGGATCAACTACGATTGGCAGGATTCTTTGATCCCTAAAGATAGAAAATTTTGAAATTAATTGAAGTGGTTGGATTAACAGAATAAAATGAACTCCACTTGGAATAGGCTTACTCTTTCCATCCAAGTTCACTGGTATGATCGATGAAATTGGCATCTCTGCTAATGGAGGAGAATGCATGAGACAAATCTGATTCAGAAAATACAAACAACGAAGCACCAGTAAGTAAACATGAGATAGACAAAACTCAATGTAAACAATATGGATGCAAGCAATTTTCTGTGTGTCAGTAGAATTATATACAAGATTTATCAAGAAAACATAACAAAATCTAAAGAATGTCGTAAAAACAAAGCAAGATTCCAGAAGATAAATCAAGATAGGTGGTAATGATCATGTAATTCAGACGCTTCTTATAGAAAGTAGTACAACGGGTTAACATGTAATATAAGAAAAGAATGCCGAGTGTGTATGCAGTTCCACTAATCAAGTTACCTGAAACTTTGATCATTATTCTTCAAAAGAACCAAAACATGTAAAAACGAGTAAGCTACTGATTCAAGACTGCATTCATCATGAATTCATTGTTTTTAACGATCATAAGAAAGCAATGGAACAACAATCTAGAAGCCAAAGCAAAGGAGCTTTCAGTTAAACTGAATTATTGGCCGAGTCGGGGACAACCTACTGTCCATCACCCAACTAAGGGGCTGTTTGGTTGGTTTTCCATTAAGTCTTATATGGATAAAGATGTCATTGTGGATTAAGTTGTCTGTATAGATTGGAAAGATTTTTGTTTAGAAGGGTTTTTTCATGAATGAAAGACGGGTGTTTTTTAATTGAGGGGCAGGTTTGAAAAAAACTTGGTTTTTTGCATAAAGCTTCCCCTTAGAAGCTTACTAAATAAGCCACTTTCTATATCATTGAGCCACTATCAAACAGTCATTTATAGCCCAAGCAGGATCTGAAGTATCCGCCTTGTTGGGTAGACCAAGTAAGCTGTTAGCATCATTAAAAGCTAATAAAAAGAATTCCGACTAAAAGAGCACATGTAACCACCCCAATGCATCCCCCTTCCTAAAAAAAGAAATCACACAGATTCTCAGAAAATTCAGACATGATCGAATAAATCTGAAAACTAAAAGATTTATACGAGTTTCACATGTATATTAAAAAATAGTGCTTAATCTATCAAAAAGACAAGAAACCAATCATATGCATTATCAAAAAAACAAAGAAGGCAAGCTATAAGTTGCACATATACCTTCAAAAACATTGCTTAATCTATCAAAAAGACAAGAAACCAATTATAAGCATTATCAAAAAAACAATGAAGAAGGCAAGCTATAAGTTTCACATATACCTTCAAAAACATTGCTTAATCTATCAAAAAGACAAGAAATAAATCAGATGCACTGTCACAAAGGAATGAAGAATGCGGGCAAGCTATGTCAATTGTGAAAAAAACTCAATAATTGCAACTAAGATAACTTTTCTGCTTTCAGTCTTCAAACGCAATCAACCTGTCCCAAATCACAAAACCGTTGTGCCCTGGGTTGTTTCTCCGTTTGAAAACTAACATAAATAGTTTACAAAATACCCTCTTGTGTTTGTGTTTCATCAGAAAAGTAATTCCCTAAGAGAATTAACTACTCGGTTTGAATCTTTTTAGATAAGAGAACAAAAAACAATTGATGATTTCTAAACTACAAAAAGATCGATAGAATTTGGAGCCACACAGAAAGAGCCTTTGTTCGTTCCCAGAAACAGGCCACCATTGTCACAAAGAGGTCTTGTTATTGAAAGTTGAAACAGTCCAACACTCTTCATGGCAGGCAAATCCAAATGATGTTGGTATGATGTATGAAATAGAAGCATGGGCTACAAACATGGGATTGGAATAAGTACAAAGGCATTCAACTTGGATGGAGTTCAAATTCCAAGTTCCTGTGAATTAGCTCTGCACCCTGAACAAATTATCGCAAATGATATTCCCATTAAAAGTTAATACCAACTTAACTTTACATGTATCTTAATTATTTTGAACTTTTCCTACAAATACGAAGTAAATTTGTATCTCCTTGTATTCTTTGCAGATTTGTTCTTTGTTGCCTGAAAAACATTGATCCCCGTTTTATATTTCTTTCCCTTTTGTCTGTGTTTTGGCTTTAGCAACAGTTTGCGGTACCCACAAAGCCTCTGCTCCAGTCTTCCATCTTATATATCCATTTATACTTCTTACTACACACCTTTGGGATTTATCAAGGTTTTCTCTCAGCTTATGCATTTTTTATGAACGCTCTTGGTTGTTTACCTATTGGGGGCAAATGTGAAGTGGTTGATAAAATTGGAGGGCCATAAAAGAGAAGGGGACAACAGAAGGTCCACCATACCCTATGGAAGAAAGAACGTCAACAAACAGAGTTTGGCGTAACTACACTGCATGTATCCAGCTTAGAGCGAATACCAACAGCACCGCTATGGTGGGGATGCATACAACCCAACATACATTTAGAATACCTGAAGGATGCTTTAATGAAAGACAAAGATCTCATTGAAATATAAAAATACACAAGGTGATGTACAGAGAAAAACATTGTAATGGCCAAATCATGAGAAAAAAGAGAGCAAGAAGGGGAGATGCCACTATCATCCCCGCCCTTACCCTAACCTGCCTAAAAAAGAAACAGGAAACATAAATACAGAAAGAAATAGAAAAACAAGAAAAATCTAACAGACTGATATCAATGAAAAGGGGGAAAACCTAACACAACCCTTAAACCCACCCAAGAGAGGCTGCCATCAGGAGACAACTGTGGAATCATAAATGAGAAAGGGAGAAGAAGCTGGAGAGGCAAAAGAACCCTCCAAACTGCCAGTAAATGGAGGAACTAAAAATTGGAGGTGGCTAGAGAGAGAGAGAGAGAGAAAGGGTTCAAATTTTTCAAAACACAAAGGGATTAAAATATACTTTTATTCCCTGATGAATGATAATGACAAAAAATGTACCCCTCATAGCAACTGTACCCCTGTGGCAGTACATGCAATCTGTTGATTAAGTTCCAGATTTAGTGAGTACGGAAGATCTGCAACTAAGTTTATTTCCTTCATTGTCACAATAACTGGAGATCTATATCTTTCCTCGGTAACCACATCCTCCAGATACACATATTTTCTAGTGTATATATATGGTATAGTTTCAGTGGATGTATGTCTATGTGTGTATGCATACATTGTGTACATTTGTGTGTGTATGTATGTATGTATGTATGCATACACATGGGGGCATGTGCATACCTATATGTATATGTGTGTTGTGATGTATATATGCATCTTTACCTTGTAACCAGGAAAGTCCATTATAAGGAAAATTTATTGTTTAACAAGTATTTTCACTCGTTCAGCTGATTAGTGATTATCATACTTTATTAGTTAAGTCTAGTCTGAATCCACCACTACCATTCATTAAGTTTTGTCAGACCCTGTTATTTGTGTATGCATTATAATTACAACTGTGTATTAGTCTATTCATTTAGATCTCCTTCACTGGGTTGACTCAAGTAAATTTGTGAGCCTAAATTAGTTGATGATTAACCAAATCCTCATGGGACAATATTCACTTTACTACTTGAATAACTGGGCCATTTGGTTGCCTATGCTGCCAATGGGGGAAAGTTATTGTTTTCAAATTCAACAAGAGTAAACAAGATAATGACCATGAAACTAGCAACCCTGCTAACACCTTTGTCACCGAAGACATGAATGACCATGCACAATCTTTAATCTAACCTTAACAGATGCACCACGTGGGATTTGGTAACTTAAGTATACTAAAAAACAGAGGATAAATTTTCATCAATGTCAACCCCCATGTAGGAAAAAGAAACTCACATCAGGCTATTCCTTATCCAGAATTCAAAGCAATCTGCAGCAAGATCTCAAGTCACTACTGCTTCTAGTAAAAAGCATCGAGGAACGTGCTTGATTGCTTTTAACCTTCCATAAAAAGATGGCTAATGAGGGAACTAAAATTCTAAACCAAGTTGTCCAAGGGCAAAGTACAAACAATGTGAAACTTCAAAAGTAGTTTGGGGGCACAAGCATGGCAGTACATGCCTACCCTTATTTGTTCTTCTTGAAAAGTTGGTTGTGGTACAAGGTGCATACACATGACCTTCCAAACTAGTATTTTAAAGAAATGCATGTTATTCATATAAGAATAGAAACCAATCTAAATAAGATGCATTCAGGACTAAAAATATGGCATGTAAAGACTTTGTTTGTTTGTCTTATTTCCTTTAGATTCTTCTCTCAAAAATTTCCAAGTCAAAATCATAATTGGTAACTTCGATTTACAAAACCCACATGTAACTCATACCATACCTTTTATGGAAAAGCACCTTCCATGCATTCTTTACACATGTAGCTACGCCTAAAAGTAGATTTTTACTGGTCCTCGGCTACCATTACTAGAAATAATCCATCTATGTGCTGGTTGGTTAGGTTTGAGGGGAATCTGAATTGAACCCTTTGTTCAAGCATCGACTGAAAAGTTCAAATTTCTAGGGCTTGTTTTGTAACAAAAATTATCATAATGAGTCATTTCAAGATAAACCTCCTTCTCTTGTGCACCTTTATTACTCAAAACCATATCACCTACTTGTTACATATTCCAAAATAATTTTCACAAGTCCCATAGCATGAGAAGACAATGAAAATCATGTGTACAAAACAAAAGTCTCTTGTACTTGGTGCTCAAACCTATCTCCCACAAAATGATGATACTAAACATTAAATGTTATAATACTCAAACAAATGGAGTTTGTTTAGTCATCAACAATGATGCAATGACTATCAGTGTCTCTATTGTCATGCCTCGAAACCCAGGTTGTACAAACAATGCACACAAAGCAAAGATATGCGACACACGGGAGAATGGAAAACAGGCAAACTTCTTGTTACACATTAGCATTCAAAAGCATCAAGAACAAAGAATAGACCAAAATAAAAGCCATTTCTTTCATCCATTAACCTAGGAAGGCTTGCACCCAACGTGAGAGGCTGGACAGTCTCACGGCTCATGGTGGGATCAAGGCCAAAATACTGATGATGTAAGGTACCTGACTCAGGACCTAGCTGGCAATTTGAGTGACCCATACTCAACATAGAGCATTCTAACAAGATGTGTTCAGTAAACCCATTAGGAATCGTAATAATATGGCTTACATTAGATGTAGAAAGTAAAAAGCACGTGGGCTACAATGTTTGAATAGGTACGACCATACAAGGAAGGGAAAGTTTTGGAACTCTTAACAACTTAAATACTCAGACATACCCACGCACTCTCTCTCTCTCTCTCTCTCTCTCTCTATATATATATATATATATGCACACATTCTCTTGCTGCTGTTACCTCCTTCCTTTAAGTGTCTTACTGATTTACATGCCGAAGGCAGATCAAAAGGGTCAATTCCCCTTATGTACTCGCTACTCGGTGTTTGATTCTACCTGCCCAGAGCCTGGAAGCCCTGGGAAGGGACTCGAGGTTCTACCAATAACCATAAATTGCCCAGATAAATCAGTCATTCATGATGCTTAATTTCTTTCTTATAGCTAAATAACTCTGTTACTGAACAACCATATCTAGCCTGGTAACTATTTACAAATTCAATAATCAGTTTTCATGAAGAAATGTATTGGCAGGAAATGTAACTATCATGTATCATCAAAACAAATAAGTAACAGATATGCCCAAAGTAAGGAGATCTGAGCAGATTTAATATCAAATTTTGCATTAATAAATACCATCTTGTGTTAGCAAAGGATAATCCAATGCACTCAGGGTAATAAACCAGTCCCAATCGCCATCAACCTTCAAAAAAATGGCAGCAGCACGCAAAATGGCCGCAATATTACTCGCGCCCATATATGTTGTTGGATCAGGCTTCCCAATCACATCCACGTTCCCAAAAGCCCTAATCGCCGGCACCGACTTCACCAACACACTCAACTTCCTCCTCTCATCCTCAGAACCCTCCGTTCCAATGTGCAACAGATACCTATTTCTGGGATGGTACACCGCCAGCAACAATCGGAAAATCCTATCGGCGTCACCGCGGGTGCCTGTAATGTAGTAAGCGAACGCCGGAGGGTACCCGCGCCCACGGTGGACGGCGGAGAAGGGTTTGTGTGAAGTGAAGGCGTATGAAGAACTGAAACCGCAGATCGATGAGAGAAAGAGTAGTAGGGAGATGAATGCGGCGAAGAAGAGTGTGAAAAGCCATTTCTTCTCAGCTCCCATTACAGAGTATCAGATTGTGATCTTGTAAGCTTTGGAGCATATGGATCAAAATTGGAGTAAGGGAGGGAATTTAAGGGTTTCAATTTCACTAAGAAAGTACGAAATTGACAACTGGGATTCACTCAATGCATGCGTTTTACTAATTTTAGCAAAATAAAAGTTTCTTCTGAAATTGATTTCGCAAACGAATTAGGGTTTGTTTCGAATGGATTGAAATACACTCAAAAATTGGATTTTGATATTAATGGTGCGAAGAGATATGGATCTGATCCGTGATTTTACGCTTCGAACACTTTAAGAAATTGTTCTACAAAGACCATGAGAATCAACTGTGCTGACATTCTTGTGGGGATCATCATCACCCCTTCAAGATTTTGAAATTCCAAAAAGGGTAGTTGCAAGTTACTAGTCCAACAAAGGTCCCTTTGGAATTACTTCAAGATTTGAAAACACCATTTTGGTAATTTCAACTTTCGTAAATAAGTCAGATTGAACAAATAAAATAAATACTTCAGTTAAAAAGTTTCATTTAAGTTTTATATATCGTATTTTATCAGTGTTCGAAACAGTTTGTAATGTTCAACCAGTTGGTATGTTCTGTGTTATTCGTTAACGATTCTCGTTCATTTTTCCATCTACTTCTATCTTGATTATTGTCATCATTTCATCCCTAAACGACCAATGACTGGTTTGCCACAAAAGTAGCGAACACACGAGTATGATGAATTAGGGTTACAGTAGAGTTGGTGATGAAGTGAAAGTAGTTTTTTTCTGTTTATAAGTAAATTGTTATGTTATCGCGAGACTTTCAGTACTAGGTTTTTTGTAGAAGCCGCTTCTTCCGATTTCCTTGTCCAATTATCAGACCGAGGCTTTTGAAAATGCCAATGTCAAAAAACGACAACAGTTATATCAACATTGAATCGTTGGTGGGTATAACGGCAAAAAAAATGCATGGATTGAGGAGAATGAGTCTTGTATACATATAGAACGTTATGTATGATGGAGATATATAATGTTTGACTTCCAATCTCGAGTGACAAGTTTTTTGAGAACTACGGCAACTTTGACGCAAAAAATGATTTGATTCGTCTCATATTGACTTGGGTTGTTGCTCAACGGATAAAAGTTAATCTAGAGATAACAGACTGATCTTCACCAATATCTCACATCGACGGGAAGGTTTGGCACCTCGTTGTTGGCTCGTTGCCACTTGGACTGTAGTATGTTCCAAGGGTTGGGAGAACGTTACAGACTTACTGAATCGTATGTCCATTGTATGTTTTTCATTAAACACTTCATTAATCTTTGAAACAGTCGGTTTGGTGTAGCAACTTGGTAATCGTTTTTTACAGATGTCTAAGATTAATACAACCATTTTAAGATAAAAAAGTAAATGGATTATATACACGAGAATTGAACAAGAATATTTTCAAAGACAACTTTTACAATATCTTCTAAAAATACGAATTTTTAAGATATTTTTTTAATAAAATATTAAAAAAAGTTAAATTATTGATCGACGATAGTCATGTCTTTAAACCACCATATTTATTTTTAATTTAATGCGAATTAATTAATCGCAATAATTCATGCATGAAATTGGAAGCAAATTGTTTGTTCGGATTCACGCAAAACCTTTCAAAATTCATATCCTATATATAGATTTTGACTTGTAGTTATCTAAAGAACCAATTAATAATTGATAATAGAAAGATCAGCCTCTCAAAGTCTATCTACATGTCTGGTACAGACCTTCGGTAGGGGTGTTCATCGGTTGAGATTAAAAGATTTAGGTGGATCTGATCTGCCCCGATCACCAATTGAATGTTGGATTTTGTCACCCGATTCAATCTGATTAACATTGGACATCTGATCTGATCCAAATCTAGTGGATGATTGTATTTGATCGATTCCATCATTTGAATGTTACTATTGGTTGTGCATTGGATCCGATTTGATTCATGCAATCCTTCGATCCAATACTCAACCAAATATTCATATATTTCCTTAAGTTATTAAAAAAAAAACAATGTGTATAAGTAGGTGTCAATTGAAAAACAAAACCGTAAAATATTAATAATTAGATATAGTTATTAATTAGATGTTTGTTGGATGATAATTGGATGGTCATTGTATTGGATCGGTTCAATTTTATTGGATGTTGGACTGTCATCCAAGAACCAAACGATCCGATTTGAATGTTAAAATTTTGGATCCGATCCAATCCAATTACAATTCATATCCTATATATATATAGGGTATATTTCAAATGTAACCATGTCCATTTGTATAACCAATGCAACCCAATCAATTAAGATATTTATGAAAATAACGAGAGTTCATTTATTATGATTTGAATATTTATAGAATATGATTAGAGTTTATTAATTATGATCAATACTTTATATTAGAAAATAATCAAAACTTTTATGAAATCACATATTCATCAAATTAAATGGACAGTTAAGATTGAGTTATATTAGTTGTACAAATATAAATTGTTGGATAATAACCCACCTCTATATATATATTTAATAATTTATTTTCGGTTTAATTTTTTATTTTTATTTATGGAATTCATTCAATAAGGCTAAGGTGAAGAAAATAAAGAGTTAAAAAATAACAAAATCAATAATAAAATGATAAAATTATACCATACAGATTTTGTTTTTTAATAAATAAACTGTAAATATCAAAACCAGAAGAAAAAAAAAACACAGGGACCAAATCTGTAATTTTCTCAAACTTTGATTATTATACAAACCGTAGTTAAACACCAACAACCTTCCCATAATCCTTGAGCGTAAATTGCATTTTTGGTCCTTATTTTACCTTTTTCTTGGATTAGGTCCCTGATATTTTTTTTATTGCAAAAGAACCCCTATGATACATTTTTGTTTGATTTAGGTCCTCGCACTAACAGTTGTACTTTCAATCGTCGAGTCTCATCGCATAAGAGCAATGGTCATTTTTCTCTTAACATGATGTGGAGTATTAAGATTTTCTCAATTATCACTTTTATCACCGCTAACAATCGCCGCAGACACAAAAAATAAATCACGTCACGTATAAACATATCATACACAAACACGCATCAATCCATATGCATAAACACGGGGCCTAAAATGCAATTAACTCTGATCCTTATAAAATAGAACCTAAGGAATGTATATTGGATGACAAATAAAATAGAACCCTCTCTTCTAAAATCTAATTTATAAATACGTTTGGCCTGAAATATACTGAAATACTTGCATACATATTGTAAACAATCAGTTACTATTTAATTTAAAGAGTTATGGATTTTTTATTTATGGAAATTAGGAGGTCTTCTTTTAAGAACTTGACAATTTGTTGAAAACGTAGGGTCCGTTTTACGCCATTAATTATATTAAATTAAAAAGTTAATAATTATGATAATTTTGATTTAAATATTTAATAAAAGAATATTATGGGTATTTACAAATATTATCTCCCCTTTCTCGTTAATCAACAGCTAATTAAAAAGGGAAAAAAATCTTTCAACAACCATTTTTATTGGTTTGGGTGGTGAACACTGTAAACAACTTTATGAACTTCTTTATGCGGGATACCCTAGTTAGAGCAGTGGGGTATTTGCTATATGGTATGGTTACGTGCTTACGCCATTGGCGACGTATGGGTATGGATAAAATGATATATTTATACGATAAATGAAGACATAGTGGATGATTTTGTGAACACCACGTGAATCTTAAGGAACACTTTGTGAACAACATATTTTAATGAAAACAACAGTGGATGTTTTGTGAACACTGGATTTTCGTGTCAATTCGTGATTTAAAATTACTCATGTCGAGTTTAATATTCTATGACTTTTATTCACTATTCTATTAAATAAAAGCAATCCATAATCATCCGGTTATGATCATTCTAAACCAGCCCATATTCAATAGAGATGAAATTGTGAACAATTTAATGAAAACCATGTGAACACTATGAGCATGCTGTGAACAATTGTGAACAGGGTGGGAACATCTGCACGTTTTTTGTGCATGTGCTAAATTAAAACATGGACAAGGTCATGTGCAACAACTAAGAACACAAACAACCTAAATTAAAACACAATAAAAACCACAAGAGTGATGTCTGATTGGCTTGAGCTTAGCTCCAAAGGTCAAAAGTACTTGGAGGTCTCAGGTTCAAATCAAATGAGGAATAAAAATCCTTTGTGGCCATGGAGGTTCAAATGTGATGACTCCGAGCTATCTGCAAAGCAGGTGGTCGTTCTGGGATTAGTCGGTTCACATAACGGGTTGGATATATAGGTTAATAAAAAAAACACAATGAAAACCTCAAAACTGAACCCAATTTAATTCATTAAATCCATGAAGTATAAACGAATGTGGCATGAAAACAATATGTATAGTGTGCACACCATCTAGATTCATGAGATCTGGATGTTGGGTGATGAGAAAACCAACCATTCACGAGATTGGGACTTACATAGTGTGGTCTGACTCTCCTTGCAACAACGGTTGCCGACGGAAACCATAACAACAACCGTAAGGAGGCGACAACCTTAGAGAATTGACTTCATCCCATTTGATTAATCCCCATACTGAATAAACAAAATTTTATAATAAAACACAAGGTTGAATGCAAGAAAAAATAATAATCTACTTTCATAAATTTCCTTATTATAACATTCTAGTTTCATTTTTCTTTATTATAATAATACGCTTTCAAATTACTTTTTATTATGACATTGTACTTTTAAAAATCCACCTATCATCGCAAATGGGTAACCTGTTTCCTTTTAAACCGGTTAACCTCTTTATTTTTTTTTGCTTGCTTGGTTTCAACGAGGTGATGCGGATGATACATCGTTTTTGACATAACAAAAATAACAAAAATAAAAGAACCTATTTTAAATTATTATTAATGATTATCATTTTTCATTGCTATGATTAAAAAAAAAGTTTTTTAATTTTTTTTCTTATTAAATTACATGCAAATCAAATATTCTAGAGTAAGATATTTTTTAATAAAAAATGATATATTATTTTTGAGATAATTAGTTTGTTAGAAAAAAAAAATAACATTTCTTATTTTATTTTGTTAAAAAATTACATATATTTTAAAGTTTATTTCAAGATGCTAGCGAGATAAATTATGATCTACAATTTTAATATTGTTATATTTAAATAATAAAGAACTAATTAATTTAATATATTTATATGTCAAGTAATTTTTTTAAACAAGTATGATATATTTTTTAAAAGATAATATTTTTTGGTAAAAAATAACAATTATTATTTTATTTTTTCAAAAAATACATATTTTTAAAAATATTAGCGAGATAAACTGTGTTATACTAGTTTTATTAATATTGATATACTAATGAATAATTTAGATATTTTCAAATTCATTTAATATATTTATTAAATAATATGTAAAATATCCAACAATAAAATATTAAAATAAAAAGTACAATGCTATAATAAAATAATTTTGAAAATACAATGATATAATAAAAAATATCACATCACTATCGTACATGTGGACAATCTACATGAATAGTGAAGCGGTATGAAAATCTGATATAATAGTTAAACATAAATTAAAAAGTTACCTAATGCTATAATAGTTAAATTTTCAAAGTACAATATTCTAATAATAAAAATTTAAAAGTATATTACTGTAGTAAAAAAAAATTGAAAGTACAATACCATGATAAAAAATTTATAAAAATACATTACTACTTTGTACATTTTACCCTAAAATATAAACATCTCGAAAAGACAAAAAGCCTAAAACCTGTTTCGATCCAAATTACGAATGAAAGATGTCATAAAGATATCACTAAGAGGTTGTTTGTTTACCTCTTAATAGTTCCATTAAGAGACGGTATCTGAATCGTTAAGAGGTAAATTTTGTTTGGCAAAAAAAAAAGTCTGTCTCTTAATGGTTCTAAAATCCTCTTAATGATTTTGCATCCTGAGTCTCCCTTAACCATTCAGCGTTCTAATTTCATTATGAACAATTACCAAACAATTATATTCTATTTTGTATTATATCATGAGAGCCTCTTAATCATTCTGACCACTTAATCATTCTGCACTAAACCATTCAGTAACTACCAAACAGCCCCTAAATGATATACGAGTTTTTAGTTAACAACGATTTATGCAGAGACTAAATTTGTAAAAGAATCGAATCTAAAATGACCAAAAATGGAATATAAAATCTTAAAATGGGGTATCTTATAATCTTTCATGGGCACAAATATGTAGTTTAGTCTAACCTTTATCTAGTTTTGTCTTATATGAACATTTTAAGGTAAAAGAAGGTTTGAGTAAACTACACTTTTAGTCCCTAAGTTTATTGAAAATTGCTATTTCCATTTTTATGTGTTTAAGGTTATAATTTTAGTTTTTATAGTTTATAGTTTGTTGTATTTTTTCATCGTAATAGTCTATAATCTATTGTTTTTTGGTCCATAGGGTTCACAATTTATTATTCTAGTTGTGTACCTGTGCAATGTGGCGGGAGCCATGAATTTTAACGATTTTGAAGTTCCACTTGTTTTATACGATAATATTTAACGATGATATATGTTACACTTGGTCTTTACATATTAATACAATTTGAATAAATAAGAGTTATGGTTCTAATTACAGACTATCGATGAAAAAAATTGTATGACAGTTTAAAATCCAATATATTTAAAATCCAACATATTTAAACGACTCCACAAATGTATTCGATTTACACCAAGAGTAAAGAATCAAGAAACTTGAGTTTTAAGATAAACACTCAAAACCAATAAAAAAACTACAAATTTGACAGATCATAAGGCATGAAAAGACAAAAAAAAATGAGTTTTAGAATGAAATTTCAACTGTTTACCCTCTTTTTATTGTTCAGAAACTTAGATTAAGGTTGAATTAATACATGTGTATATATATTTCAAAAAAACTTAATAACATATTAATTCAAAACATATTATACAGTGCAATTTGGACAGCCTAACCCCAAAATATATAGTATATATATAAATAAATAACTATAAAATATAAATCGTAAATATTATAAATATTTTTTCATAGTATATATAACATATAATAATATAATTAAGTAAAAAACTATTCAATATTAGACTCATTTCGAAGGTATTAACGAGACGATTATAATGGTGTAACTTATTAAAATAAAAATGTATTTTTTAAACATGTTTTAATTGATATTCAATTATGTATGTTAATTTGATAAATGTTTAAAATGAAACATTTAAAAGTAAATAACGTAAAGTAAATTAATTAATTAATTATAGGGGTATAAAGTGTAAATTTAAAATTATAATTTAAAAAAATCTGTTGTGAGTGGGTGAGTGTATGTGATGAGAGGAGGGGGTGAAAAAGTGAGTATAAATGGTATTTTGGTCATTTAGTATTTTAAAACTTTTAAGACTTTTGCTAAATTTGCTTAATAAGATAGTATAAAATTTTGTTTCTAACACTTAGGGGCTGTTTGTTTACCTCTTAATAGTTTTATTAAGAGGCAACATCTGAATCGCTAAAAAATGAATTTTGTTTGACAATAAAAAGTCTGTCTCTTAATGGTTCTAAAACTCTTTGAATGATTTTGTATCTTGGGTTTTTTTAACTATTCGGTACCCTAATTTCATTATGAATAATTACCAAACATTTATATTTCATTTTGTACTATATTATAAGAACATCTTAATCATTTTGTACCAAATTATTTAGTAACTGCCAAACAACTCCCTAGTTGTAATGAATTGACTTAGTGATAAAACAACAATGAATTGTAAATTATAGAACATGGAAATCATAATTCTAAGAGTGTAAGGACAAAAATCAAAATTTTAAACAAACCATAGGGACTAAAACCATAGTTTACTCAAAAGGTTATATTGTAAATTAATAATTAGGTGGCGTTTGTTTTTTAAAAGGTGCCGAAGTCTGATTTCACTTCTGATTTTTAAGAGATAGTGCTGAAGTCTGAAATCTGAATCAGTCAGATTGTTTGTTTTGTAAACTGACAATATCTGAAGTCTGAAATATGAATAAATAGTTTGTTTTTGTAACCATTGAAACATATCAATATGTATAATTTCTGATTTCTCTTCTGTTTGTGTTCCCAAGATTCCCTTAATTCTTCCTCCTCCTCCAGATCAAGCATTCCATCCTCAATCTCCACCCTCCTCCCACCACCACTCCTTCTCTAAAATCCAACGTCAAAATCCACCTCCAAAATCAAAGCAAATATCCATCATGATGAAAACTACAGTGACGAAAACTACAGGGACAAAAATACCTTGATTCACGAGGATAAAAGGTGCACAACTATTGTTTTGCACAGGAACAAAAACACAGTAGCAAAAACCCACAGGGAAGAAAAACCTCTTGATTTGGATCTGATTTGGTTCGATTTGAAGCCACCAGAGGCGATGGAGGGTGAACTCGATCGATTAAGACGATGAGGAGGGTGAAGTCGATCGAATGATGAAGTAGAAATAGGTTCTCTAGATAATTTTCAGGATTAGAGGAAAATAAGTGGCTAGGCTATCATTTAATTTTTAAGAGGAAAATAAATGATAAGTGGCTCTGAAAGAAAAAGAAAAACAAACGGTCTGAATTTTCTTATGTCTGACCGAATCAGACATAAGTGGTAAAATAAGAGCTTTTTAAAAAAACAAAACCACCTTAGTAAAAAATCTGTAAACCACAAAAACTGACAATAAATTGTAAATCATAAAGACAAAAATAATAAGAAATTACAAATTACAAGGACGAAAACTGCAGTTTTTAAAACATAGAAACGAAAATCACAATTAACAAACCATAGGGACTAAAAACGTAATTTACTCTCGAAAAAATAAGTACTTGCTTTAAACGACAACGTTTGCGCTATTTACCTCTTGAACCATGTCATCATCTTGTAGAAAGGAGACTTTCTGCTTGGTATAGAACCAGACAAGCAGCAGAAGAGATAACAAAAGTTTTTCGGTGGCGGGAAACATTTGTCTCTCGTTAGAAGAAAAATGCTTAGAATCTCCGGAAAAGGCGGTGGTATTGGCCAGATTCTCACCGCCGTCGCCGCTGCTTTATTACTCCGCCTGTTCTCCGGCCCCGGACCGGCGTACTTGCCGGAGAATGAGACCCAAGAGGAAGAAGGTGAGGATGTAACTTCCGATTCTGAAGCTTCGGTGTCTGATAAAGTTTATCCTGTGACAATCCGGTGGACGAACATCACGTGCTCTCTCTCCGATAAAGCTTCAAAATCGGTTAGTTTATGCTTCTATAGACTGCATGTTGGAAGCGTAATTCAGGAATCTATATAACTGAACTAAATTATGTTTTAGCGAAAAGCGTTTTAGAATGATGCCATTTCTCCCAACCCTTAATTAGCGAAATAGCGGATTAGCCATGAGTTTTCTCTGCGAGCTTGTGTCATGGAATTTTGGTTTTTATTAAATTTTCGCTAATTAAGTTGCAATTATACTGGAATATGTTCAGCTATAGCTGCTTTATGTGGGAAATTAGGTGAACTGTGTTTTGGGTACCTCAAGGATCTTTTGGGTACCTGGCACTTATGGTATTCGAATCCCATTTGGGCATGTCGGGCTTGACATGGGACATGACCATGACAAGAACTCACTGTCCCACGTTTGGTGCGACACGGAACATGGACAAGAACTTAGACAAGGTGAGACAGCGTTGGAAAAAAAAGAAGTTTTTTCTTGTTCCAAAAAAGCATTACTAATTAACCTCGATTGATATATAAACTTAACATGGTATTTGTTTTAGTGGTCACCGCTGCTAGTTGCAGCCTCAGCCACCATCGGTAGCCACCGTCAGCGACCTCCCCATCCTCCACAACCACCATCGACCACCGACCACTAACTACCACCGACTATCACCACCTCCACAACCACCTACCACCACTGTTGGCCACCTCCACTTTCTCTTCTACTACAACAACCTCCTCCAATACCTCCACAACCATTGTCTTCCATTGACCACCGTTGGCCATCTCTAGCTTCTCTTCTGCTACAACCTCCACCACCACCTCCACAACTATCGTCGGCCACCGATCAATACTGTTCATTGCCACCACCATGGGCCACCTTGCCTCCACCATCGGCTACCACTACCACTTCCCACCACCGCCAGCGGCTACCACTACCACCGTCGGCCACCACTACCACTACCAACCATATTCATGTCCTCCACAACCACAACCTTCCATATCCACCACCACTATCGTCGGCCACCACCACTGTCCACCATCACACCTACCTTCACCACATAGGCCACAACTACCTCGTCCATCACTGTCGACCGCCACCATCACCATCTTCACGTCCTCCACAACCACTATCGTTCTCCAATTACCAATGCTTCTACCTTCACAACCATTGTTGTTGCAACAATCTTTACCGTGCCTTTACCAATTGATAAGGATCTTCCAAACCGAATAAAACATACTTTCTCATTTGTATGGATCGGGTTTTATCAAAATACCATCAATTATATAAAAAAGTTTTTAATTTGGTACTTTTTTATTTATGTATATGAAAATTGTGTAAAAATGTTTATAAATTAAATTATTTACTTTATTTGTGTTAATTATAACTATTATATGATATATAAAATCATAAAATAATATTTGGGGGCAACTTATCTAGTTTTGTCCTGTTCAGTCCTAGTCGTACCAAACACCAGACAGACACTTGTTCTGTCCAGGCCAGTCCTGTCCACTCCTACCCATTTGTCCTGTCTGCATATCAAACGCTACCTTAGGAGCCACCTCCGTTGGCCAGAGGCCTAAAGTTTGTTTCTTTTATGCAAAGGGGAGCTTTGTAAATTGTAATGCTCCTTAGTTGGGTCAAGTGCCAGAGACCACTGTAAAAAGATGGTAGTTAAATAAATTAGGTTCTTGGAGTTCTCTGTCTAAACCAAAGTCTGATCATACAGGGTGCGTTTGGTACACTGGACAGGACATAACAAGCATCCCTGTTCCACATTTGACAGGACTTTTATGTGGAACAGGGACAAAGTAGAACAGGTTGTTCCATCCCTACCCCATGGAACAAGGTGGAACAAGGTGAAACAGACTTATATTTTACCAATATAATCTCAAAATAAAACTTAATTCTCATCTAAAATATCAAATATGTCTCCTTTTTACATTTTATTCATTCTTTAAATTTTATTTATTGTATTTTATGCTTGTTAAACTTTCATTTTACAGTCCTGAAAATATTATTTTTATACGGTCTCTATATTTTTATTAATTTATGTAATTTATTATATATTAATAATAAAAAATAATGTAGAAAAGGGATGAAAAACTACATGAACCTTTTATTTTGGTGTCATTTTAATTGTTTTGACGAACACTGTCTAATGATATATTTTGTTATAAAAAACAATTATTTTATTATTTAATAAATTATATAAATTAATTAAAATATATAAACAACTCATTAAGGGTAAATTGGTCATCTTACTTGTTTTGTTATGTCCAATTTTGTCTTACCTAACGCTGAACAGTTGTCCTGTCCTATTGTGTCTTGTCCTATCCTGTCTGGACACCAAACGCACCCATAAGTAATGAAATTGCAACATAGGGGTTGGAGCAGGTATTTTCGACAAAAATGTAGTATTTCACACATAATTCTAGTCCCTTCAGAGATATTAGTAGTTTGTTGATTTATAAAAAAAAAGGATTCCACACCTTGATGTTTGGACTTCTATAAGTCTTTTTACTCATTTAAAAGCCTAGGCTAGTAGGCAAGGGCCTACCAAGTCATTCTGCTCTTTGATTTGTGCTTGTAAACCAGATGATTTTTTAAGCATCCTTAAATGTTTCTAGGAGTGAATATGGGTTGAGTAATCTGTGATTGCCTATTTGTATCATGTAAAACAACAATATCCTCTTGTCACCTTCTGATCTGCCCCCTTGACAATTTTGGTTTGCAGCACCTTTTAGCTTCACCTTAATTTTGTAGGTGCGGTTCTTGCTTAAGAATGTGTGTGGAGAGGCAAGACCTGGAAGACTGCTTGCAATAATGGGTCCATCAGGATCAGGGAAGACAACCCTCCTCAACGTACTGGCAGGTCAGACTGCGGCATCACCTCGGTTGCACCTATCAGGCCTCTTGGAAGTTAATGGACAATCAATGTCAAATAAGTCCTTCAAGTAAGTTTAGCTTCCATTAAGCTAATATTTGCTTCTGAAAGTTGTAGTTTTTTTTATTGATGATTCCTACTTGATGAAATCTGCATGACAACTTGTGGCAATGCCACATTACTGCCATCACAGATTTGCTTATGTCAGACAAGAGGACCTTTTCTTCTCACAGTTGACAGTTCGAGAGACCTTGTCTCTTGCAGCTGAACTCCAGCTGAAGGAAATATCTTCAAAGGAAGATAGAGAGGAATATATAAACAATCTCTTGTTCAAACTAGGCTTGGTGAGTTTGGCTACTTTCTTCACTTTTTATCTGCTAAAGTAGATCAAGAAATATATTAAATAAATAAAGATGATAATTTAACATCATTTGCTATTTCTTATGTTGTTTGCCTTTGGTTTGTTCGACTGGAACACTTGGCCTTTTCTTCTGTCCCAGTTCTTGATAATGTTGTTATGCATAAGATGGTTACTGCCTACAGTAGCTTTCTCCTTTTTTGCTATGCATACAGATCTTGGTTCATATATTCATGAATTTATCTTCGATTCTTTAGAATAGTCGTCGGGATACTGGGGCCTGGGGGGTCATTTGTATATACTTTAAGACACAAGGAAAAGGAACACTTGCTGGGGTTTAGTTTTCTTATGCTGTCTGCTTTTACATTTTTGCATGAAAAGGTCAGTTGTGCGGATACCCGGGTTGGGGATGCAAAGGTGCGCGGAGTAAGCGGAGGTGAGAAGAAACGGTTATCAATGGCTTGTGAACTCATTGCTAGTCCATCGGTAATATTTGCTGATGAACCAACAACTGGTATGCATCCTTTTCCATCTAGCATGTCTCTTAACAAGTTTTATTAAGATGGCTTATACAAAGCCGTGGTGTACTGATTTGTGCTGAGTTGTTAAAACAGTAGTAATGTTAAGGATGTGTACCCATTTCCATGAGCAGCAAGTGCGATCCTGTTTAACATTTTAAAAGCAAAGTCATTCATCGTTTGAAATTTACAAGAGTTCATACGCATGTATTAATTAGTGCAATGAATTAGCTGGGATGTACATTAGCATACTTGCAAGGAAACATGGCAAAGAAATCTCTTCCTGATAAGTTCAAATGATGGAAATTCTAAGAACTAGGCAATAACACATCAGATCACTTGCTCCGTTAAGTTGAGCATGCAGTAGATGCTTTCTTAATTACGCCATGTACTCATACATCATTATTCGAGTTTCTGTAGATTGATTAACTTCAAAAAGGGTAATTGGTGCACCAAGCTCCTTGGCTATATGAGGTTTGGGGAGGGAAGTTCTTTTTTGCACTGTTTTCCTCATTTTCTAAAGAATTCAACTCCAAGACTTGAACCCGTGGTCTTCTGGTCACAGAGGTGCAAGCTTACTGTTTGATGCATGGCTGACCCTCTTAACATCTCTCTCAAAACTTGAAATAGAAGAGAAGTGTAGTTGGGTTAGAACTATGAGCCACCCAATTTATCATGACTTGCATACAGTTATATATGAACATGTAAAATATCTTCCCAGTGTATGGCTTTAAACTCGATTGTTAGCTATGGGGTTCCTTATACATGTATACGTATTTGATGATAAATAGTGTTTAGAGCCTCAAGGCAGAGCCAGCAGTCCCTCTCGCAATAGTACTGTCTTTTCTATCTATAAGAATCTCTATAACAATCACAATGACGTGGAAGTAGCATAACAATGCACCACTGCAGTGAAATGCTGAAAAGCAATTGTATACCAGCATTACTATCAACAACATTCTTGATGTACTGTGTAGAAGAGAACCAAAAGCTTTTATTTGTAGTGCTGAATGAGTTGATCATCCACTCTGGTATCTTATTAAGATGTCATGAATGGAACTGGATAATTTTCTCTTTCAACTGGGAACTGCTTACCTTTGGTCTTTTATGTTGTTCATCATTTTGTGGCCTTACTCTATACATGAAAGAGTGAACAAGACCAACTGTAGTATCCATCGAGGTTTAAAAGAAAAATTAGCTCCTTGAGTGCAAACATATTGTGGAAAAAACAAGTGCTTAGTTTGTAAGCTATTCTGGAACATGCTTTACTTCAATTGAATTGGGCATCAAATTGATTTCTGATTTCCTTCTATTAGAAGGCAGAAGTGTTGACATTTTCTTGCCAAAATGACAAAGAGAAAGAAATGCTACAGGGTAAGTCTGGAATCAAGGGTTGGATTTTAGTCATTTTGCATTTTGTACTTTCGATGTTGACATATGATCGGCTTGGTGGGTATGAAGGCAAACTATGGGTTTCGGAAACAAAGTTGTTTAGTTTTAATCAACCATTTCATTTTCAACAAGCTAATTTTCACCCACAAAAGGCACTCTGACCTCTTCCTTTCAGCAGACAACAATAACAATAACGACAATAATAACAATAGTGCTGAAAAGAGAATCACATAGATGTTCAATAATCTCAAGAATTGTACAATTTAAGTTGGTCATTCTTTCAGGACTAGATGCATTTCAAGCAGAGAAAGTGATGGAAACTCTTCGACAGCTTGCGCAGGATGGACACACCGTAATATGCTCAATACACCAACCGAGAGGTTCAGTGTATGCAAAGTTCGATGACATTGTGTTGCTGACAGAGGGTGAACTTGTTTATGCTGGCCCTGCACGCGATGAAATACTTACTTACTTCTCGAAATTTGGGTTGTTAACTAAACTGAAATCTTATACTTTATTTGGTGATTGATATATTTGTCACTAGCTTGATTTCAACCTTTCTCAATGTCCTTTGTCCTTGCATTTTATTATGTTACGAGCTCTTTTGCTTTTTTTTCTTGTTTGGGTGTGGGGTTGACAGGACTGGGAAGACAACTATGTGTCTACCTTCTTTGGTTGCTTCATTATGAAGCGGGCCTGGGATTTTCCCTTATACAACACATTTAGATACTGATAAAATTAGCTTTTCTGTTTTTATCTATCTGAAAGTTATTTGATAAAAAGAGTTCATTCATAGATACCTCTCATAATATGCTTCAAGTTAGAATACATGTCATAGAGGCATCTACAAAGTAATCCGTCAAAATATGTTGCTTGGGTGTTATCTTATCCAAAGATCCATTCTGGTAAAAGATTATTAAATACTTACAACATTGTATTTCAAATTTTAATCTCTTTCTATCATATGGTTGCATTAGGTTGACATTTTCACTTTCTTCTGCTATAACTTGTAACTTCAACAATATCCTGTTATTGGTAAAATTACAAACTGATAATTGGTTAGTTTAACAGGTATATTTGCCCAGATCATGTTAACCCTGCTGAGTTTCTAGCTGATTTAATATCAATCGACTACAGTTCATCTGAAAGTGTTGGGTCTTCCCGGAAAAGGATTGATAGCCTTGTTGAGTCATTTTCCCAACAGAATTCATCAACCTTTTATGCCACAACACTCACTAAAAGTGTCGTCTTGAAGCATAAGACTATCTTAAAAAAGAAGGCTGCAGGCAAAGGGATTAGTGGTTGGTGGAGGCAATTTTCATTGCTCCTTAAACGTGCATGGATGCAGGTGACTCTTATCATGATATGCAATTGTTGTTGCTCCTTCCTGTATTTCTCATGATATCATGTCTCACTATTTTCATGATAGCATTTCATGGTATTTGGATTTCTTCTGGGGCTGCATTTGTTTGGAACATTTCCTGATTGGGTGTGTCGTAGAGTTCTCTTCTATTACCCAATGCACTAGAATTATGGCACATTGATAGATAAATATGGTCAGAAAAAGAAGATATTTTCACAGATCTTAAACCACAATAAAGGCAAGTGACTGAAAATGCTGATTTTGACCTTGCATTCCCAATGCAAGTTTAAGGCGAGTTAAATTAATTATCCTAGCACATCCTATTGTCTGGTTTCCACGTCATTTAGTTGTCTTCTTAGCCAACTAATGGACGTTAATTTGCCTCAGGCAGGCAGCAGGTCATCCATGCCAGAACTTATTTGTTATAGTGAAAGAAGTATTGGTTGATACTCTCTGAACATTTAGGAACTTGAAAGATTTTGCACATCCCCCCAGACCCTACTTTCGAGTGGGAACCTGAAACATTTTCCACATGTCTAGTTTTCAGGGGAAGTTATTTGTTGAGTGGATATGTTTATTGAGTTATATATTCTGTCATCTGACTGACATTGGTGGAAAACTAACCAGGCTTCCCGTGATGGGCCAACAAATATAGTCCGGACAAGGATGTCAATTGCATCAGCTTTAATTTTTGGCTCAGTATTTTGGAGGATGGGAAGGTCTCAGACATCAATACAGGATAGAATGGGCTTGCTTCAGGTATGTCCATGGTCACTTTGGTAGATATTCTTTCCCATGTATGAATAGTTTTGGTGTGAATGAATATCTTTCAGTTTTATTTATCTAAATATAATGTTATTTAGCCCGACTACAAGGGATAGTAAGCCTCACCCACTTTATATCTATAACTTGTGGCTTTTTTTTTATTTGAGTTGAAGTAACATCTGACCAATTCCCCAGCAATACATGAATCTACTTGCAAAAGATTCAATAGGAAATATAAAGGTAAGAAGAAAGGACGATTTAGTATATATTTGGATCTGATTGCAGAATATTGGCAGTGTTTTGGGAGGATTGCTTGAACTTGATTTGGGTTAGCAAATGAAACCATAGATGTAATTTCTGAAGAGTGATGACCAAAATTGACAGGCCTTCGTGTGTTAGACGTCTCTTTCTATATCAGGATAATTCATGGTGGCCAATATGGAGAAAAGGTACACATGCAAACCAAATTGGCACTTCATCCAATAAGTTTTTATCATCAAGGTGTATCAACTATCAAGTACTCATAAAGTCAGTTGTGCTACCTTTCTCTCATAAGAATTTACCTGTAGCACCATGTTTTATAATTGATACTCATAACTCTACTAGGTAATCACAATTTCTGTTGGGTTCATTTAAGCCTACTTATAAAGACTTATAGATGTTGGTGGGCATTTGTACCAGATCTATAGTGTAGATTCCTAGCGTTTTTGTGAGGCTAAGGGGCCGTTTACCCAAATGCTTACTCGGTAAGCGCTTATTAACAGGAGTCAACAGTATAATTTATTTAGATGCGTAAGATTTTAGTACATCAAAGCTTATCGAATGCTAGGTAAGCGCTTACCTGGGTAAGAGTCGTCATCCTCACTTACCGGGTAAGACTCCATCATTCTCATCGCTCTTACCCGGTAAGATTCTTGGCCCTTCTCATATAATCCGATGAGGAAATTTATGCGTTAAGTACTTATCAAGTAAGTGTTTAGTAAACGGCCCCTAAATGTCTATGCTTCTCTTGAGCAGCCTATTTCATCCTCATCACTCCCCAAAAGTGGCAGTGGCACCTGTGCAGACAAGCCAGAGTCTGAAGTTTTTTGGCCCATTTCCTGTAGCTTTAAACCATTTAATAGGGTAGTCATGTTTGATTCAATATTTGATTAGGGTTAAGTCAAGTGCCAAGGGAGAGCCGGCTGCCTCATGAAAGCAGACTGAATTTTTGTCCACTTTCGTGTTTTCTTTCAATTTTAATAATCAGTTGGTTCTAGAGGAATGAAGTCCTGACTAATAGTAGGATGCTATATTGGTGTAAGTTGGTGTATGTGAGATTCCAAGTTCTTAAAAATAATGCTAACATCCTTTTTAAGTAGAAGTAACATTTAGGCAGGTATTATTGGAGAGATCTGTGTTGAATGGCTCTTATCTTATTGATAGCTTTAAGAAGTTGTAGAAATGGTATCTTTGAATGTTTTTTTCCTGCTTCTTACCTAGGTTGCTGCTATAAACACTGCAATGGCTGCACTTACGAAGACTGTTGGCGTCTTCCCCAAGGAGCGTGCAATAGTAGACAGAGAGCGTGCAAAGGGTTCTTATATGCTAGGACCCTATTTGTTATCTAAGTTAATTGCCGAGGTCCCTGTTGGAGCTGCATTTCCTTTGTTGTTTGGCACTATACTTTATCCCATGGCACGTCTTCATCCAACTTTATCTAGGTAAGAATATGCATACATACATACATACATACATACATACATACATATATATATATACATGTATTTCAAGTTATATGGATTGATATAAATTGAATATTAATAAAGTTAAAAGTTTTCAATTAGCATGTTTTGAAGGCATGTACTCAGAAAGTTCAAAAAATTTCAGATTCGGGAAGTTCAGTGGAATTGTGACTGTGGAATCGTTTGCTGCATCTGCAATGGGTTTGACGGTCGGGGCAATGGTTCCAACCACTGAAGCTGCTTTGGCATTGGGGCCATCTCTCATGACAGTATTCATTGTATTTGGCGGATATTATGTCAACGCAGATAACACTCCAATCATCTTTCGCTGGATTCCACGTGCTTCTCTCATAAGATGGTTGAGTACATTTTTATGTTGCTGTATCAAAGATTCTTTCTAACAAAATGCTTTTTAGTACTTACAATATTCTCTTGTTTTTGTCTAAAGATCCTCTTTGATGACTTTAGGGCGTTCCAAGGGCTTTGCATAAATGAATTTGAAGGCCTTCAATTTGATCATCAAAATTCTTTTGATATACAATCTGGAGAACAGGTGAGTGTATCAAAGGATTTTTTACATGGCTTTAGTTAATTATCCTCAGAAATGAAGGATATTATCTTACATGAAGATTCTCATATTCCTGTAAGCTAGATAAACATTTTTGTGAGAATAAGGGGCTGTTTGGTTGGTTTTTCATTACGTCCGGTATAAATAGAGTTGTCTGTGTGGATTAACCTGTCTGTATTGATTGGGAAAGTTTTTGTTTGGGAGGGTTTTTTCCATAGATGGAAGGAACATGTTTTTGTTTGGCAGGTTTGGAAAAAAACTTGGCTTTCTATAATCTATATAAAGCTCCCTCTAGAAGCTTATTGACTAAGCCACTTTCTATACCATAAGCCACTACCATACATTCGCGTATAGTTAACGGGATAAGCTGTGAGTCCCGTTAAGCTCATTAAGCTGCTAACAAACAGGCCCTAAGCTGATCATGGATTCAGATGTACCATCTAGCTTTTAGGTTTTTAAGCCTAATGTTTTCTAGATTATAATTTTTCTAACTGCATATTGTCAAATTTGACTGGAAATTGATTGGTGCATTTAATTCTCCATGCCTGGGCTTGTGTCTGGCTGGTTTGCCTGCTGATATGGCTTAAGGTTATGCAAGGTTATCCATACAGGACTTAATTAAAAATTTGGTAAACAGCCCCTTAGTCGTAAAATCAAGAGCTTTTTGGTCAGCCAAGAGAGGGGTGCTGTTACATTCAGCCCTAATTTTTTATCTATGTACTTGATAAAACAGGCTGCATACTTGCCTTCATATAGCGATATTTGATCTAATAAACTACTCCCTCGGTCAAGTGTCCACTTTTAAAAGTGAGTGTGTACTTTCCAGTTCTACTCTTAATTATGGGATGGAGAAAATTTCTCCGTGGTAAAATTGTCATTTTAGTTAGTTAAAGAGTGTAATAATTACACATTTCTAAAACTGTACGTCTTTTTCATCGTGGACATTTACTTTGGGATGGAGTAATAAAACCAAAACTGACTTGTATCATATCTTGTGATGCAGGCTCTGGAGAGGCTTTCTTTCGGGGGTAGCAACATATCCGAGACTGTGATGGCTCAAAGTAGAATTCTCTTGTTTTGGTACTACACCACGTACCTCCTCCTAGAGAAGAACAAACCCCAATATCAACGGCTGGAACCACCACCACCACCACCAGCCGACCAAACAGAACCACAGTTAGAGCTCGATCAGCCGGTCGAAAGCGACGACTCCCAGGGGCAATCATTCGAGATCCTTGAGACTCCAACGGTTGACCAAGGTAAACCTGATCCTCCGCAGCTTGAATCTCCTGCTACTGCCCAACTTAATATGTTTGACCTTGGCGGTTTGTGATGTTATACTCGGGCATACCGAACTATTTTGTTTCATTGGTCTCATACAGGTGGTTCCATCTAGAGGATATGCATGCCCATGGTGGAAAAAAGCAAACCTATTACCTGTGTTCTAGGTAAACCTCAGTAGCAGTTCTAATAAAAACTCATCAGCTTAGAATGTAAAGAAATTTGGCTTTTTTAGCCCATCCTGGTTACTCGATCTTTAATTAAACCAGAATTCCGATACCGACTTGCATGTTTTCCATTCTTTTATCATTGTTTGTGTACTGCTATAACTTGTGTTCCGGTAGTCAACCAAACCAAACGAGCCCAGTATAGCTGATGTTTTCACGAACAAATCATTCACTTATCTTGTTGAGTTGTTTTCTTCTACTATGAAGCTTGAAGGGATGCATAAGGTTTGTAGGGTGCGTTTGGTACATTGAACATGACAGAATAGCACAACACTGAACTTGAGAGATGCACTTTGTTAACGTATCTATATACACATGCCGATGGAGCAAATTCACAACAAATTTTTAATTTTTGACTACGTACACCGCCATACGCTAAAAAAGTTTAATTAATGACGTCTTTCTTCTTTTGAGTGATACATACACAATTTTGTTTTGAAGTATATAATATTTATATACGGCAAATACAACAAATAAAATTCATACACCCTTCTCACCTATGGTGATGTTTGAACCCCTGACCTCCTAAGATGCTGAAGACTACGATACTGCTAGGCCATAGACCCCCTTTGGTATGCATACAGTGTCTTAATGGTACTAAAAGGACAATACAACATGATATGCATGTGATAGAACAAGAATATATACTATGACATTATTCTAAAAGAAAAAAGCTAAGAATAACTTTGAGAGTGTCTTTCTTTTGTTCCTTCAAAATTGGATCTTCAAAATCATGTGCTAGTTTCGGTTAAAATTAGGTTTTATGAAAATTCCTGTAGACTGTTATTTTAGTTATCTATAACTTATTGGATCTTTATGATGACTGTGGGATCAGTATAGTTTTATGATGACTGTGGGACTGGTACAGTTTTAAGAGGATAAGATGACAAATATTGTTTTATTGAGTTGTTGTGAATGGTTATAATTTTCACATTGGAATTATGGCATTGAAGGATGGTGGTTGAAACAGGGAGAGACCCGAACATCATATAATATAGATAAAAAATAATTACAAAAAGAATGGTTTTTTTTTTTTTTTATCGAAGTGTCTTCATGATTTTTCTGACGTTCAATATTGCTCGATGTGTTTTAAGTCTAATCCCACTGTTTCGAGTAATTTTTAAAGATTTTTGCTTGATTTCAAGAAAATTTTTAGTTTTTTTTATCGATTTCAAGAGTTCTTTTCTGGTTTTTTGGTTGATTACGAGGTACGGTTGCACTTTCTTGAATTTTTGAATATCATACGGCGACATCTTCTAAAACGATATGGTTACACATTTCATAAACGTAAAAATTTTAACCTTTCGACAGAGAGATAATACAGTGGCACGTGCCACCGTATGCTCTTCTATGGATCCGTCCATGGCTTCAAAACAGGATTGTTTCGACGATGTGTGTGGTGACGAGATAACGATTAATTGATATTATATATTATTGGATCAAACGAATGACAGATCCCGACCTTAGCTCAGTTGGTAGAGCGGAGGACTGTAGTGTGTTCCATGGCTATCCTTAGGTCGCTGGTTCGAATCCGGCAGGTCGGACTTTTTTAAAATTCTTTTTCCATCCCTGTAGTTTGTCAAAAGCTTCAATTTTCGTCCTTGTGGTTTCAACATTGCGGTTTTCGACTTTATGGTTTCAAAATTTCGATTTTCATCCATGCAATTTATAATTGGTTACAATTTCGTCCCCAAGCCTAACACCTACCTTTAAGTGGGAAGGAGGGACTACAACAATAAAACATTGTCAACCATAATGATGAAAATCGTAATTTCAAAAACATAGGAATGAAAATAGTAATTTTTAAACAAACCATAAGGACGAAAAATGCAATTTACTCAAAAAACTAACGGATCCGATATTAATAAAATAAAATAATTAACGAGTAATGAGTATACAAACAAACAGCGTTTATGTATAGCCATTCGATTATGAAACGTTAAGAGAAATTGTTGAGCTAATTGCTCGATAAATCCTATTATTAGCATTCAATATGTAGAACGTTAGATCAGGTCAAAATCGTACCAAAATTTAGAAATCCCGAGTTCAGTTTTTTCACTTGTCCTAACAGGAACGTGGGTTTTTTTCCAGTACATCACATTCATGCATCTGCGACTCTCGTGACGGTATTGTTAACTTTAAAAGATGTTCTATTTGCTCATAATCTCGTTTGATATCGGAAAAGGTCGTTTTTATTTCTTGTTTAACTTTCATGCACAAATCATCTTCCTTTTCTTTTACGTTTGGTCAATATCTCAAAGGATTTCGAACAGAAAAACGACAAATAATAACCATCAAACGGTGTAAAATATTTGGCATTGAATGAGTACCCAAAACTTCACGAGTACTTTTGTGCATGTGACTTTGGATCTACGAATATAACTATATTGAGTTGTTTACTAAAAAAATATACATGATTTGGTTTTCTTTTTAAGTAACCATACATATTACCTACCGACCCATATGTATTAGTTCCTTACAATTTAATATTTTATGAACCATCTTCAAATTACAAACAGGGGTGGGTTCACGTAAGACCAACTTGTTTTCGTGAGACTATTTTTTTACATTTGAAACTTCATAACGTTTTGCTGTGAAGTTTTAAGTGTAAAAAAAATAGTTTCACGGGTTTCATGAAAATATACTGGTCTCATATGAACCCAACCCATTACAAACATCCATGCTTTAAACTGAAACAAATATATATATCGAATAATTGTTTTATAAACAAAAATATTTTTATAAAAAAATTAGGTTATGTGAAAGGGAAAACTCATTTTGGCATGGATTATTATTTTAATTTTAATTAATTAAATAATTGTTTGATAGAGATTGGTTAAATAAAACAAATGGTGTTTTTAATGTGTCTTTTTGGTTGAGATTCTCTAGCTTTCTAAAAAATCACATTTATTTTTAAAAAATGTATTTAAGATATTAAAAACATTTAAATTATTATGAAAAACTTAATAAAAACCCTTTTATTATCAGAATTTTATGGACATAAAGTTTATGTAAAATACGTGATTTGAAAAAATTAATTATAATATGATAAATTATAATTAATTATACTAGAAGGGTACTCACGCGATGCAGGAAGATACATCTTGATTTTAATATTTATTTTATTCTTTATCTCAATCGATGTTATAATATGGTCTTATGTGATTTTGAAAAAACGATGATGTTTTTATTTTTGAATAAAATATAAACTTGAATATATCATAAAAATTTGACAAATATATATCGATATTAGTGTCAAATTAACTATTTAAAATTCTTATTTTTTGTGTAAATTTTTAATTCAATTTTTCTATTATAATTTAATGTAGGTTCAATGACAAAGTAATTTATATTTGGTTTAATAATATAATTTTCTTATAAAGATAATAATCAATTATTTTGTTAGAACTCAATAATTATCCTAATTATATTTTAGATTTTTTATATTTTAAAATGAGATGTTTATCATTTATTTGATTATGTTTATCTGCAGTTAGTTATACGAATGTTAACATGGAGCTTTAATAAGTTGTACTTATGCATAATTTACTTGCAATCTTAAATTTTAAGTAATATACATCAATATGTAGTATTTCATGTATAAAAATTGGTTTTTAAGAATTTTTGTTAAATATTTTATAATATAATATAGATATATAATAAATTAAAATTAATTTAACTTTACATTAATTATAAATATGATAAATAAAAATTAATATTAAATTTAATTATAAAAATAAATTTAATAGGTGGTGAACCTGCACCTGCTACACACACCCCTCGTCCCTGACTCCATAAATTAAAAAAGTTGTAGCTAATCTTCTTAATAAACTAACCATCTTTGCTTCTAGTTGCATGTGGGTCTAGAAAAAAACTAAGGGTTGTTTTACAATTGTTGAATAGTTTGATGTAAAATGATTAATTGATTAGAATGATTAAAATATTTTTATAATATAATGCAAAATGAAATATAACTGTCTGGTAATTATTCAAAATGAAATTAGAGTGTTGAATGATACGAGAGACTCAAGATATAGGGTTTTAGAACCATTAAGAGATAAACTTTTTTTTGTCAAACAAGATTCATCCAGTTAACGATTTAGAAGCCGCATCTTAATGAAATTATTATGAGGTAAACAAACAACCCTGAATGTTTTATTTTCTATTTTAAATTAGACCGATAAAAACACCTCGATAGGTTCTTTATAATTTCTTAAATAAAGAAGCAAAAATTAAAATTTTAAAAAAAAATTACATCAACTCCAGCAAGTTTTTTATTTTAAAGATTTTAACATAAATTATATTTATTATTTCAATACACTTAAAATAAAAGCTCTACATGAAATAATAATAATTTAATCTTAAATCGAATAAAATAATAATTTATCTCTCCAAAATCAAATTTTAAATGATTCTTTAAAATTGTAATTTATCCATGTTTTTTCTATTTTTTTTTAAAATATATAGAATCTATTTAAACAATATAATTAAATGGCATTTGGTTTAGCAGTATATGAGTCTTTGACCTCCTAGCAGATCAAGTGTTTAAACCTTATTAAAAATGAAAAGGGTGTATGAGTTTATTTATTGTATATAAATACTATATATTTTAAAAAAACCAATATAAAAAACAAAAACTTCATTTTGTCTTTTTAGATAATCAGTTGAAAATGTTCTAAACCAGACATAAACTTGTATTATGTCATCTAAATTTAATTCACAAGATTATTTATTGCTTAGATGGATAAAAAACTGAAAGTATGATTTCTTAAGAGGTGTTTGGGATTGCTTATTGAAACAATTTATATTTTTCTATAAAGTTTTTATCAACTTTTTATAAGTTATAATGATTTAATTTTTTTAAAAACTTTTTATTACATGTTCAACACCAGTATAAGCTGTCTATCCAAACGCTAAAAAATTGTTTATTACCAATACTACATCAAAATAAGTCAATAAGCTATTTTTACAAGCATCCAAACACCCCCTTAATAAAAACAATTTAAAAATAAATATTATGATAATATAATATTTTATTTTTTTAAGTAAACGGTAAAATAGGGTTTCCCCAGCAAAACCGGTTATGTTCATCCACCCGCCTTTTCCTCCTTCATCACCATCAAACCCATGTGTCACTCTTCTAGATCTCTTTCTCTCCCTTTGAGATCAATCCTCTGTATATATGTATAGATTTAGCTGAACCAAGAGCTTATCATGTGCTCTTACTAGTATTCTACTGTAAAATCAGTTGAAAGGTCATTCCCAAATTCATCACCATTTCTGTGTTTTATATGGACTGAGATTTTGTTTTGTCGTCCACCGACAACAGCTCAAGAATGGAGAAGAATCCCTTTTTCTTATTCTTCGTCTTCATTATCATAAGCTGTACTTCAGCTCTCACTTCACACCAAAATGATCAAGTCACATCTATCTTAGGTACTGCATTTATGGGGTTTTATCGTATATCGATTCATTGATGCTGATTTTGATGTGGATGTGGATGCTGATTTCGATGTTTTTGTTTTTTGCTTTGTGGATTTTATCTATGCAATTGATTTTATCATGATTGCTGGATTTATGAGCTTTTTAAAAAGCTTTTGGGGTTTTTCAACTACTATCGATTTGGTGAGAAATATGCCTACAACATTCAGTTTAGGGCTTAAGGATTTTAAGCTTCATGTTCGGCCTGCTTTCACACACTACTGATAATAGCAATGGGAATTTGACAGATAAGAATTTTATGTTGTTATCTTTTATGATCCACGAATCTGAATCAGGTTAAGTGATTCATGATCTTATGGGAAATTTTAACTCGAGATTGCTGTTTATTTCGACAAACTGGGGTTTTTCGGGTGATTTACTTCTTTTAGAGACAATTATGTTCGTTTTTTGGGTGTTTTGGTAGATTTTTGGATTTGCAGCAGTAGAATGTATTGAATGTTCTTTATGAATTTAGATTCCATTTGTAACATGTATGATTGATAATTGTAGGGGAAGATAACTTGGGCCATTGGAGAAATGGGATCTTGAGCTCATCAGCTGAAGCTCCTGGTCCTGCCGGTGAACCATCTGGTGCACTTGTGTTGGCCGGGTCGAGGACAAAGAGGCCTGATATTCTTAACCGATTCAAGCGGTATCATGGTGGATGGGACATTACTGATAAGCATTATTGGGCAGTAAGTTCTCTTAGATTGATTTAGACCATCCATGAATTAACTTAGGGGTTGTTTGGTTGGTTTTCTATTAATTTTCTATATGGATAAAGTTGTTTGTGTCGATTAATCTGTCTGTATAGATTGCAAAGGTTTTTGTTTTGTGGGGTTTTTTAATAGATGGGACGAGTGTGTTTTCATTAATTGGGAGGGGCAGGTTTGGAAATTTTGGCTTTTTGCATAAAGCTCCTCCCTAGAAGCTTACTAAGTAAGCCACTTTCTATATCATTAAAGTCACTACCAAACACTCATATATAGTTGACAATAAGTTGCGAGTCCTATTAAGCTCATTAAGTTGTTAACAAACAAGCTCTTTGTTTGAATTAGGTCTTTTAGTGAAGAAGATCATGAAGGATCTGTCAAAATCGATCCAACAAGTAACCAAATAAATCAATCCATTAAAATGTAATGGCTACTTGGATTGATGTAATCTGATTACCATTTAAACATAAAGAAACCTATTGATTTTTTTAGCACATTTGTATTATATGAACTACAGATATATTGATCTGTAGCTTCCATCTCTCTAACGCAAATACTTCAAGTTTTTTGGATAAAATGTATGTTTTCTTGTACAGTATAAGTCTTTAGGACTTGATACCTCAGCTTTTCCGGTAAGACATGATCTAATTTGCAACTTTTAGTTTGTGTTTATAATCAAAAGTTGAGTTGTTATGCTTTAGAAACTTGTATGGTACAAGTACAAGTGCATTTGTTGTTTAATGGGACATGTTTTCTTGTATAAATATAAACCAAACATACTCGGTATGTCCCACTTGAAAGTAGGATATGTCGGCATACATCCCTCAAAGCCTGCTTTTGAGTGGGATATACTTGAGTTTGGTTTTTGATTTTTACGTAAATCTCAGAGTATACATACATACGCACATTATATATATATATATATATGTATGTATACGCACACACACACACATATAGGGTTGGGTCCATGGGAAACCACAAAAAATGGAAAATTGAGGAACACCCTAATATTTAACCATTTATTTGTCTCGTATGCGCATGTGCATAAAAGTAATTTGTACGCTATGCACATGTACAATGAAACCAGGAAACATTTTCAATTACTTTTATGCATATGTGCATAGCAGACAAACGAATAGTTATTGGGGTGTTCCTCATTTTGCTATTTTCTTTGGTTTTCCCCAGAACCTGAGTCTATTATATATAGATTTATAGATGTGAATTTATCTTCTTAATGACATTGTGTACAGTCTGTTGGATTTACAGGGGCTGCTGCTTTGATTCTTGCTATATTATGGTTTGTGTTCTTTGGCTTAGCCATGATCATATATCACTGTTGTGGTTGGAGAATCGATATTAAAGGCAAAGAATCCCGCCCTTCTCAGATACTATGCCTGATTTTGCTTATCGTCTTCACGTGTGCTGCAGCGTAAGCATCTCTCTCTTCAACATTATAGCTTTCCAAAAAACCCGGAAAAAAACCCAACCATTTTGTTAGAAGTAATTTTGACATTCGAAGTAAAAAAGAGGACGAATAATTCTTATGATTTGTTAAATCCAAGTGTCTTTCACTGGTTTCCTACAGGACTGGATGCATTCTTCTTTCGGTCGGGCAAGATGAGTTTCATCGTGAGGCAGTGGACACGCTAAATTACGTTGTTAACCAATCTGATTACACTGTTCAGACACTTGTAAATGTCACAGGGTATTTGTCGCTAGCAAAAACTGTCAATGTGGCACAGTTTTACCTTCCTTCAGATGTGAAAGATAGTATTGACAAGCTGAATATCGACTTAAATGCTGCCTCAGATAAACTCGGGCGAAAAACACATCAGAATTCGCAAAAAATAAGAACCGTCTTTGATGCTGTGTATGATCCGTCCTATGAATATGATATCATGAACTTTTTTAGTGCAATTATGCAGTTCTCAGATTCTCAAAATGCTTTTCGTTTGTTTATTTCAGGCGATCATCGATGATTACCGTTGCAATAGTGATGCTTCTCGTTTCTATTTTAGGCCTTTGTAAGTGTTCATAAGACGTTCATCGGTTAACTTGTCTTTGTATTTCTGCATCTATTTTACCATATTGGGTTCGTTTTTACAGATTTGTCGATTCTTGGTCAGAGGAATGCAATCCACATGTAAGCTCTTCGATGTTCTTTTTCTGGTGGGTGAGAATGTGAATATCGTTTATTTTTCTTGATCAAACGTTCTTATTGATGCAGATTCATTATCGGTGGATGGTTACTTGTCGTGGTGACATTCATTCTATGTGGAGTTTTCGTAATCCTCAACAAGTAAGATAAATCTTGATGTTAAGTTCGTATCCGAAAAGTACTATGTTTTACTCGAGAAGTCAAAATACATCTTCTTCATGGACTGTCTCATTCATTAATGGTCGGTGTTGGAATATATAGAACCCTTTAAATTATCTATACAATTTTGATGGTCCATGTCTAGCTGATGTGGGACTTAAACACGCCTCCTCAAATGGTGATCCCTAGAACGGAGGCGAAAGAGTGTGTCGAGTCCCAAGATCTGGTAGATCTCAACTCTGATACCATGTTATTATATGGAACCCCTTTTGAATTCTCTCTAAAAGAGCCCTTATAGAGAGGGAGATTTTTGCGCGCACACACATACACATATATATATATATAGAGAGAGAGAGAGGGGTTCAGGGAAAACCCCCAAAAAATGAAAAACTGGGAACATTTTGTTATCCATTCATCTGGACTGTATGCACATGTTCATACAAGTAATTGAAGTTGTTTATTGGTTTGTATGCACATGCGCCTACTGGACAAATTGCTTATAATGACTTGTATGTACATGTGCATATATCCAGATGAATGGCTACCGGGGTGTCCGTCGGTTTTCTTTTTTTGCGGTTTTCCCTTGAACCTGATCCAATATATAGCTGATGTGAGACCTCAACAATTTAAGGTACATAAACAAGAGACTAATGAACGATTTCGTGTTTGCAGTGCAATTTCAGATACGTGTTTGGCTATGGAACAATGGGTGGATCACCCGCATGCCGAAACTGCCCTTAGTAACATCCTTCCATGTGTTGACCAGGGAACAACGAACCAGACGTTGTATAAGAGTAAACAGGTGATCAACGATCTTGGAAATATCGTGAATGGATTCATAGGCTCGTATGCCAACTCATACCCCCAGCCATCAGGGAACACAAATTACTTTAACCAGTCAGGGCCTCTGATGCCATACGTTTGCTCTCCGTATGACTCGCAACTCCAAGAACGAGAATGTTCATCCCAAGAGATCTCGATGTCAAATGCCTCGCTGGTACGTTAAAACGCATAAGTTTTGACTTGTGAGGTCAAACAGACTAATTTTCGTCGTCCATGCTTAACGTGAATTATGCCAAGTTTTTGCCAGAACCATAATTGGTAAATTATAGCTCATTCGTATCATAAATTCTCCAAAACGTCCAACGAACCATACGAAATTTGGAAGTTGGCAATTAGTTAATTTGACCTCAAAAGTCAAATAAAGAAACCACTGCTTTACCATTCAGAGCAGAGGTTAGGTCTATATGCATCTCGAAGTATAATAGATTAGTTTGCTTTGGATGTGTAGGTGTGGCAGAACTACACTTGTACGGTCTCGGAATCCGGATTATGCATCACCACCGGAAGATTGACCCCCGAGATGTACCAACAACTAGTCGGAGCAGTAAACATAAGCTACGCCCTCCACCACTACACGCCGCCGTTACTAAGCTTCCAGGACTGCAATTTTGTTCGTGAAACCTTCACAACCATCACCTCCGACCACTGCCTGCCATTACAACACCATCTCCGGCTGGTGAATGCAGGTTTGGCCCTTGTTTCTGCCGGAGTAATGCTCAGTCTTGCACTGTGGATCATATTCGCAAACCGCCCCCAAAGGGAGGAGGTGTTTGCTAAGATTACGTCCACGATTAAATATAAATGCAACGGAAAGCTTTGCCGTGGTGACAACACCATCCGAGAAACGTAACAAGTCCAACAAGCGAAGCTTGAGGCGTAGGAAGTCGTTTTTTTTTATATCGGGTTCTTTGTTGTAATCTATATCTATCTTCGACACGGCTGAATGCAAGGTGTCGTCGAGCATATTTTTTTTGCCCGATAGCAACAATTAACGTGTGGGTTCAATAATTCTATTTGTTTTCATTCACTGTCGGCCTGCTTTACGAAACCTTCACATTTCGGGTATCCGATATGATTTTCTTGTAGCATGGATTTAGCAGGTCGGAGTAAGTTGGATACTTGGATCAAGTTAAACGGTTAAAAGAATGTATTGTTGCTGATGAGTTGGGTTGGTCAGGTTGAGTGCGTTGAAACTAAAAAAATAATAAAATCAAAATTCTTCGTGATTAGTACCCAAAGCCATGTCAGTTTGTAAAATTAGAACCCGATTAGGTTTCGATTTAGGGTCTGATTGTTAGAAGCTTAATGAAACTTACAACTTATTCAGTTAGATGTACATCTTGTTTTGTATGGTTTAAGGATATAAAAGGTGGACTCGGGTTGTTTGTTCACCTCTTAATAGTTCCATTAAGATGTAACATCTGAATCATTAAGAGGTGAATCTTGTTTGGCCAAAAAAAAAAAAATTATGTTTCTTAATGGTTCTAAAACTCTCTGAATGATTTTGTATCATGGATCAACCCTTAACCATTAAAAACCCTAATTTCATTGTACACAATTACCAAACAATTATATTTCATTTTACACTATATCATAAAAGTCTATTAATCATTTTGCACTGAACCATTCAGTAATTGTCAAACAGCCCCTTATTCACTAAGCTTCAAGGGAAGAAATTTATGCAGAGAACCAAAAATTTTAAACTAAAAAACATGCACATACCATTTATAAAAAAAATCCAAACAAAACCTTTATCAATCTATAGACAGATTAATCCACATAGACAGCACAAACAACTTTATCCATACATGATTTAATGAAAAATCAAGTTGCATTCATCTAACATATTTTTCGGGTTGAATTAGGTTGTATAGTCGGCCCATCGAGTTTTTTATGTAGTCCTAAACAAAAAGGTAAAATGGTTAGTCGTTAAAATCTTTATAGGTTTTTAAGAAGTGGTCATGATAGGTTAAATGTAGTTTTGATAGGTTAACTGAATAATGCGTTCGAACTTGAATCTAAACCGGAAAAAACAGGTTATTGTCATTAGTCGAATCAAAGTCGATATACATCGCTCATATGATGACGGAAATAGAGATAGATATATCATACATGAATTATAGTTGAGATATCTCGTAGTTATCTACCTGTAACTCATTCCTATTTAAGAGACTCGTGATTAATAAGAATTACATATTTCTTTTCTCTATTTATTAATATTCTCTTCTATTTATACCGTAACAAAATATGTTACACTGGTAGAAAATATCATAAATAATTAACGGTTCAAAACAATCATATATTTTACGTTATATACGTTGTTGAACACAGTAACAACATATAAGTACTTATTACCGGTGACATACCAAAATAAGTCAATAAATTGTTTTTATAAGCAATCTTAAACACCTAATAAGTGTGTTTCAATTCAATATTGAAATTTTAAACCTATAAGTCTAAGTCTACTATTTGTAATTGACTATTCTACCCTTAATTACCAATCATCTTGAACAAATCGGCTCCTCCGTGATGGTATCCAAGAACGGCTTCCTTGACCTACAAACCGCCAACCGGAAACTAAACTCCGGCGTATCCACCACCAATCTCGGCTGCTCTTCCACCTGCACCTCCTCCCTCACTCCACCACCAGTGCTCAACTCCGGTGATATCCTCCCGGAAATCCTTTTGCCCGCACTATTACCAGCTATCCAAAATACAGCCATATCCGCCGGAGTAACCATCGAGTTCACCCTCCTCATCGGAAACATGATGTAAATATTCCCCGCCTCCAAATCTTCGTCAGCCGAAAGCGGCGAGAAACGACGGTTGATGTTTAACGACCGGGAGTTGACTAAGAAGAAGCTGGGACACTCGAGCATGATCTCGGCCGCCTTAACACACTCTCGAAACTGCCGGATTTCGCCCGATGGGAATATGACTCGTGCCGCTTTGTTGCTTTTCATTATCGGAGAGATCATCAAGCTGCATACTGATGCATAGTTTCCCATTTCTTTCCTTCTTTTTGGGTGTTCAAGTAAATAAACCAATGCTCAAACAAGTACGATGATTATGATGTCGGAATCCGATGTATTAGTGTTTATATCCGGTGTATCAGTGTTTGTATGATTCAGTTGACATATAAGTATTTATATCTACAAAATTGCGCGTGAAATGGGGTGCGAAGGAAAAGGGTTGGAGTTTTTGGCATGAGGAAATTAAGGTCGACGTTTTACATTTGGTGCGTGTGGGGCTAATTGTGGAATTATTAAATTTAAAGGAAATTGGTCAAAGTTTATGGGGGTGGTGGGAAAGTAAAGTTGGCATATGTGTGTATATGTGAAATGGTCAATCAACTCTTGTTTATGGTTTTTATTTAACAATCGTTTATTTGGTAAGAGTTTGTCTTATTTTTTTAATTTATAATTGAAACAGTATTGTATGTAATAATTTATCTGATAATTGTAAAGCGGGTAAAAGTCGCACCTTTACTTACCAGATAATTGGGTTTTTGTCGTTAGGGGTGTTCATGGGTTAGGTTAATCGAGTTGAAAACATTTAAACAATCCAACCCAATGCTTACGGTTTGAAAAATCTTAACTCATCCCAACCCAAACCAAAGTGCAACTCAACCCAACCCAACCCGTACGGGTTGATCGGGTTAGTCGGGTTGGTCGAACTGATACTTTGATACATTGAAATATTATTCTAACATTGAATATGTTTTTTTTCTACTCATAATTTCTTTTTCATTATCAACCATTTGATACAACTTATCAATATTTCTTTCGTATATCACATTCAAATAATTTTTTTAATTTGCATATATATGTTCACAATTGCTGAACATATATATGAATGAGTTATATAGAGATGGAAAATAGATTAAAAATATGTACATACAAAGAGTATATGTGATAGTATAATTGTCTAATGTATATATTAATATAAACTCAACAATCATATTAAACCCAAGAAATAAAGGATATCGGGTTCATTGAGTTGGATTTTCAAATCATATCAATCCAATACCTACGGTTTTGATTAGACATCGGGTTGCTTCAGGTTGAGTTATTTCGCTTTGGGTTGGGTTGGGTTGGGTTGATCGGGCTAGTCGGGTTTTTGAGCATTATTTGTGATCGTTCTTACCAGGTAAGATTCTAGGTCATTGTCATAATACATCTGGTAAAGTAATTGACTTGGTAAATTAAATTATATTTACCCCCAAAAATCACAAACAATATTTCTAAAAATATGAAAAAAAAAGATTAATAGTAAAAATGTCACTATCTGGCAGATTGTACTGGTTCCACGACCATCATAAAAGGAAGTAAATTACGTGTACCAGCGACACGCTACCCCATTGTTGCCGTTGTTGATCAAAGCGTAAAACAAATAAAGCTTGAAACTAGTATGTGAGAATAAAACGAAGTCCTTGAAATACATTAAATGCAAACGAATGAGAATAAGGGGACAATTAAACCTACCCTTGAGTCGAAACCGTAGCCGTCGAAGGATGATACAGATCGTACCTTAATTGGTGGAATTGAATTCGATGTTGGAATACAACCGAACGCTTGGATGACTAGCGATGATGACGAAAGCTTGATATTGAAGTACTCGTGTAAATGGATATAATTGATCCAAAAAGCAAAGAGGGCCACTATCTGTTTGGTTCATATATGTCCATCCAGTGTTTTTTATTCAGATGTTTTTTTTTTACTGATGAATCGGTTTATGTGTCATTGTTATGTCTCGTAGTTTATTTTGTTTTTGTTTGATTTAATAATGGTTTCACGCATACAAGCAAGACAAAGAATACATAAAGACCAATTCATCATCGAAAACAAATTTGGTCAACGTTATTTGTTTTTAGTAAGTTGTCGTGCTGGATGAACAACTACCTGTTATTTATAAAACGATGCAGCGTGTGGCCCTAAAACGACACGTTCTTGATTTCGAGTTCTGGTCAGAATCGGGAGGCATCAATACCTGTTAGGTTTCTATTAATAACTGGTTCAAAACGTTCATCTCAATTTCTTTTTTCCGTCATTTATTTGTATATATATATATATTATTTTCTTATTTTAATTACATAATTTGTTATTCATTTTGGAATTATAACTAAGCATACACCAAAATTAATGTTTCTCCTTGTGGTTAAAAGTCTTGGTCTTTTGTTGGTCCCAGGCCTATCGATTTGTTTCGGTCATTCCACGTATGGTTAGGACTTTAATTTTACGATATTTATGACATCTGTAGTCGGCTTAAACGGTTCAGTTAACCGAATAAATATGATTTTTACTAATTCATCGAGGTGTATAATTTTTATATTTTATATTTCGAACGAAAATATCAGCATGTGCTATAAATAGACTAATTAACAATCATGATATCAAATTGAGGGCCCTTGCCTTGTTCTTGTTGGAGGCCTTGTCTTGTTTTTACTAGACGCACAATAGGAAAATTTACTAAACAAAATTTTTATAGCATTTTTTTTTTTTAAAATGGTGGATTTGTTTGGGGGCTAGGACCCCTACCACTATGTACTGGATCATTGGACCAGGACAAACCTCTGTGCGCCCTGACAGGGCTGACAGGTTGCTGGCCCAGTCGAGGTTTGTCCATGCCCAATCCCAATGGACAAACCTTAGCCCCTAGCTCTATAATCCACCCTACCCGGTCCCTAAAAGCCCTCCCGGGCGCCTAGCCCTCTTGAGTTAATCTTCATAAAACGAGAATTACTTATTTATTTGGTGTTCTAGAATCTAGCTGGGACATAGTTCTTTTTCACTTTAGAAAACCAACTCAATTGATAAATATGTTATATCCTCTCAATAAGTTATCACTTCAAGTCTTTTTGACTAAGGGGTTGTTTACCAAATGCTTATTCGGGTAAGCACTTACCAAGTCACATTACCTTACCGGATGAATATGGCAAGGACCAAAAATCTTACCTGATAAGAGCGAAAGCAAAGACCAAGAGTATTACCCTATAAGTGATGGCGACAACTCTTACCACGGTTAGTGCTTACCAGGTAAGTTGTTACATACGATATCGTTTTGGTTGACTAAAATCTTACCTAGTAAGTAGGCAATAACGTTAAATTTTATTGTTAAATACTTACCGGATAAATGTTTAGGTAAATAGCCTCCGAATGAAATTATTCAATGTCTAAAAATTTACTACTGCTTAAGAAAAAAGCATTGATATTATTATTTTTTAATTATTAAATTTGAGGTGAAGCAAGTGGCAAAAGACGGAGACAGTTTTGTACCTGTAGAAAAGGTGGGCATGGACCGCCTCTTCTTCTAGATTAGGATTAGAGGACGGGAGTGTTTGACCATTTAGTCGCCCAATTTGCATACCATTATTTTCTAACACCGACTTCTGTTACTTTTGCCCATCATTTTACTAATCTTTATCTGCCACTCGTTAAAACCATCGAGAATATGACATGTATCTATAATCATCATGTATAAGACGTGAATTTTACAATATTCATAATAAATATAATTATTCATTATGAATATCTCTATTTTCATTATACATATAAACAAATGATGTATTCTCAATGGTTTCCTAGTTTTCAATAAAAATGAGATTGTTAATGAAAACTACTCTCTTTATATATATCTATTATCTATACTATATCATAAAGTATCTAACAAAAAAACATTTTTTATGTATATTACTTAAAATTTAAGATTACAAGTAAATTGTATGTAAATATAACTTATTAAAATTTCATTTTTGAATTTGTATAACTAACCACAGATGAACATAATCAAATATGAGATAAATATAGTATTTTAAATATAAAAAATTCAAAATATAATTAGGATAGTCATTGAGTTATAATTTAATCATTATCGTTATAAAATTTATTTTGTTAAACCAAAAATATTAGATCTAAATTAAATTAAAAAAATTAAATTAAAGAAATTGTATAAAAAAACAAGAACTTTTAAATACTTAATTTGATATTAATATCGATATATTTTTTTAAAAAATTTTATGATATCTTCAAATTTATTTTTATTCAAAAATAAAAACATTATATTTTTCAAAACCACATAAACCGTATTATATTAACAAAAACAGAAAATAAAACAAAACCTTGAAATGAATATGTATCTCGCTGCATTGTTCGAGTACACTTCAAGTATGTATGTATATTGGTTCTTACCGGGTAAGATTCTTATTCTTACCATATTATCCGTTGAGATAATGTGATTTGATGTTCACTTATCCGAATAAGCGTTTGGTAAATCGCCCCTAAATACGCTAGAATAACAGAAGGCTGTGAGAAACCGATATGAAGAGACAGACATATAGTGGACATGTTTTAAGCAAAGAGTACAAGCACAACAATTGCATGTAATGTAATCACAAATGCATATGTACATACCAGTTTGGTTGTCTACGTAATGATTGCAACTTGTGTACATATAATTGTATATATAAAAAGAGATGATGCAACTACTGTATGAGGCTACATAAATCGTCGAACAATATTATTAAATGGAAACCAAAAAACCATTCAGGACAAAGACAAAATCATTGTTTATAATACCCACTCTGATGAGGAGGGTAAGGAGAAGGAACCGTATATGGAGGCCTCGGAAACGATCCAGGTTGCTGACCCTGTGCGTTATAGTATGCACCCTGCCAACCAGGATAAGCAGGTTGGCCGTACTCATGGGCGGCAGGTGGCGGTTGTTGGCCTTGCTGAGGAGGATAAGGGGACCCACCATGGTAAGGAGGTGGCGGCGGTTGCTGTTGCGGAAGGGCATAGGGAGGAGGAGGGTGCTGTGAATATCCTGATGTGGCAGGTTGTGGAGGGTGTTGCTGCGCATATGCTGATGGTGGTGGTGGCTGTTGATAATAAGGTGTTTGAGGACGAGGGTGGTTAGCGGGTTCTTGCTGGGAAGATGTTCTTTGGGGCTGGGTGGCCGAAGGGTAACTGTAACTGCCGGAATTCTTACCATCTTGAAAACTGAGACCCGCCATTTGTCTTTGTACGTCTTCAATCATTTCTCGGCATTGTATGCTTCTCGTCATCACAAAGTCACTGCATTGCTGCTTTACACTTGTGATTGCATCCTGTTGATGAAATGAACTTAATTTCAAATCTGACAAGTGGTCTCGTGAACGGAAACTTACACCGGATTTAGAATGCAACAAGATTCAAGCAATAATAATGCTCGTCCATGCAGATAAAACACACAGAAAATGAGAGGACTGTCTTCTACAATTACTTTCTGTTTCCATGTAAACAAGATCTCGATGATTGTATTAGCAGTTTTGTGATTGGCGTAACATGGTATTTGTAAATTATGAACGGCATACACTTTACAATCCAATTTTGTAAATATAGATATACAAGTGAACTATGTTTTTTGTCCTTGTCTTCTGTTGGAAACTGCTACTTCGCCTTTCGTCTTTCAAAATTACAGCTTCGTTTTGTAATTCGTTCCGGTTTTCGTCCCGGGGACTTAAGGGCCTGTTTGTTAGCAGTTTAATGAGCTTAATGGGACTCACAGCTTATTCAGTCAGCTATACATGACCATCTAGTAGTGGCTTAATGATATAGAAAGTAGCCTATTCAGTAAGATTCTAGAGGGAAGCTTTTTGCAGAAAGCCAAGTTTTTTCCAAGCCTGTTCATCCCAATTAAAAAACACACTCCTTCCATCTATAAAAAACCCTCCGGAACAAAAACCTTGACAATCTATACAGACAAATTAATCCACCCAAACAGCTTTCTTCGTACAGGATTTAATGGAAAACCAACCAAACAGCCACTAACCCCGTTAAATTTCAGCTGTTTAATCAGGGGTATTTTGGTCCTTTTTCCATTTCATTTTAATTTTCTTTAAAAATATATCCAACAAAGAAGTTCATAACGAACAATGGAAGTAAATCTTGATCCACGACATGCATGCAAGGCAAGAAAAATAATGATAACAATCTAATTCATGTCCAACAAATGAGTTCTCACTTGCATGATGCAATGCTAAATGAACAACATAAAGATTCATACCTGAAGAGTAACATAAAACTTCAATCCTTCATTGATGTTCTCTTTGATTTCTCTATACTTGGCTACAGCAGCTTCAATCTGCTTATAGCACTTTTCACAAGATGCTGTGGAGAAGGGAGTACAATAATATAAGATGTTTTCAGAAAGGCTCAACAGAACTAGACCGAAAACAGCTAGTTACAGAAGCTCTTCAATTTGTAATATTACCATTTAATCCAAAGATCATTTTAGTGATTCTGTGAAATGGCAATCTAATGTAATTGAAAACAACTAGACGAAAAAGGACGATAAAAAGCTTGTTCATGTTTGGTCCTTCAAACAAAGGGCTAAAGAACACAAAGAAATGTTTGCACAGATAACAAGCAATGAAGAGCATCGGTTCTCAAATACAGTTCATCCAAATTCTAAATAAAAAAAAAGTTACCTCTGTAATCCTCAATATTGAAGGTGCCAGCAAATTCACTGTTTTGAGCCTACAAAAAAGAGAACCTATTAGAATTTGGGAGAAGTAACTGCATGGATTGGTGTATGATCACAATACTAGTGAAACTAAACATCTGAAATCATGCTGCATGGATAACGACAATTATAGAATAATGATTCAACAACATAAACGTTATATACTAGACTACCGGCCTGTTTGTTAGCAGCTTAATGAGCTCAAGGACTCGCAAGCTATTCGGTGAGCTATACATGGCTGTTTGGTAGTGGCTTAATGATATAGAAAGTGACTTATTGAGTAAGCTTCTAGGAGGGAGATTTATTCAAAAAGGCAAGTTTTTTTTCGAAACCTGCTCCTCCCAATTAAAAAACACGCACCTTCCATCTATGAAAAAACCCTCCCAAACAAAATTCTTCTCAATCCAAACGGACAGATTAATCCACACAGACAGTTTTATCCATACAAGACTTGATGGAAAACCAACCAAATAGCCCCTACAAGAACACTGCATTTATGTGCAAGGGATCCATTAACTAAACACAAAGAATGTGTCTTATGCACAACCAGAAGATATGCGAAGAAAGAGCATAGCAACCCGTTGAATAAAACGGTTTCCCCGAATAAATCTGATGATACAGAGCCAGCTGACCGGTGACCACAGGAAAGTTATGACACCACTACCAAGACAAACTTGTAAGATGTTATACCTACCCTAGCCTGCATTCAACATGAGCACATATGACCTGCAGGAAGGCATGCAATGCTGAACAGGATATCCTAGTAAAGTCCGCAAGGGAAGAGATGGAGACAGACAGATGTACATAGAGGTAAGAAAAACACCTGAATGTGAAGCAATAGTTGCTGTTGAGCCTGAAGATTTTGAGATATTTCTTCACATATGTGATTATATTTTGTTATCTCCTTTCTGAAGAGATCCTCATATGAACCAGTGGACGTCATCAACTTCGGGAGTATATCATCCTAAAACCAATTAATACAATTACAAACCAAGACATTAAAAACAACTTAAAAGTGCTAAAAGAACACGTGCACGCACACACAAAGGGGACATTTGCATCTTGTCAAGCCAAGAAAACAATAACAAGTTTAATTTAAAATAAGTATCAAACCAATGGTTTGATGCAGTTAAAATCGCCAGGTTTTTAGGGGTCCTGAGTGGTCAGGTATGCATAAAGACTGTATAATGTATTATTATGGCATGGTTAGAACAAGAAAGCACATAAAAAATGCATTGTGCTTCGATGAACTGGCGAACGTATTTTACTTTTAGGGTTAATTGGAAATTGGAAATTGGAATCTGTACCAAGCTCTCCCATAAGACTAATAGCAATGATCTGTTCTAGCTTTTCTGCAAGACAAGTAGCATTGTACCTAGGATTGCAAACAAGTCAAGCTCGAGTTTGACACTATGCTGTTAGGCTAATATCAAACTCGATTTGATAGCTCAACTTGGCCACCACTCAAGGAAAGATTCAAGCTCGATTCGAGAGCTCAAATAGCTCAAAAATATGCAGCAGAACTATGTTCTATAAAGCAAGATCTATTTGAGAGCTCTAGTAGCTCAATAATATCTATACCTATATTCAAATAAAGCAAACTTGATGCAAGCTCAAAGCCTCAAACTGAAAGCATTAACACATATATAGGATTTGAAAAGCCCGATAAGAATTCAAGTTGGTTTCCTATAAACTCAATCTCGACTCATCATATATTTCAAGCTCACTTTCATATTCGAACATGATAAGTTCGAGACTTTAGGTGGCGATCGAGCTTGAATTACTCAATAAAAGTTTGACACACATTACCTATATTAGCTTGGTGAAAACAGATTCTAGCTATGCAAGCTAGCATACTGTGGTCAAATCAAATCGTTGTTTGTATTCATTGGGTTAGCCCATGTAAGTTTCAAAATTGTTTTCCTATCAAAAGATTTAAAAAAATACATGTGCGTGCAAGCAGATATATGGTCACAACCACATCGATGCAAGAGGAACTCGCAGAACAGAAATATGATTAAAATCCCACATGAGCAAGCATGTATTTTTTCCCCTTAATTAGGGACTTTAATCAACAGATGAATGTGAAACTAATAACTCAATATACACTTGAACAAGAGGATGTTTTGAAGCATAACATAAAAGAACATAATTCAATACACGCATTATCTGGGAGATACTGAAAAACAGAGTACACAGCTAGTAGAAGAGATGTGACACTTCATAGTTGCAATTAATTGCCAAATTAAATAAATATATTTCAACTAGAATTAACCACACCTTTCGCTTCATATCTTTCAGCATGTCTTCCAGACCTGCCCTTTGTGCACCCAGTGTCTCTAATTGTCTCTGCGGAAGAAGACAATGTAGAATAAAAGAACCATCCTATAGCAAACGACTCAGGAAAGAAATAAATGTTATTCAGGAAGTTCTTTCAGCCTTTATACATATTTGCACGAAGACTGTTTCCAGGACTGAACGCTGAATGTCTCAGACCTGATCTCATGTGAGTATCAAGGAAACAAGTGTGAGCACTTGTAACAATTATGATAACTACAATGGTGAAGAAAATTTAACCATGTTGACAAAATTTAGATGCATATATCCAGAGGTACCATCCTCTTTTTAGAAAAATGAGTGCATAGGAACCATACACACAGACTAATTTTTGTAGTATATAACCACATATATGATCCTTTCATATGTGTCTACTTGGTAAGTAACATTACCAAGCTCTGCTTCAGGGCCCCCACTACAGCATCTTCATTGGCATCCAAAGACATGATTGGTTTAGCCAAGGTTGGAAGGGCTGACTCAATCTGGCAAATAAAAAAGAGAGATAAATTAGCACAATAAAACTATGTAAGCCAACTTTTTTCCCAACTGACTTGCATGCTTTTTCAAACAAAAGATGTTGCTGATGGCCTAAATATCAACAATAATAAACTGATTCAGCACTGAGATTACTGAATGTGTGTATACAACTATATAAAGTTCTTACACCACAGATGAGCAAGGAATTAGGCCAAAAATTAGGATACATTCTGGGAAAATCAAACTTCCATCGAAGAGAAGCAAATGAAAGGCTTTCATAAAAATTCTCGATTTTGTGATTTAAATGTTTTGCCTACTCATTATCATATGTACAATTATTCACTACGGGATCAACACTAAACCAGATTATGTTTATCAGAAGCATTAACAGATTAACCATAAAAATCAAGTAATTAGTAAGAAATGAACAATCCAAAACTTTTCAGAGTTACTAATAAGTAATAACATGAATTATCAAATTTCTCTGATGTTGATAAGAAGACTTGACAGAAAGCAAAAGGAAAACATCAAACAACTCTCGTCATTATTAATAATCAATTTGTTAAATTTATAAGAGAGAAAGACAACAACTTATTCAATGAGTTCAAGCAAGCATACCGGACGGCGATCTAGAATAGACATGAGTGCCATACTTTCTCTCACTGAGCGTTCAATTTTACCATCACTATCTGCAGCTTGCTTTAAATTTGCTGCAAACCTATTTAAGCGATCCTGTAAGTTCTTTGTCAGAGTACTAGACTGAGGCCTTGTCCACCGTGTACCAAATTGGCTTCTAAATTGTGCATCTTCTGCTGCTTCCTTTTGGAGAAGCTCCTCAGTCTGGACCAGCAATTCATGGTTTACCCTCCTTAAATCACGAAGCTGTTGAAGCTCACCTTCCAAGCCAGCTGGACCCCCACTAATTTGAACTGCCTCCACATCTTCCCATAGAGCTGTTGGCAAGACAGAATGTCCTTCCAAAGCAAGAATTGAATCAGGTAAGTCCATTTCCTTAAGGCTCACTCGAGCAAGCTCGCTCCCTTGCTGCAATTTCTCAGCTTGAGTTCTAATGATCTCATCAACCATTTCGGTGTACCTTGAAAGAGCCTTGGCACTGCTATCAGGAACAAGACTAGCAAACATCTTTTCTCTGCTCGCATCCAATACATCGTTCATGTTCAAAGGCTTAACCATTGCAAACGCAGGAAGAGGTTGTAAAGAGCTGGCTGGAGGAACCCTCATAAGGTAGACCCTGTCATTCTCCTTCATAGCTCTCTCTAGATTACGATTAAGATTAACCTCTAACTTATTGATTGCATCAAGTATCTGCTGTGCAGCCCCCTTTGGAGATAATTTTTTGGCATCAGTTAAGGCACCAATACCACTCTTCAACCGTGCAATTTCTTCTGCAATTTCTTCTTTCTCATGAAGCTCTAAACTATATCTATAACAAGCCTCTGCATAAAAAAGTGCTGCCTTTAATTGAACATGAGAGAGCCACGTCTTGTCGAAGTGGTGAGTGAGAGGTGCAACATGTAGTGCAGCTAGGGCTTCTTCATAATAGAGACCCACCTATATTTGAACAATTTGCATTTTCATAAGACAGTCATGAATGCATGTGACTTTTTCTTTGCAATTTCACATGGCACTTGAATTTAGATTCTATCAAGTAATTAAAAGTGAGACTTATCAGCTGCATCAAATAGAAAAATCATATCATTGTTTACCACAGCTAGCATGCATAATAAAATCAACCAGTTGGAAATGGAGCCTGTAAGAAATTGCATTGATTCTAAAAAGATGAATATATGCGAGTTCACATTGGGACAAATTACACTTAATTTGCTATGTGCTTAAAGCAATACTAGCTTACAAGAATTCTGACACACAAAAATGGTACGAGAAGACAAATGATGGAATAACCATCATCGTTGCAATTCAGAAGAATAGAAGATTGTGGGGTTGGGGGTGTTCATATGAAGTATTCAATTAAGCAGTTGGGAAAACTAGTCAATCCTGAAGAGATGTGGATTACTATGAGCCACACCTGCTCCATATGTATGGATGATTCTCCAGCTCATATTGGCACTAACCTGATGACTTAGCAGTGCTCTGATCAAACATTTGAGTAATGCAAAGTACTCGAGATAATAGTCCTTAATCACAACTTAATTCCGACGCAGTACCTCATATTGCTTTAAGATAAACACGCATTCATAGAATTTAAACAAGAAATGAACCCCAAAATTGATCAACGCTGACCTGTCTGGAAATCTTAGAACAAACCCCAGGAGTGCTCCCTTTAGCAATGGTATTCTCAAACACACACTCCTGCGCTTGAGCCAGCATCAACCTCTCCAGCATCCCCGCACACTCCACCGAAACATCCACTGTCGTCGAACTCCCAATAGAAGCCTTCGTAGCCGCATTATCCCTCAGAAACGCGAAGGCACCCGCCGCAGCGATAAACGAGTGTGAAGCCTGCCGTCTCCCTTCCACCGTTGACCTGTCAAAAGTCAACCCAATCTGACTATGCACCGCTCCCAAGTTAAACAAAATCGCCGCCTTCTCCAAGTGAATGTTCTGTTGCGACGCCTTGTTCTTGTTCTTGAACGCGTCGTGCCACGTGAACGTCACGGAGTTGACATGGTCCTTATCGGGGGAGATCGGGAACCTCGATTCTACGGCGGTTAGGGCTTTGAAGTAGTTCTGGAGGAGGTCGCGACGGGAAGGGAGGGAATCGGCGCCAGAGGAGCGTTCGATGGTGTTCCGCATCTCCTTTAGGTTTTCGAGGTCGTCTTCTAGGTTCTGAGCCTCGCGTTCAGAGTAATTGAAAACTACGTAGTTGCGAAGAGGGCGGTAGAGATCGACCGATACAGTTTTCTTCTCGTGGATTGCGAGCATGATGTTCGTCGCCGACGACGATGACGACGCCGGATTAGCCATGATCGGGAGAGAACTATGATTACCAGGTGAATTGGATTTGGATGTTTGGTTTTACACAGATCAACTCTGTGTGGGCAATGATTTACTTTTCTTAGTCGTAAAGGAACCCAGAGACAGTTTAGTCGACGTTCTCTTACGGCAAACGACGCGGAAATGACGAATCTGTCCTTGCTAAATTACAAATTACGATCCGGCATATTAGTGCCGGTAGACGGTTAAGCTAGTTGAGTCGAAGGCATTTGAGCAATCGTAAAGTAATATTTAGAGGGTGTTTGTCAGTTGCGGAATGGTTTGATGCAAAATGATTAAACGGTCAGAATGATTAAGAGGTTTTCATAATATAGTACAAAATGAAATATAATTGTTTGGTAATTATTTACAATGAAATTAGGGCTCTTAATGGTTAAGGAAGGTGTAAGATACAAAATCATTCAGAGAGTTTTATAACGATTTTTTTTTTTTTGCAAACAAGATTCACATCTTAACGATTCAGATGTTGTTTTTTAATGGAACTATTAAGTAAACAAACAACCCCTTAGTTCAAAACGATCCAAATAAAACTACAATCCAACAAATCCAAATCATGGGACTGGGTTGAGTTGAGTTGGTCGATTGAAACTTTGGTATATCATTATGGATCTAAACGTTTTGTTTAAACAGGGTAAAATCAAAATAAGAACATACAAAGAAATCTAACAAACCGAATAAAAAAATGGAAATTCATGCAAATAAAAAATTAATATTACGGTTGAAATTATAATATAATTTTGAATATAGTTAATTACAAATTGGTCTATTGTTAATGTACATATATTAATCAAGACTCTAACAAAAATATTAAATCTGTTATATAAAAAGATATCAGGTTTATCAGGTTAGGTATTGTTGTTGATATACAAACTTGAGACGACTCATGAAGTAAGCAACGAGTTTCGTTCAACAGAAAGTAACAAGTTGCACTATTTTTTTTTATTTTTTTTTGTCGATCTAATACTAGTTGTATACTCATACAATGCTGCATGAAGTAAATATTTTACGAGAAATGTGAAAATAAATACAAGAAAACTGTTGCTATTGATGTTAAAAAATCTATGGGAGTGTGTGAAACTCATAAAATTACTTTCTAAAAAGGGCCTTAAAGAAAGAAATGAGATTCCAACATATTTAGAGGAAAAATTATACAAGTTCAACAACATGGAATATAGCAAAAACATATTTCCTTACGTGTCAGAGCTTGTTAGATATATGGTACGTGTGTCCATACTATGCAGACATTTGAATGTAGGTGTTAAAGAAATATAAGTGCAACAAATATGTAACATAATTGAACAATTTGCAAAACTAGGGGTGTTCAAAAAAAACGGTGGACCATTCAAACCGGTTGAACCAAGTGAACCCGGACCGTTTTTGGCGGTTCGAGCGGTCTGGCAGTTTGGTCTGGTTTGAAAAATAGCAAAATCGGGTGGTCCGGTCTGCGGTCTGGAACCTTTTTTGGGCGGTTTGGACCAAATCGACCGCCAAATACATACATGCACACACACAGAGATACATATATTAGTATTAAGAAACGCAACTTTTTTAACTTATGAGTTATGACCCAAATATATCTCTAAGCCTAACATCCAACATAATCAAATCCAAATGAATCGGGCCCTACAAATCTTTAAACCAATTAACATATCGACACATTTGACATTGATGGTCTCCAAATTTTGAAATCCCTCAAGAACTTTACCGATCTTTCCTAATCCATGGTTTGATTTCGGCGCACATCATCAAAACATCAACCATGTGATTCAACTATTTCTTTTAACTTTTTTTGATTCTAGACTCAATATGTTCAAGTGATCGGTCATCGGTGCACATCATCAGGTCTCCAAATCTGCCCTAGTCTCCAAATCCAGATTTGTAAGTCATGTTTTATGAGTTATTTTTTTTTTACTTTAAGAAATTTGTTATATTGAGTATATTGTAAGTTGTAACTTTATGTTTGTTTTCTACTTTTATAATATTTCGATCTTGACTCTTTCCCTCAACTCTTTCCATTCCAAATTACGACTTCAACGCACATCAACACCAAGTCTCCAAATTGTCAAATCAAGTCTCCAAATCCATATTTGTAAGTCATGTTTTTATCACTTTATGAAACGTTTTTGTTGCTTTAGGGGCCGTTTACTAAACGTTTACCCAGTAAGTATTTACCGGGTAATTTTCTTCACCGAATGAACATGACAAGGGCCAAAAATCTTACCCGGAAAGAGCAATGATAAGGATGGAGAGTCTTACCCGGTAAGTGAGAGTGATGACTCTTACCCGGGTAAGCGCTTACCAGGTAAATTGTTGTATATGATACGTTTTGATGTACTACAATCTTACCCAATAAAAATAAATTATAGTGTTGACTTCTGACATTAAGTACTTACCGGGTAAGCATTTAGGTAAACGACCCCTTAGATTTTTTTATCTATAATGGGTCTTTGATCACTGATTACTATTAGATATTTAGAGTATTAGTGATATTTCTATGAAATTTCATATGTTGAACATATTGTAACTTATGTTTGTTTTCTACTTTTTTTGTTTGTGTGTCTATTTATGTGTTTTAGATGAAAATAACCTCTCAAACTCAAAGTATAGACTGAGCCGGTGCTTATAAACCTCATTTGCCACCTAAATCCAAAGAGAGAGAGAGAGAAAAGCAAACAATGTTCAGAAGCATGAGATCATTTTACGAGAAATGAGACTAACCAACATGGCCCAAGAGCTGTGTGTAATTACTGTGGTAAAGATTATGCAAGTGATAAGAATCTTAACCATCAATGTAAAAAGTATCTATTTAGATTAGAGGATAAGAAACAAAGATTTTTGTCTTTTTAAAAGAATAACGTGAATGAAAGTGGTAGTTTTGTATTTGTGGGGTTTAGTCAAAAAACATGTTGAGAAGCTTGTGCAAAAATGATTGTGATTGACGGGTTGCCTTTTGACAGGCTTATGATCGTTCGTGTTTACACAGTGGGCACAAAGTTCCCACAGTGACACTATGATCGTTTGCAAGTAATAAAATGGTAAAATACCGAGATCATTTCCACAGGGACTGGACTAATGAGATTCAGAGACTTTCATGAACTTCTTGATCGTGTTTTGGTTTGTGAATAAAAAGTTGATTTTGTTGGTAAAAGGCTTTAAAAGACGAAAATAACGAAATAAACTTATAGACTAAAGAATGGACATGTGTGCAAGTGTTGCTTAAGATAAAATCAACAATGGTGACACAGTGGACAGTTGACAGAAAATGCATGTTTTTGAAATAAATTTTTTTCCTTTGTGTTTCATCATCCCTTTTAACACTTTTACAATAAACGGGGAAAAACAAGAAAATTAAGTATTTAATAGATGCAAAAATGAAAATAAATAAATAAGAAATAACTCTAAAAAATGAGAGTTATCACCTTTTAGATTTGTTGAACAAGAAGGATTGTTATTATTTTTATAGTGTTGCATGTCCTAAATTTGAACTTCCGTCGCGCATTACAATAGGTAGGGATATTATGAATCTATATAATGATAAAAAGAAAAAAATTGAGATCATTTTTTATTCAAAATTCACAAAGAGTTTCCATCACCAGGATACTTGGACTTCTATTCAAAATGTTGTACATATGGTATTAACAGCCCACTTCATAGATTCTGATTGCAAAATTCAAAAGAAGATCTTGAACTTTTGTCAAGTGTCCAACCACAATGGAGAGACAATAGGAAAAGCTGTTAAGTGGTGTTTAAAAAAATGGGGTATTGAGAGGGTGTTCACTATTACTATCGATAATGCTTCTTTTAACAATGGAGTTGTTCAACATATCAAGAAAATATTGCAAATTTAGAAGTGTGCCGTTTGTGATGGTGAATTATTGCATGTTAGGTGTTCAACCCATATATTAAACTTAATTGTGGGTGATGCATTGAAAGAAATGGACTATTTTGTAGCTGTTGTTCGTAATGCAATTAGGTGTGTTATAACCCAACCCCACCAAAACCATATAACATGCGTTGGGTTAGCTAGGTTGATCGAATTGAAATTTTGGTACATCATTCTACAACCTAGCTAAGCGTATGTGTCTAAACAAAGTAAAATAAAAAAGAGAACATACGAAAAGGCTAACAACTTCAAAAAAAAGTTGAAAGTTCATGTAAACAAAAATGTAAACTTACGGTTCAAAATTGTAATATAATTTTGAATATAACTAACTACAGATTGATCTAATGTTTAATGTATATACATTAATCAAAAACTCAAGAATCATATTAAATCCATAAGACAAGAAACATCAGGTTGGGTTGGGTTGGGTTCAAATCATCCTTACCCAATTCCAATCCAACTTAGCATAATTTTGTATCAATTATGTATCGGGTTACCTCAGATTGAGTTTTTTCCGGGTTAAATTGATCGGGTTAATCGGGTTTTTAAGTACCCCGAATACTTATTGTCTTATTAATTCTATACGTAAACGAGTTAAGTTTTTAAGGAAAAATATTAAATGTTATATAAAATATTTCATTAAAATTAAATTATAAAAATTAGTCATCATTTAATTTATTTTGTTACTTTAAAATGAAATAAAAAAACATTTCCAAAATTTACGGTAAATAAATCCGGACATTAATTGTGTGCAAAGAATCCAGAGGGTGAAAAAGATAAAACCCCCAAACTACGGTCGCTTTAGATCACACATTTCAAACCCTAGCAGTCTCTCCTTTTCTCTCCGACTTTCCTCCGCCATGGCTTCACGGAGGTTGCTCACTTCTCTCCTCCGATCTTCTTTTCACCGATCTCCATCTAGATCTCCGTTTACTCACTCCGGTAGGGCCGCACGCACTCGCTCACAGTCTCATCCTTCACCTACTGGCTATTTCCTCAACCGTGCAGTCAACTATGCTACATCTGCCGGCGCTGCTCAAWCTAAGGAACCTGCTCCTCCTCCTGTTAGAGGATCTTACGATGGAAAGATAACCGATGAGTTCACCGGAGCCGGTTCCATCGGAGAGGTGTGTCAGGTTATTGGTGCTGTCGTTGATGTGAGGTTCAGTGAGGGATTGCCGCCGATCCTTACGGCCTTGGAGGTTTTGGATAATTCGATCAGGTTGGTTTTGGAAGTTGCTCAGCATTTAGGGGAGAATGTAGTCAGGACAATTGCTATGGATGGTACTGAAGGACTCGTGAGAGGTCAAAAAGTTCTCAATACTGGTTCTCCTATCACCGTAAGTTTTTCTCTAAGTTTAAGAAATGCATCTGTTATGGAAAAGTGAAGATTTTAGGCTTTTGTAATATTTCTGTATCAGAAAGTGTGAGATCCAAAGGAAAACTTGTACGGGTGCCTTTTTTCAGGTTGATGGTTAAGATCCACATGCTAAATTACTACTTTCTTACTGGAACTTGAAAACATTTTATTTTGCTGTCTTACTGAAATTAGTAGATTAATGCCTTTGTGTGTGTAATCTTTTATCATCTTACTCCAGTGAATATATGTATTTTTTATATGCCAATGTGGGTTAAGTTGTAGCCTTGTGATTTATATGCATATAATGTTCTTTTTGTGGTAAACCGATCACATATATTTTTCTTCCTGTTAAACAGATACATCCATCATTTTTCAAGTTTTATTGCGTATTTGCTTTGTATTATTTGAAATGTGGTCTTTGTCTTATGAATTTCTTACTAGAAGTTTGAGAAATCTATGAATGAGTGATTGTTATTATCTTCACTTTGCTACATAACACATAGCTTGTTTAAGAAAATTTGTACAGACGTTATATATTTCATGTAAGATGGTTCATTTCTTCCGCTCTAAATCTTCATTGGTAATGGCACTAACTTTTTGTATTTGTTTTCGTGATAGTAGGTGCCTGTTGGCAGAGCCACTCTTGGGCGTATCATTAATGTTATTGGAGAACCTATTGATGAGAGAGGCGATATCAGTAAGTGCCTTGTTTGCCATTGAGTGGCATCATTTTCATCTCTTCTTCAAGACAGGGTATCTTATATTTTCTCTTATCAATTTCCACAGAAACCGACCACTATTTGCCCATTCACAGAGAAGCCCCAGCTTTTGTTGAGCAGGCAACTGAGCAGCAGATTCTTGTCACTGGAATCAAGGTAATCCATGAATGGAGGACTTCTATTACTGGTCTCTCTTTGGATCCCCTAAGAAAGTAGATATTGATCCGTTTTTGGGTTGTTTCTTTCTTACCTTCTTCTTTCGTTTTCTCTGCTGATGATTATAATGAGGAATAATCAATTTATAGTGAGTATTAATGTTAAAAACTCATTTCTCTAAAATTCCTGTCTTTTTCGCAAAACTACTTATTTTCCACCTGAATTGAAGAGCATTGTTTGTCCTGCTGATGTGTTTTATTAGTGATTCTGCAAAGTGGGTACATCAAGCAGACAAGGGACATAAGTTTGTGATCATTGGAGTCTCTGGTGGTGGTTTCTAATCTTACTTTTTTCCTGGGGTTGGGGGTAGAGGAGGTAAGGTCATGAGATTTTTTTCAAGATTTTTATGCAATAGTATTGCATAATGGAATTCCAATCAGCGTTTTTGTTGATTCAATTATCTTATGCTTCTTTGGGTGGTTATGCATCAGCTTTTTCTGGATGTTTATGCGTCTTACGTGACGAGGGGGGTCATTCCAGAAAAGGACAAAGGCCAATTAGATATTGTTTCCTCCAAATTGGTTATGGCAATACATCTGTTATGGGGCATGACTGTCTTTTGTAATCTTAGGTTGTCGATCTTCTTGCACCGTATCAAAGAGGAGGAAAGATTGGTTTGTTTGGTGGTGCTGGTGTCGGTAAAACTGTGCTCATTATGGAACTTATCAACAACGTTGCCAAGGCCCACGGTAGGTGGAGCGTGGATCTTGTTAGTACATTACAACACCTTTATGTGCTTGACTCACTTATAGGTCGTTTATTTTGTTTATCCAGGTGGTTTCTCTGTCTTTGCTGGTGTTGGAGAACGTACCCGTGAGGGTAATGATTTGTACAGGGAAATGATGGAGAGTGGTGTCATTAAGCTAGGTGACAAGCAGGTTGGTATTTTAGAAGCTTTAGTTATTTGTAATATGTTGCCTATTGACTATTCTCGTTCTACTCTTTTCTGATTACTCATGTGTACCTTTTTGTTCATAATTGTAGAGTGAGAGCAAGTGTGCTCTTGTGTACGGTCAAATGAATGAACCTCCAGGTGCTCGTGCTCGTGTTGGTCTCACTGGTTTGACTGTGGCTGAACACTTCAGAGATGCTGAAGGACAAGATGTGCTTCTATTTATTGACAACATTTTCCGTTTTACTCAGGTYTGATWRCGGACGTATTCCACAAATCTCTTTTCTTGATGAAGGTGCCATTKACTAATGCTTATTTTGTTATCTTGCAGGCTAACTCTGAGGTGTCTGCTCTGCTTGGTCGTATTCCATCTGCYGTCGGTTATCAACCAACTCTGGCTACGGATCTTGGAGGTCTWCAAGAACGTATCACAACMACCAAGAAGGGTTCRATTACATCCGTCCAAGCTATTTATGTGCCTGCTGACGATTTGACAGATCCTGCTCCTGCCACAACCTTTGCTCACTTGGATGCCACAACTGTGTTATCTAGACAAGTATTTTTTCAGTTCCTTGATACCATTTTGTGTTTATTTGCTTTTTTTTGGTGTATGTCTGTTAATGCATATAGTTATTCTATTAATTGGCAGATCTCTGAGCTTGGAATTTATCCTGCTGTCGATCCACTTGATTCTACATCTCGTATGCTCTCACCCCATATTTTGGGAGAAGATCATTACAACACAGCCCGTGGYGTACAAAAAGTTCTTCAGAACTACAAGAATCTTCAAGATATTATTGCCATTCTTGGAATGGATGAGCTTAGTGAAGATGACAAGTTGACTGTTGCACGTGCTCGCAAAATTCAGAGGTTTTTGAGTCAGCCCTTCCAYGTGGCTGAGGTTTTCACTGGTGCCCCTGGTAAATATGTGGAGTTGAAGGAAAGCATTGGTAGTTTCCAGGTCAGTTGTTCTGCTTTATTATCATAAAAATAACTGCCTCAAACCCTAATGTCAGATTTCTTTACTACCTTCTTACCTGATACCATTTGATTGCATGCTTTTCTGGACTACTGGAATCACTTGCATAKCCTGTTGCTTTTTTTAATGTCTATGATGAATAGCTCAATGAAACAATTTGTATCAATATGTTAGGGGCAGATTTATTTCATTTAGGAAGCTTAAATATTTAGGAGCTAAGGAACCACTTATTTCGAGTATTTATGATGAATATTTGTCATGGCATTCATCGTGCATATTTTATCACGTTATTCATCATGAATACTCACAAAATGGGTGGTGGTTTTTTGGTTCTAAAAATATTTAAGGTTCCTAAATGAAGTTCCCTCTACAATATTATGAAACATTTGAGCTTTTGTTCTTAAGAACTCYTAATTTGCCAAAGTTTTTGCTAATATTTAAAATTACAAAACTCCATTCGGMTGCTGTTGATGATGGTTACACCTTGAWTKTACAGGGAGTGTTGGATGGGAAATACGATGATTTATCAGAACAATCATTCTACATGGTTGGTGGAATTGACGAGGTCATTGCCAAGGCCGAGAAGATCGCCAAGGATTCTGCTGCTTAGACAACACCAACGTTCTTTCTCTCCGACCCCTCTTTCTCGTTATATTTTGGAAAAGAATATGAATAATTTGTTGATTTTTGTATTTCCAGAGACCTGATATGTACCGTGATTTTGAGTTCTGTTTTGGTGATAGAGATGTGGAGACACAAGGCTTAACCTCCCAACACAAGGACCTCTCCTTCCCTTTTGTTTTATGGTCAGGTAATAACGGGGATGAACGTTCAAATTGTATATTTATTCTGCTAATGCTATTTTCCTGCACTTTTGGATGTCTTCTACGTCAACTTGACACCGAGTGGCTTTTTTAGTAATCTAGAAAAAAAATGAGTACATATTTGAAATTGAACACGACTAAAATAGAAGTGATCAAGAAAATATTTGCCTAAAATTATATAAATACCTGGAAAGACAAATCTGGTACTGAACATTAGCACAGGCACAAACTCAAAGTATTGATCAACTGACCACAACGATTCCACAACCCCTTCTGCATAAGTAACGAAGAGGTTGAAGGCAGCCGGAGTATCAACCATAAGGGTGGTGCCTAATTGGTTTGAGCCTGGGCTTCATAGGTCAAAAGTGCCTGGAGGTCCTAGGTTCAAATCCAAGGAGGAATAAAAATCCTCTTGTGACCACAGAGGTTTAAATGCGGTGATACTGAGCTACCTGTAAAGCAGGTGGTCGTCCTGGGATTGGTAGGCTCGCTAGCGGGTTGAATATCCAGGTTAATGATAAAAAAAAGTATCAAGGATCCTAAGACAATTGGGGCCAGGAATCTCCTCCCCGATTTTGTTAGTCCTGACAGAACGAACACTATGATCTCGTACAAGATCACAGGGTTTCCTAAAAGAACGCCGCAGTACCCAGATACCTACATATATTAATCAAGACCTTAACAAAAATATTAAATCCATAATATAGAAAAATATCGAGTTTATCAGGTTGGGTTATGTTTAAATTATCTTAACCCAACTCCAGTAGTTTGGCTTAATTTTGTATCAACTATGTGTTGAGTTACCTCAGGTTAAATTCTTTTTGGGTTTTTTCGGATTGGGTTAGCCAAATTGGTCGGTTTTTTAACACCCTTAATTACTGCGTTCTTTATTTTCCATAAAAAAAATTAAAGTAATTTATATAATATTATATTATAGTATATATACAACAAAGATCCCCACCTGGGTGCCATTGTTTATACAAATGGTGTAAGCAAACTTGAGGCGACTTATGAAGTAAACAACGACCTCCGTTGAGTAGAAAGCAACAAGTTGTACTATTCTTCCTTTTTTGTCGATCTAATATCGATAGAAATGCCTTTCTGCATATATTCCCAGCATTCTTGACATGAGAATCCACACATATAGTAATTTTCACGCATGATGTTTAGATACCGATCCTCGTATAATATGCTAATATGACTTAAAAGCAAGTGAAGCATATGGTATGCGTATCTCCATTTTCCAAAACGATACACATTTAAATATATATTAACGATACCCCAAAATAAGGTAAATAAATAATTTACAAAAGGAATAAGAATGGGGAAAATAAAATAAAATAAGTTTTATTTTAGGGAAATTAATTAAAATATGGTTTCACCTTTTAGTCATTTCTCTCTCAAAATTACGAAAATAGCCATAGGTCCGCAACTGGAAGGTCCTTAATTTGTGGAGGTGTCAAAGTGTAAGAAAAAAAAATGAAGTTTCTGAACCAGGTCTGCAATTACATATACCAAATATGTAAATTTAAGAAAATTAATTAAATGTGATATACTTAAGATTTAAAAAATATAAATAAGTTGTACCAATGGTTGATGATGAAAAAGAAATTATGAGTAGACTAGAGAAAACAAAATATTCAAGGTTAGAAGAATATTTTGATGTACCAAAGTATCAATCCAACCAACCTATACGGTGTGAATTGAATTGAGTTGTTCAAATGCTTTCAACTCGATCAACCCAACAAATAAGCACCCTACATCTCATTGTGCAAGTCTTGTGAAGACTCACTTTGATTTATATGCCTTATGTCTTGTTCTTTTAAACATATAATATTTAACCGAAAATACCTATGCACACTCCTGACAATTGGTGAAATTTGAAACATTTACCTCTTCGGATACTAAGCTCTACCTGTAAGGCTGTAACTCGGCTACCGTTTGGCCAATGATGCTTTAGTCTATCTTGTTCATTGTAATGATTACCGACTTTCCTAAATGTTCATACAACCAACCCTTAGCATTTTATCATATTGATAATAAATTCAGTACTAAACATACTTGTCCTTTAAGTGTGAAAAATGTTGTAAACAAATCTTCTAGTTCTAGAGAATCAAAGTCAGTTTAATCGAAATTATAATCGTTTTTATATAAATTTAGGAATCAGTCTGTTGTTTTCATCTCACGCTATACCAATTTCAAGAACTCTTGATTTTCCTACTTATAACCAAAATCTGGATATCTATCATGTGTATTTGTAATAAATATCTTTGTATTTCTAAAAACATAATATGCTCTTCTTCCAACATAAAGTGAACTGTTATGAATTTTACAAACATCACAAAAATCTGTAGATTAACACAACAATTTAAATGTCGCATATTGGTTTAGTAACACGACCTCAAGGTCTCTGTCTTAACTCCATTTACATACTAAAATATTTAGTAACATCATATGGTACTAACAGTGGCAGATCCAGGATTTCTGCCTAGTGGAGACACCTTTAAGGTTGATTAAAGGCCTACAAAGTTGTCCAGTGTGTTTTAGCCTAATTCCATCGTTTCAAGGGATTTTTAAAGTTTTTTGGTTGATTTCGAGAGACTTATTCTATTTTTGTTGTTGATTTTGAGATACTTTTTCCGTTTTTTTGGTTGACTTAGGTTTTTTTTTTGTTGGTGGGGGCACAGGCCGGAAATTACTGGAGGGACTGGTATAAAGTTAAAGAAAAAACTGTTTTTAACCGAAGTAATTAAGAAGTCTTTTTTTTTAATGGGGTCTCATCCCCCCACCGTTTGTATGCTACATCCACCCCTCGGTACTAACCCCACATTAATCCAAATAGTTAACATAAAATTATACCAGTAATTAACGTTTTTTTAGTCCCACTCATTGATTAGCCCCAATTTTAGGATGTTACAATATTGTTTTGATCCATATTATTAGTTGGGCGAAAGCCTGACAGAGCAATGTCGTCCTTTTGCTTATTCAACGACCCCTTTCCCTGAGTTGGTTTTAGCTCATTTTAATACAGGATGGAACAATTTTTCTTAGCCCAAGTTATTGGTCCGGTACTAGATGTAGCTTTTCATTGGTTTACAAGGTATGTCGTTAATAAAACAATGATTTATATAAGTTATAAAGCATATATGACAGTGAAATTTGGGGATTTCATGCCTCCTTTTACAACCATACGGTTTGAATATATTATTCAATTTTTAGCAACCTTTTGTCTATTATTTTCAAACAATATTTAACATAAATAACTATTTCATACTGGATCAATATAATTGTGATCGTATACAATAGACTTAGGATCACGTGAGATCAATTTATTTTCGTAAGATCCATGAGACCATTTTTTTACACTTGAAACTTTACAGCAAAAAGCTGTGAAGGTAACCTTCACATTGTTTTTGTTGTGAAGTTTCGGCTTTTTTTTTTACTTTCACAGTGTTTTGTTGTTAACTTTCAAGTGTAAAAAAATGGTCTTACGAATCTCACGAAAACAAGTTGGTCTCACGTGAACCGTACCTGCATACAATAACCACTTACTTTTTATTCATTCTTTTGCTCAATACAGATATTCAGATTTTATAAACCTATTCTAATACTAAACAAGTCACGAAAAAATTATAACACTCTTTAAAATACATATCCAATAAATGTGTTTAGAACATCGACATCACTGAAATCCTAATCATCTTTTAAAATTGACACCTTAATTTATACATGTGTCTTATACGCCAATACAATATCACACATCTTAATTATAATAATTTAAGATTGTTTTGCTCATTATTATAAAAAATATTTTAATATATTAATACATAAATATTTATTTAAACACAAAGATATACAATTTTTTCTTCAATTGCTTAAATCAATAAAAACATATCAATTATATGCTCAAACTCTTACGATATCAATTTATATCACTAAAGGGCCGTTTAACAGTTGCTTACTTGGGTAAGCGTTTACCAAGTTATATTACCTTACCAGATGAATATGATAAATACCAAAAATCTTATCCGGTAAGAACGAGGCAAGGACCGAGAGTCTTACCCGGTAAGTGAGGGCAATGACTCTTACCACAGTCAGTTTTTACCGGGTGAATTGTTGCATAAAAAGCCATTTTTGTTGACTAAAATCTTACCCGGTAAATAAATAATAGCATTGAATTTTCTCGGTAAGTGCTTACCGGGTAAATGTTTGGTAAACGACCCATAATTTTAATCAAACAATTAACACAAAATAACTACTTTTCTAAATATCAGAAAAAATCTTTGTTTATTTACTTGATTGATGATTGATGTTATATTTGAGAATAGTTTTATAAAAAGTTGTTCATAAAGAAGAAAACGTTGTGGAGTTAATTCAACTGATAATAAGTCTTTGACATTTAAAGACTATTTTGAAAGGTAAGTTCAAATTCTACAAGGCCATTGAGTATTTCTGACTGCTCTCTAAGGCTCCTGAGGTTAGTAGAGATGCGTATAAGATGACCTGAACACCCATGATTTACAATTATTTTAAAAAAAGAATAAAATAATAATATTTTAGAAACAGGAAGATTACATATGTATTATCAGGGCTGTACATGGGTTGGGTTGACAAGGTTAAAGATATTTGAACAAACCAACTCAGTGTTTGCGGTATGAAAAATCTAAATGCACACAAAATTACAACCCAACTCAATTTTTGCAGTTTAAGAAACTCAACCCAAACAAAACTACAACCCAACCTAACCCAATGTTTGTGGTTTGGAAAATCTCAACCAAAACCATATGGCATGAGTTGGGTTGAAATTTTCGTTCATCATTCTACAATAAGCGTTTGTGTCTAAACAAAGTAAAATAAAAATCAGAACATACAAAAAAGCGAACAACTTCAAGAAAAAAATTGAAGGTTCATGTAAAGAAGGTAAACTTACCGTTCAAAATTGTAATATAACTGGAAACTTAGTTAATTACGGATTGATATAATGTTTAATGTACATATGTTAATCAAAAACTCAAAAATCATATTAAATCAACAAGATAAAAAACATCGGGTTGAGTTGGGTTCAAATTACCCTAACCCAATTCCAACCCAATAGATACGATATGGCCTAATTTTGTATCAATTATGTATCAAGGTACCTCAGACTGAGTTTTTTGGGGTTGGATTGGTTGGGTTAGTCAGGGTTGTCGCTTTTTTGAGCGCCTCAAATACTTATTGTCTTATAAATTGTGTTCTAAAAGACTTATAGAGGTGTTTGGTTGGATGTATTAAACAAAAATTAACCAGAATGAAAAAAAAAAAAAACTGTTTGGTTTTATATAATGTAATAGACTCTCATAAAAGCCCAAATTTACAATCTAGATTAAACTGAAGGAAATGAAAATTCATTCTCATTTTCATTCTTTGTCATTTTCATCTTTTTGACTGAATCACACACCTTAAGGAGTTGTTTGTTTATCTCTTAATAGTTCCATTAAGATGCAATATCTGAATTGTTAAGAGGTGAATCTTGTTTGACAGAAAAAAAATCTGCCTCTTGATGATTCTAAAATCCTCTGGATGATTTTTTTATCATGGGCCTCTCTTAATCATTTAGCACCTTAATTTAATTGTAAACAATTACCAAACAATTATATTTCATTTTACACTATATTTCAAAAGAACATCTTAATTATTTTGTACCAAACCGTTCAGATGTAAATGTTTTATTACAATTAAATTATAAAATTTAATCATCATTTTCATTTATTTTGTTACTTTAAAATGAAATAAAAAAACATTTCCAAATTTTACGGTAATTAAATGCAGAGATAATTTGTGTGCAAAGAATCCAGGAGGTGAAAAGATAAAAAGCCCCAAACTTCGGTCATTTTAGATCATAGTCTCTTGCGAGACCAATCCGTCCCACACATTTCAAACCCTAGCAGTCTCTCTCCGACTTTCCTCCGCCATGGCTTCACGGAGATTGCTCGCCTCTCTCCTCCGATCTTCTCTTCACCGATCTCCATCTAGATCGCCGTTTACTCACTCCGGTAGAGCCGCACGCACCCGCTCACAGTCTCACCCTTCACCTACTGGCTATTTCCTCAACCGTGCAGTCAACTATGCTACATCTGCCGGCGCTGCTCAAWCTAAGGAACCTGCTCCTCCTCCTGTTAGAGGATCTTACGATGGAAAGATCACTGACGAGTTCACTGGAGCCGGTTCCATCGGAGAGGTGTGTCAGGTGATTGGTGCTGTCGTTGATGTGAGGTTTAGTGAGGGATTACCGCCGATCCTTACGGCCTTGGAGGTTTTGGATAATTCGATCAGGTTGGTTTTGGAAGTGGCGCAACATTTGGGGGAGAATGTAGTCAGGACTATTGCTATGGATGGTACTGAAGGGCTTGTTAGAGGTCAAAAAGTTCTCAATACTGGTTCTCCTATCACCGTAAGTTTTTCTCTAAGTTTTAGAAATACATCTGTTATGGAAAAGTGAAGATTTAGGCTTTTGTAATATTTCTGTATCAGAATGTGTGAGATCCAAAGGAAACACTTGTACGGGTGCCTTTTTTCGGGTTGATGGTTAAGATCCGTATGCTAAATTACTACTTTTTTACTGGAACTTGGAAAGAATTTATTTTGCTGTCTTACTGAAACCAGTAGATTGTCTTATATCCAATGTGGTTTAAGTTGTAGCCTTATGATTTATATGCATACAATGTTCTTTTTCTGGTAAACCGACCACACATATTTTTCTTCCTGTTAAACAGATGCATCCATCATTTTTTTCTGTTTTTAATTGCGTATTTGCTTTCTATTATTTCAAACGTGGCCTTTGTCTCGTGGTTTTCTTACTAAAAGTTTGAGAAACTAATGAATGAGTTATGGCTATTATCTTAACTTTGCTACATAATGCATAGCATGTTTAAGAAAATTTGTACAAACATTATATATTTCCTGCAAGGTGGTTCATTTCTTCGTCACTCGTAGTCTTCATTGGTAATGGCCCTAACTTTTTGTATTTGTTTTCGTGACGGTAGGTTCCTGTTGGCAGAGCCACTCTTGGGCGTATCATTAATGTTATTGGAGAGCCTATTGATGAGAGAGGCGATATCAGTAAGTGACTTGTTTGCCATTGAGTAACATCACATTCATCTCTTCTCCAAGACAGAGTACTTATCTTTCCTCTTTTATCAATTTCCACAGAAACCGACCACTATTTGCCCATCCACAGAGAAGCCCCAGCTTTTGTTGAGCAGGCAACGGAGCAACAGATCCTTGTCACTGGAATCAAGGTAATTCATGAATGGAAGATTTCTATTAGTGTGCTCTCTTTTGATTCTCCGACAAAATAGATATTGATCCCTTTCTATGGTGTTTCTTTTTTACCTTCTTTCTTTTCCTACAAATTGGTTATGGCATTTGTTATGGGGCATGACTGTCTTTTGTACTCTTATAGGTTGTCGATCTTCTTGCACCGTATCAAAGAGGAGGAAAGATTGGTTTGTTTGGTGGTGCTGGTGTCGGTAAAACTGTGCTCATTATGGAACT